GTCAATCAGTCACTAAAGTGACTGATGGTTAAGGGGGGTGATGTAACGGGGTGAATCGTTACATAACAATTTATAAGAAATTGTTTATAGAATATAACTATAAGAGTTATATTCTCAGAATATTGTCATAAGGACAAATATTCTGTAGCACTTACAAGTAGTTCCTAATTGGTTGATATAGGCCATTATATCAACCAACGAAGACGCGCCACGACAGACGCACGCAATGAGTGGTGAGCAGATAATTGATTTACACATTTGTATTTAGACATAGTTAGATGAAGATAAATAGTGATTTATTGCAGACATTAACTATTATAAATACAGTTCTACTTTTTACTCTAACCAAGTACTCGCTTCTTCTTACCGTCTTCCTCTGCACGTACGAGTGTACGTAAAGTTACGAGGCACCGCCTTATTCTGTTATCAGAATAAGTAGCTTGTACTGTCACCAGTACAAGCTTCAGGGTGCCCCGTTACATTGTTCTAGTGAATCTAGTTTAAGCCGGAACAGGTGAGTCTTGACGGGACCATCCGCAAGACCCTGCATGAACACCGAAATTAACGTGTGTTCATCAACCGGGTCGGAGCTTATACAACTCGTAAGATGTCGTATATGTTGTGCGTAAGCGTGCACATCACGCTTACCCTGTTTGAGCTTCAAGAGTTCGGTTCAAGCTCTGAGCTCAGCCCTAGGCGGTTCAAACGTTTGTCTGAGCCGCGACCTGAAGACTCCTAACGATCCAAACGCATATGGGTCGTGCAACTTGAGCCCCAGTGCCCAAGTCTTGGAACGTCCTGCCAGATTTGATTGGGCAAATGCAACTTGCATATCCCCGTCGTCGATGCGACGCGCCCTTATGGCGTCGTCTAATTCGACGAACCATCGCAAGAGGGAGTCGTCTTCGACTCCCCGATACTTGGAGATGTCAATCTTCAAGGTCTCGGGTCGACGCGAGTGCATCGACCCACCAGCAGCAGCCTGCTGCTGTATCAACAGTTCAAAATATTGAGCACCTTGTTCTCTCAACAGCTCTGCTTGTTGAGAACCTTGTTGGTGAAGCAAGGCTACTTTCTCGCGTTCTGCGTCAAGTTCATTTTGAATGAACTTGGCGATAGTAGCATGTTGGGCATCTCTATTGAGAGCCTCTAGCATGACGCTAACAGCATGGATGCCCATGGTCGAACCCATTCGTTCAACCGCATCCCATTCGACATTGCTCAAATGGGAGTAGCCGTCACTCGTAGCGTAAAAGCTTTGGTCATCTTCATCATCTAACATGTTCATGTTGGATGTGAACGCGGTCCTTGGACGGACTACGAAGTGCTACCAGGTGTAACGGGGCACCCTGAAGCTTGTACTGGTGACAGTACAAGCTACTTATTCTGATAACAGAATAAGGCGGTGCCTCGTAACTTCACGTACACTCGTACGTGCAGAGGAAGACGGTAAGAAGAAGCGAGTACTTGGTTAGAGTAAAAAGTAGAACTGTATTTATAATAGGTAATGTCTGCAATAAATCACTATTTATCTTCATCTAACTATGTCTAAATACAAATGTGTAAATCAGTTATCTGCTCACCACTCATTGTGTGCATCTGTCGTGGCGCGTCTTCGTTGGTTGATATAATGGCCTACATCAACCAATTAGCAACTACTCGTAAGTGCTGCAGAATATTTGTCCTTATGACAATATTCTGAGAATATAACTCTTACAGTTGTATCCTATTAACAATTTCTTACAAATTGTTATGTAAAGGTTCAACCCGTTACAATTCCGGTCGGTTGTGTCGATTACAATATATGATGTCTCATGTATCGCCATTAAAATGTCAGTCAGGTCAAAGAAAGATAGTGCAAGTAACTCTGTATTGTGCATTCGTTGGTGAACAAGAAGCGTTTCCGTTGTAGACATCGACACAGGTAGATCGGTGACTTACTTGAAGGAGGCGATTAAGGAAGAAAACCAAGTGAAGGTCAAGTGCGATGCGAGTGACCTGCAGCTCTTTCTGGCACAGAGTTACAGGGCGTGGCTGGCATACGACGATAGTTTCAAACACTTCATGCAGACCAAAGGATTTCTCGATGAGATGAAGAAGATGCGCGCATCGTGGCAATTGGTGAATTCCAGTCTGTTTGGTTCTGATGCTTCGCTAGGAAACAATGTAATTTACGTGCTGGTGGAGGTTCCGCCGACAGCGCCAAGTCAACTTGATGTGAGAAGTCTCAATACTTTGGTCACGAATATCATGGCGTTGAATATCCATCCTTAGTTGCATTCTTGAACACTTTTCGAAGAAAATTGTAACGGGGTAGCCCGTTACATGAAATTGACACCAAACGGTGTCAATTGGAATATTGTATAGCATGACGATATTCTACCGATATTATCTCCTTTTGGATAATATTCACGCGCTGCTCCAAGATTGGTTGATACAAGACATATCAACCGTACGTTGCCACCAATCGCAGCTAGACGCGCGCAATGAGTGGTGAGCAGGTTGTCGTCATACGACGGCGTAGTTTAGCATAGTTAGATAAAGATTAACGTTATACGGATAGCTTAACTATATTAAATACAGTTCTCTTTTTACCTTTACTTGACCGAGTCGTTCAAGTAGATTAGCTTCCTCTGCACGTACTAGTGTACGTAAAGTTTCGCGGCACCCCAAACAAAGGGTGCCCCGTTACACCTGGTAGCACTTCGTAGTCCGTCCAACGACTACTTAGTGTCCGTCCAACATGAACATGTTGGATGTAGAAGACGACAGCTTTCACGTCACACGTGAAGGCTACTACTATCTGATTGACTCAGAATGGGAGGTAGTCAGCCGCATGAGTGTACTCATGGGCGAACCCGCCATCAGTGGTATGTTTAGTCTCTAAGCGGATACCAGCAACATGCTGCTATCAACAAGTTCCTACAAGGGGAGCTTACCCTCGAACGACAGAAGATAGCTCTGCTACAGCAGCAAGGCTCTCATCAGTCGATGGGCGGGCCGACGCATGTGCGTCGACCTGAATCCTAAAAGATCGATATCTCAAGGTACAAGGGAACCGGTGAAGATTCCGTTTTGAGATGGTTCGTCGAGTTAGACGATGCCATCAGGGCCCGTCACAACGAGGGTGACGAGATGCATGTCATCTTCGCCCTATCAAATTTGACGGGACGAGCATACACCTTGGTCTGAAAGCTCAAGCTACACGACCAAACGTGTTTAAGTCGTTAGCGATCTTGAGTCTCGACTCAAAGAGCCTTTATAAGCCATCAAGAGCCGAGTGCAGAGCACGCTCTGCACTCTTGAGGCTAAAGCAAGGTAAGCGTGACTTACGCGCTTATTCAAAGCACCTGCGCTACCCTGCAAGTAGCTTTACGGAAAACCCTGTTGATGAGCATACGCTCATCAACGTGTTCATCTATGGCCTTGTGGGTGGGCCGGTAAGGACCTACATGTTCCGGGAGGACTTCCATACGCTATAAGGGCGATAGCGTATGTGACAGTATCAGGTTAAACTGTCAAACTATCTTCCGACGAGGCGACAGGAAACAGGGGGTCCCGAACCAATGGACCTCTGCTACACCGAGAGCGAGAACTCTCGCTCTTTGAGTCATAAGCGAACGGCAAGATGCTATCGCTGTCAGAATATCGGACACTACGCTCATGAGTGTAGTGTCCCGAGCACTGCAACACTTCCAAAGACAGGACGTGATGACCGCCGTTGGCCAAGGTAGAGTCCGAGGCGTGGGTCCGACCATGTCGCCAAGCCGCGACAGCAATTCGGACCGTAAAAAATGGTCAGGAGCAGTAGGGGCGGGCCCCCTGCTGATCCAGCAACGTCAAGATAATTTGTAGGACTCTTGACGAAGATTGCTCCCAACATGTAGTCTCTGTGTGTTACTGCCCTTAGTGATGAGTAGTCTCTCATTACTTTAAATACTGAAGTGACAACTGGAATGTCACCTCGCGCCCTAGTTGACCGTGGGGTTTCAAACAGTTTCATTCGACGCCAGTCGCTAGGGAAGGTACTCTCAACTATGTTGAGCGAGAGTTCTCTTCAACGAGGATGACGGTGTGCCTTGCTACAGGCGCATCCGTAACAGTAAACAAACGTGTAGTGGTCATCCACTACAGGCTAGAAGGAAAGCAGTACGATGATAACTTTATCGTATTGGATTTGAATGACAAATTCGATGTCATCCTTGGTCTGCCATGGCTTAGAAAGTACCAGCCATAGGTAGCTGGCAGCATCTATCCGTAAAGATGCCTGCCGTTTGTTCATCGGGTGGCCATCTGATGAACGTCTTGAGCGTCCACAAGCGTGTGGATGTACTACGAGTGAGTTCGATGGCCTCACTTGTGGTACGGTCGTTAGTACGATTGCACAATATCACAGTGTAGAAGACCACTGCACTGTGGAACTTGTAACGGGGCACCCTGAAGCTTGTGCTGGTGACAGTACAAGCTACTTATTCTGATAACAGAATAAGGCGGTGCCTCGTAACTTCACGTACACTAGTACGTGCAGAGGAAGACGGTAAGAAGAAGCGAGTACTTGGTTAGAGTAAAAAGTAGAACTGTATTTATAATAGTTAATATCTGCAATAAATCACTATTTATCTTCATCTAACTATGTCTAAATACAAATGTGTAAATCAGTTATCTGCTCACCACTCATTGCGTGCGTCTGTCGTGGCGCGTCTTCGTTGGTTGATATAATGGCCTATATCAACCAATTAGGAACTACTTGTAAGTGCTACAGAATATTTGTCCTTATGACAATATTCTGAGAATATAACTCTTATAGTTATATTCTATTAACAATTTCTTATAAATTGTTATATAACGATTCACCCCGTTACATCACCCCCCCCTTAACCATCAGTCACTTTAGTGACTGATTGACTAAATGGATACTCGTCCCAAATCATTTGGGACAGGGTTTGCACTTGTTGGTCCGCGTCCACTTTCCAACATTTCATCGCATGGTAAACAAGCCCATGCGATGCGCGAGCAAGGCCGCCGAGAGCGCGTCTGCACGTCTCTGTGCGGACGCCGAAGCAGAAACAACAGCAACTGATGTCTCATCGGTTGCTGAAGAGACCCAGCCTGTGTCACTTGGTGACGCAGGCGCTGGTCATGAAGACACTCGTGTCTTCACAGAGTACGAGCTCGGTGTCTCGTACTCTCCTGATACGGATGACGGATCCGTATCGACGGCGATTGAATCTAAGCCGCCTGCCAAGCGTGGCATGGACGATGCTTTGCGTCGCAGCATCTTTGGTTCATCTGATGAGTCAGATGAACCATCGCCGAAGCGAAGGCGCTCGAGGTCGCGAGACTCGGGCGCTAATAGTGGTGTCGGTTCTCCAATGGACACCACTTCACAGCGAGGTGCCAGTACTTCTGTCGGCACGTCGCAGGAGAGCGGGACCGCAATGTGTTGCGTCTCGCTCCAGAAAAGAAGGCATGGATGCCTCCAAAATCAGTCATGGATCACTTGTCGGCGACGACGAGTGATCGTTATCGAACACGATTGTTCGATTCGTCAAGGATCCATCACCTTGACCCCAGCGCGAAAGACTATCGCGCTGAACATGAGTTCTTCATCGATGCTTTCTTTAGACATCGATGGTACAGTGGGAATCACAAACGTGATGGTCCCTCACTACTTCAGGCGTGGAACGCCTACATCCATAACCTCGAGGATGTAGGTCGTGACGCTTGGAACGACAAACTTATCAAAGCTCGTGATAAGTTTGAAAAGCGAACCCCGACAGGTGCACGCTACAAGCTGCATCGTCTGTCAAGGGAGAAAGGATTACCCTGCCTCTCTTGGGGAGACTCGTGCCCATGTTGTGTGAACAACTCTGCACGAGCACCTAAGGAGGCTTACCTCCTTACCAGCCCGTGGTGGCGCGTACGTGTCTCTACTGAGATGTACGAAGGGATTGACAACCTGAAATCCCTTTACGACCGTGCCGGGAAGACTTTCTCCGGCGGTCCTTCTGCGGCACAGGATGTGCCGCGTCGTACTGCTCGACCAGACCCAGTACGTCAATCATCAATTGGGAGCGGGGCTCCCAAGAATCCCAGGACGGGGGATAGCCGCGCCACCGGACGAGGTAACTCGTCCGACGTCCGTTCACGTCGCGGTGGTTCAACAGCTGCTCAACTAGATAGCGCTGGCCACCGCGAGAGTCCTCTAATGGAGGTGGAGGAGGAGGAAAGACGCTCTCCACACGATCATGTGGATCGGTGTGTTCCCGAGAGCTTCTTTGATCGCGTAACGCAAGGGTTACGCGACGATCTCGAGCATGAGCGGAATAGGCGTCTCCAGATGGTGGACACTGCCTCGAAGCATCGAGCTGAGTTTGCCTTTGCTCAGCTTGAGAACGAGAGATCTCTGACATCTCTTCGTGACGAGCTAAGGGTAGCTCGTGGGATTGTTGATCGGTCTCGGGATCAGATAGCTGCTCTTCAGACCCTTGTTGATGCCCACCATCGGGAGCACAAGGCTCTCTGCGAGATGCTTGAGCGCAAGGGCGTTCTTCATCGGAAGAAGCAGCGTACTGATGGTACGGCTTAAGCCGACCAACGTAAAACGTGGGATGCGTTCGCATCTTACGTGGTAACTCGATCGTGTATGCATTGCCTAGGCGGCGCAATACACGAAATGGGCCAATGTACTTGGGTAGTAGTTTACTGCTACCCAAGTTAGTCACTACATGCTTTGGTAGATTAACCGTAGACAGTAGGACTAAGTCACCTTTATTAAATAAAAGAGTGTTTGCCCTTCCATTCTTGTCAGCGTTTTGCTTTTGCTTATCCACCGCTTCGGCGATGGAGTCTTGCACAAAACGGACTACCGTTTCACGAGCCAGTATGAACTCATCTGATGACTCGTTAGCTTCAGTGTGCTGTGAGCGCACTGCAGCAACAACAACCTTTTCTTCAGTGAGGGCTTCCGCACTCTCACTGGGATCATTGTGTTCAGTGAGGGCTTCCGCACTCTCACTGGCATCATCTTCTTCGATATCGATGTTATCGATATCGGCATCAAACGCAATGACTTCTTCGTCAGAGCGTGATGAGCGTGAACCAAATCGGTTTTTGCTCGCGCGAGTCCCTCCCCCCCTTAAACCAGAGTTACACTCTAGTAAGGTGGGTACACGCGGATGGCGCAAGCCATTCACGTAAAACGGTGTATGTGTCGTGGACGCATGCACCGAGTTGTTGATGGCAAACTCTACCATTGGCAAAAACTCACTCCAACTCTTAAAGGAGTGTACGTATCCTCGAAGTATCTCTTCAAGGACACGATTGGCACGTTCCGTCTGACCATCTGACTCTGGATGATCAGATGTTGACATCTTCAAGCGCGTTCCGAGTGATTTGAACACGGAACGCCAGAAATCAGCAGTGAATCGTGGATCTCTGTCTGATACGAGTTCACGGGGCAACCCATGAAGTCGGAAGATGGTGTCAATAAAGACACAAGCACAGCCACTTGCCGTGATTGTCTCTGGTACAGCCACAAGGTGTACCATTTTGCTGAATCTGTCAACAAATACGAGAATACCCGTATTCCCGCGTGCGTCTTTGGGTAACCCGAAGACGAAATCCATTGAGATGGATTCCCAGCACTCAGCCGGAACCGGTAGAGGCTGTAAAGGTGCACGCAGTGAAGGACTTGACTTCACTCGTTGGCAGACTTCGCATGCGCGAACATACTTTCGCACAAACTGATACTGGCGGGGCCAGTAAAAGTCTCGACTTACCGTGAGATATGATTTCTCTCGGCCACGATGTCCTCCTATAGGAGCATCGTGATACTCGAACATGATCCGCAAACGCAGACCAGTATCATCTGGAATGACAACACGTGGTGTGTCACCAGAAACGGCTGTATAATACAGTAAACCGTTACGAGTAGTGTATCGATCTGATGCAGATCGATACGCAGGCGACAATCGTTTCAACGATTCTCGGGATGGTTGGGAGAGATGTGACAACAACTTCACTATCTCACCATCTTGGGCAAACGCCCGCCTCACATCATCATACAGCATTGTAGATGGAACTGAGGACGTCATAACCGCAACAGTGACTGTCTCACTGTTGGGTTTCGCGACTGTTTCAAAGTCGGGACGACGTGAGAGTGCATCAGCGACGACATTAAGTCGTCCTGGTTTGTACTCGACCGTAAAGTTGTATTCCGCAAAGAATGACAACCACCGCGCCATTCGTTGTGAAAGGTGCGGGCTGTTCACTGCCGTGCGTAATGACGCATGGTCAGTGTAAACAACGAAGGGTCTATCTCCTAATAGATAGACTCTGAACTTCGCGAGTGCATACTTCATGGCAAGGAGTTCCTTGTCATGCACTGGATAGTTCCGCTCAGCTGGTTGCAGCTGACGCGACTGATAGCAGACGACGCGTTCAACGCCTTCAAGATCGTACTGCATTAATGCACAGCCGATTGCGAAATCACTGGCATCACAGACCACATGAAATGGCCTGTCCTGGTCGGCTATTGCTAGGACTGGGGATTGTATCAAGCTCTGCTTGATACCCTCAAAGGAGCGCTGACATTCAGCGTTCCATAACCACCTCTCGTTCTTTTTCAACAAACGAGAGAGGTGTACAGTCATCTCGGCGTAATTGCGTGAATACTTTTGCAAATACGCCGCTAGCCCAAGGAATTTTCGAAGACCTTTGACATCGACCGGCACAGGCCAGTCGGTGATCGCCTTGATCTTTTCGGGATCAGGACGTACACCGTTCTTACCAACGATGCACCCAAGAAGTGGTATTTCGCTTGCTGCAAATATACACTTCTTGAGGTTTGCATACAATTGATGCTTTCGCATGATTGTAAGAACTTGTCGGACGTGGTACCTGTGAACCTCAACGTCCGACTTTCCATCCATAGCTCGACTATGGATGAATACGTCATCGAAATAACTCGGCGCGAACTCTCGTACTGGTCTCAACAGATGTGATACACATCTGTTGAACGTGGCAGGGGCATTACTGAGCCCTTGTGGCATTACTAGCCATTCCCAGAGCATGCCGCTAGGCGTGCTAACTGCGGTATAGGGTATATCCCGTTCCCGCATTAGGATTTGATAGAAGCCATCCATCAAATCCATGGACGAAAAGATGGTACTCTTTGACATACCATCAATGATTACGTCCTTCCTCGGTATCGGCGTCCGAGCCGGTACCGTTGCAGCGTTCAATTTGTTGAAAGTGTGCACTATCCGCCACCCTCCTGTTGCTTTTCGCACACAGAAGGTCGGAGAGCTATGTGGGGAAGTTGATTCCCTCACATGGCCCGCTGCTAAACGATCGGCAAAGAACTTGTCGATCGCAAGTACTTGTTCACGAGGCAGTGGCCACTGCTTCATGACACAGTACTTCGAGCCTGGTTTAAGCTCGACTTCGTGTCGAATACCTTTATCCTTCGGTAATTCGCACGGAACAGTTTCAGGGAATACATCCTTGAATTCAACCAAATCCTCATAGAGAGGATTTTCCTTGAGCGATTCCCATGATTGGGACTCATATCGCTCAATTCGTGTCTTTTCATCTAGGACACTCTCGTCCATAGATGAACTACTGAGAACTCTCTCGTTCTCAGTAAACACTGTTGCTGACCTTATGTCGGTTACACACTCGTCGTCAGCGACGAGTATGCAGATCTGCTTGACTTTGCCACTACGCAGATCACGCAAGAACCTTTTATGTTCGAGCGTTGGCACTGAGTGATCTCCGAAGTTAACTTCGGAGGCGCAATCAGATCAAGTGTATAAGCGCCTACACATGATCCGTTATTGACTATGACATTCAATGTCTCTGTCATTTCCTGGGGACTTATTCCCTCAGGCTTCGAAGGACTTATTCCTTCGTCTTCCCGGGGACTTATTCCCGCGGGTTTCGGGGAACTTATTTCCGCCGTATTTGTAATATCGGGACTTATTCCCTTAACTTCCTCTAGCTGTGGTTGCGCAACCACAGCGAGATCCTCTACGAAAGACTCTCCAGTCGATCTAGGATTATCGTTTCGCTTAACCTGAGCGATCGATTGTTTCTCTTCTAGATGTTCCCCTCTAGGGATACATCTTTGTCCCAGTCCACCCGACTTATTCGAGTGGTGGACCTTCGGCGCAGCCTGTGTTTCCTCACAGCCGCCGGAACTTTGCTCCGAAGTGTAACCGTTTGGTACACTAAGGTTTTGTGCAGTCGTACTAACGACCGTACCACAAGTGAGGCCATCGCACTCACTGTAGTACATCCACACGCTTGTGGACGCTCCAAAACGTTCATCAGATGGCCATCTGATGAACAAGCGGCAGGCATCGTTACTGTCCGATGTTGCCAGTTTACCCGTGGTTCGTACCTTCTGAGCCACGGTATTCCAAGGATGACATCAAATTTGTCATCCAAATCCAATACGATAAAGTCATCGTCATATTGGGTATCTTCTAGCGTATAGCGAATCTTCACTATACGCTTCATGACGGTTACGGATGCGCCTGTCGCAAGACGTACCGTCATCCTCGTAGGAGGTGTGTCACATTCACTGAATTTAAAGTGACCATCTTCTAGCGATTGGCGTCGCACAAAATTGTTGGACGCCCCACAATCGACTAGAGCTCGAAGGGACAACTTATTCGTCACTTCGAGTTTCAAGGTAATGAGTGAGATCTCATTACCTAGAGCAGCAACGCACAACGTCTGTGTGTTGGGAGCAACCTTCATCAAGAGGCCTACAAATTCTCTTGACGTTGCTGGATCAGTAGGGTGCTCCGCACCTACTGATCCTGTCCGTTTTTTGACGGTCCATCCCGTTGTTGCGTCTTTGCACCAACTGCGGACCCTCGTCCCTGCCCCTTTCTCATGGGTGGACGGTCACTACGCCCAGTGTCGCGAGACACTGGACGAAGGGCACTACACTCGTAAGCGTAGTGTCCTGTCTTCTGACATCTGTTGCATCTCTGCAACTTCTTGTAGCCTGTAGAGCGAACCTTCTCGCTCTCTACATAACAGAGTTCCATCGGCTCTGGACCTCCGCTGTCATATCGCCTCGGTTGACGATATGATGTCGAGCTGGCGCGAGCCTGTCTCAGACTGAAGTCTTCCTGCTCCGCAATGGAAATGGCTTGTTCTAGTGAATCTAGTTCAAGCCGGAACAGGTGAGTCTTGACGGGACCATCCGCAAGACCCTGCATGAACACCGAAACCAACGTGTGTTCATCCACTGGATTGGAACTTATACAACTCGTAAGATGTCGTATATGTTGAGCGTAAGCGTGCACATCACGCTTACCCTGCTTGAGCTTCAAGAGTTCGGTTCGAGCCCTGAACTCAGCCCTAGGCGGTTCAAACGTTTGTCTGAGCCGCGACTTGAAGACTTCCAACGACCCAAACGCATATGGGTCGTGCAGCTTGAGCCCCAGTGCCCAAGTCTTGGCACGTCCTGCCAGATTTGATTGGGCAAATGCAACTTGCATATCCCCGTCGTCGATGCGACGCGCCCTTATGGCGTCATCCAATTCGACGAACCATCTCAAGAGGGAGTCTTCTTCGACCCCTCTATACTTTGAGATGTCAATCTTCAAAGTCTCGGGCCGACGCGAGTGCATCGACCCGCCAGCAGCAGCCTGCTGCTGTCTCAACAGTTCAAACTGTTGAGCACCTTGTTCTCTCAACAACTCTGCTTGTTGAGAACCTTGTTGGTGAAGCAAGGCTACTTTCTCGCGTTCAGCGTCAAGTTCATTTTGGATGAACTTGGCGATAGTAGCATGTTGGGCATCTCTATTGAGAGCCTCTAGCATGACGCTAACAGCATGGATGCCCATGGTCGAACCCATTCGTTCAACCGCATCCCATTCGACATCGCTCAAATGGGAGTAGCCGTCACGCGTAGCGTGAAAGCTTTGGTCATCTTCATCATCCAACATATTCATGTTGGATGTGAACGCGGTCCTTGGACGGACTACAAAGTGCTACCAGGTGTAACGGGGCACCCTGAAGCTTGTACTGGTGACAGTACAAGCTACTTATTCTGATAACAGAATAAGGCGGTGCCTCGTAACTTCACGTACACTAGTACGTGCAGAGGAAGACGGTAAGAAGAAGCGAGTACTTGGTTAGAGTAAAAAGTAGAACTGTATTTATAATAGTTAATATCTGCAATAAATCACTATTTATCTTCATCTAACTATGTCTAAATACAAATGTGTAAATCAGTTATCTGCTCACCACTCATTGCGTGCGTCTGTCGTGGCGCGTCTTCGTTGGTTGATATAATGGCCTATATCAACCAATTAGGAACTACTTGTAAGTGCTACAGAATATTTGTCCTTATGACAATATTCTGAGAATATAACTCTTATAGTTATATTCTATTAACAATTTCTTATAAATTGTTATATAACGATTCACCCCGTTACAGAACTAGCTTCCGGCACCTGTGTAGAGACACAGGCTGCGCCAAAGGATCACCACTCGAAGAGATCGAGTGGACTGGAACACGGATGCACACCAAGAAGGGTGCATCCGAGACGAGAGATTGGTGTTATTCAGGATGAACGACACGCTGAAGTGAGATCGACTATCAGAGAGTCGATCGTAGAGCTAGCCCGATCGACTGAAAGAGATTCGATCGAAGAGGACGTGACCGTGATTGTACACGTAACGGAAGAAACTTCCGGCGTTCTTGAGAGCAATAACTCCCAAAAGAGTTATGTTGAGGATGCGGATCCCCACCCACCTTGCGGGTGTGTTTTCCCTGGAATCACGAGTCAGTGAACGTCTTGGTGAATGACGGATCAAGTGTAGGTGATTATACGCTTGATCTGGTGACGCCCCCGAAGTCAGATTCGGAGGTGGTCAAGTTGCTAACGCTAGAATCTAAAAGATGCTTGCGAGATCTGCGTAGTGACAAGACCAAGCAGATCTGCGTTCTCGTCACAGAGGATGAGTACGTCGCCGATATTCGATCGGCACAAGTGTTTGCTAAGAACGAACGGTTCTCAGTAGCTCATCTATGGACTAGAGTGTCCTTGATGAGAAGACCCGGATTGAGCGATACATGTCTCAATCTTGTGAGTCTTTAAAGACAAATCCTTTGTACAAGGATTTGGTTGAATTCAGGGATGTTTTCCCTGAAACTGTTCCGTGCGAATTACCGAAGGATAAAGGTATTCGACACGAGGTCGAGCTTCAACCAGGCTCGAAATACTGTGTCATGAAGCAGTGGCCACTGCCTCGTGAACAAGTACTTGCGATCGACAAATTCTTTGCTGATCGTTTAGCTGCGGGCCATGTGAGGGAATCAACTTCCCCACATAACTCTCCGACCTTCTGTGTGCGAAAAGCAACAGGAGGGTGGTGGATAGTGCACACTTTCAACAAATTGAACGCTGCAACGGTACCGGCTCGGACGCCGATACTACGGAAGGACATAATCATTGATGGTATGTCAAAGAGTACCATCTCTTCGTCCATGGATTTGATGGATGGATTCTATCATGTCCTCATGCGTGAACGGGATATCCCTTTCACAGCAGTGAGCACCCCCAGTGGTATGCTCTGGGAGTGGCTAGTGATACCACAAGGGCTAAGTAACGCCCCCGCAACGTTCAACAGATGTGTTACGAATCTGTTGCGACCGGCGCGCGACTTCGCACCGAGTTACTTCGACGATTTCTTCGTCCATAGCCGGGCTATGGATGGAAAGACGGACGTGGAGGTTCATAGAATCCACGTCCGAAAGGTTCTTACTCTAATGCGAGAGCATAAGATGTTCGCGAACCTTAACAAGTGCATTTTCGTAGCGAGCGAAATACCACTTCTTGGCTGCATCGTGGATAAAAACGGTGTACGCCCTGATCCGGAAAATATCAGGGCGAGTAGCGACTGGCCTGTGCCATTCGACGTCAAGGGATTTTGAAAGTTCCTTGGCTTGGCAGCGTATTTGCACAAATACTCGCGCAACTATGCCGAGATGACCGTACATCTCTCTCGTCTACTAAAAACGAGAGGTGGCCATGGAGCGCTGAGTGTCAGCACTCTTTTGAAGGCATCAGGAAATCTTGTTGCAATCGCCTGTGTTGGCGATTGCAGATCAGGATAGGCCATTTCGTGTGGTCTGTGACGCCAGCAATTTTGCAATCGGCTGCGCGTTGATGCAGTACGACTCAGACGGCGTTGAGCGCGTCGTCTGTTATCAATCGCGTCAGCTGCAAACAGCTGAGCGGAACTATCCATTGCATGACAAGGAACTTCTTGCCACGAAATATGCACTGGCCAAGTTTCGGGTATGTCTCTTAGGAGAAAGGCCCTTCATCGTTTATACCGACCATGCGTCGTTGCGCACGGCCGTAAACAGTCCACACCATTCGCAACGAATGGCGAGGTGGCTGTCTTTCTTCGCGGAGTACAACTTCTCCGTCGAGTATAAACCAGGAAGACTTAATGTCGTTGATGATTCTCTTTCGCGTCGGCCCGATTTCGAGCCGACTGCTCAACCCAGCGTTAGGGTTGATCCCACTGTCGCGAAACTAACAGTGAGTGTTCCGTCGTCAAATCTGCTCGATGACGTGCGAAAAGCATACGCAGAAGATGAGTCTCTTCTGCGGTTGATGGATTACGTATCCAATCCGTGTAATCAAGATTTGAAAATCTTGTCGTCTCAATACCGCTCTTCAACCGAACGGTATTCTGTTCGTGATGGACTGCTATAATATACAGCATTCAACGGCGACACAACTCGTGTCGTCCTTCCCTCTCATGATGATTTGCGATTGCGCATCATTTATGAGTGTCACGATGCCCCAAAAAATGGACATCGCGGTAAAGACAAGACTTACCTCATGGTGAGTCGTGACTTCTACTGGCCTTGCCAGTATGAGTTTGTGCGGAAATACATTCGCGCTTGCGAAATTTGTCAACGAGTGAAGCCTAGTCCTTCATCCCGCGCAACCTTACAGCCTCTTCCGATTCCGGCCGAGTGTTGGCAGTCCGTATCGATGGACTTCGTCTTCGGGTTTCCCAAGACGTTCATAGGAATACTGATATTCTTGTGTTGGTTGATCGGTTCAGCAAGATGATACACCTTGTTGCTGTACCGGAGTCGATCACAGCCCAGGGCTGTGCGGTTGTCTTCTTCAATACTATCTTTCGACTTCATGGGTTACCCCATGAAATCGTGTCCGATAGGAACCCCCGCTTCACAGCGGAGTTCTGGCAATCCGTGTTCCGTTCACTTGGAACACGTTTGACGATGACAATTTCTGACCATCCCGAAACAGATGGTCAAACAGAACGCGTCAACCGCGTTCTCGAAGAGATACTTCGAGGGTATGTCCACTCGTTTACGAGCTGGAGTGAGTTCTTGCCGATGGCGGAATTCGCCATCAATTACTCGGTGCACGCGTCTACAACGCATACACCGTTCTTCGTGAATGGCCTACGCCATCCACGCTTACCCGCCTTCTTAGAGTGTGATTCTAGTTTAAGGGGGGTGGACTCGCTCGAAAAAAACCGATCTAGTTCTTGCTCATCACCCGTCGACAATGGTGTCAACGTGATGGATGCTGATGTCGGTGGGATCGATGTCGATGATGACGATGACGACGATGCTGGCATATTCAGCATCGCCAATGACCGCCAAAGTGAGGACGAAGACACCCTCAATGGTGAAGACGACGTTCTTTCAGCAGTGCACACAAAGCGCACTGCTGTTGACAAGGATGAATCAGCAGAGGAATTTCTGCTGACTCGCGAAGCGGTTGTCCGCTTCGTTCGAGACTCTATTGCAGATGCACTAGACAGACAGAAGAGAAACGCAGACAAACATGTAAGAGCAAGTGTTCTTTCATTTGATAAAGGAGACCTAGCTTTTACTGTCTACAGTAAACTTACCGAAACACGCAGTGACAAATGTGGGCAGCAGTAAATTACTGCCCAGGTGCATCGGTCCATTTCATGTGTTGCGCCGAATGGGCAACGCATACACGATTATACTGCCCCATAAGATGCGTACACGTCCTACGTTTTATGTCGGTCGTCTACGCCCGTAATATCAGTATAAGCCCGTTTCGAGATGCGAAGAACACCTCCGCGGTCGAGAGCCGAGACCACCTTCGAGTGGTCCCGTTTCAACGAGCCAGTCTCGTCGACTAGCGAAGCGACCTTTTCACGCAATTCAGCGATGTCTCGACAAGCTACAGCCAGCTCGTCACGAAGAGAACGAGTCGAACGTTCGTTCTCAATTTGCGCGAGCGCAAAAGCGGCGCGATCGTCCGAACGATCGTGCGTTAGGGAATTATAATCATCCCTAACAAGATCCTCAAGTCCATAACGCCGAGATCGTTCATGAGCCAGGTCATCTTGCAACTGTACCGTTAGACGGCTCAGCTCCTGAACATCAAGTTGATCCGACCCTCGAGCCGGATCAGGTGTTCCCACCGCCACCACATCCTTTGGTGGACTCAAGCGGTGGTCAACGCTTCCTAGTGGAGCGTATTTTGAACCACCGCGATGTGAATAACGTCCGGACGAGTTACCTCTTCCGCTGACGTGGCTATCCATCGGCATGGGACAGCTGGGAGCCTCATGCCCAGCTGATTGTTGATGTCCTTGGTCTCGTCGAGCAGTACGACGAGACCCACCCGCTGCGTTTGAAGAAGGGCCGTCGGAAAACGACCTCCCCGAACGCGAGTACAGGGATTGCAAGGTGTCAATCCCTTCGGCCATCTCAGAAGAGATGCGCGCCCTCCAGTAGGGATCATTAGGGAGGTAGGCCTTACTAGGAGCACGGTTCGAGTTGTCCAGGCAACCTGGACACGAATCACCCCACGAGAGACAGGGTAATCCTGCCTCTATTGAAAGCCGGTGCAACATGTATCGCGCCCCGACTAGGTTGCGTTTCTCAAACCTGATGCGAGCTGCATCAAGTTTGGCGAGCCAAGCCTCACGACCAATACACTCAATGTTGTGGACGAGGGCATTCCATCCCTACACCAAGGCTTTGCCGTCCCGAACACGGCTATCATTGTACCACCGATGTTTAAAGAACGCATCAGTGAAGAACACTTTCTTAGCACGGATAGTTCCGTGCTGGAATCGGCTAGGCAAATATTCCTGCAATCGAAAACCGGATTCGATTCCGTTCGGTAGTCGTGCCGGCCAACCGTTCCAACTCTCTGGATGGCGGCATCCATGGAGACTCCACTTGGGGAGCGCGGTGCAGGACATTTCGGTTCCTGGCCTCTTGATTTGGTGCCAGCATGAGCACTAGCACCAGTGTTACCCCGATCCCTTGAGTTACTTCGCTCTTGGTGATGTGTAGGTGTATCACCACCATCCCCACGCGTCCTATCGTTGAATGGACTTGTGTGAGGCGGAGATTCATCGGAATAATCACTCGATCCGAAGTTCTCGGTCACAATACCGCCGCGTTGACCAGATCCAGTCAACCTGGCTCTTGCAGTGTCCGCCCCGGGTGATCCCGAGGCGTGAGGAGTCGCCTTCGAGTCGGATGCATCATCCGAATTGCCAGAATAGATGAGCTCTATCTCAGACTCGTCTGGATTACGATTTGAGGTACCGGCTGCAGACGCAACGGATTAACCTGTCGCACGTGGTGACTCACCACGTAGAGGATTCACGACAGCAGGCGACGAACCGCGCGCTGACGAGTCTTGAGAGGCACTTTCCGCGGCCGCACGCATGCGTGTAGCCGCTCTGCTTGCTGCTGCAGTAGCAACTCGCGTGGTTTTCGATACCATGCGTTGGATTGGCAAATGAATGGACTTTGACCAACAAGTGCTCCCTTTCCCAGAGTGATCCAACGGTGGTCACCCTGTCCCAATGAATTCTAATTCAATCAACGGGTGATTGATGGCTAAGGGGGTGGGGGTGATGTAACGGGGTGGCCAGTTACAGGAAATTGACACCGAACGGTGTCAATTGGAATATTGTCTAGCATGACGATATTCTACCGATATTATCCGGGATGGATAATATTGAAGGAATATTATCCCTTTTTGGATAATATTCATTCGCTGCTCCAAAATTGTTTGATACAAGACATGTCAACCACAGATTGCCACCAATCGCTGCTAGACGCGCGCAATGAGTGGTGAGCAGGTTGTCGTCATACGACGACGTAGTTTAAAATAGTTAGATAAAGATTAACGTTGTACTGATAGCTTAACTATATTAAATACAGTTCTCTTTTTACCTTTACTTGACCGAGTCGTTCAAGTAGATTAGCGTCCTCTGCACGTACTAGTGTACGTGAAGTTTCGCGGCACCCCAAACAAAGGGTGCCCCGTTACAAACATTTTTTGATTTTTATCATGCTTTTTACCATAATGAACGAGCAAGAAACTCCATTTGTTATGTCCTATTGCGTTCGTACAGCATATAGAAAACTCTCTCGGTGATGTAATTTGACGTAAATTCGAAATTCTCACATCTGTTGCGGTTGACACAAAGCGAGAGGAACCATTGCGATACGTCAAACTCCACCCCCTTTAATTCGTCACTCGCGTACTCTACTGCGTTCAAATCAGATGTACTGGTTGCCCGGTCGAGAACTTCCTGTTTGGCCGAGGCCTCAGCATGGCTTAAGAATAGCGTGCAATGCCGCCCCATTCAATATAGCGTTTCTCCACTATATCCAAAGGCGTATTCAGAAACATCAGTTCACGACACTTCAAAATCTCTCTCTTCGTCCAGACTGGCATGCAAAGCCTGTCGCCCTTTTCTATAAAAAAGCGTTACGAAATCTCCCTGCGTGGCGATGCGATTAGAATTGTCTTTGCTTTGTAGTATGATGGTCTGACGCCATCCACCACGTAGAACGATCCGTACTGCTCTAAGACGTCATCAAAATTTGTCGACGATCCTTCAAACACCTTTTCGTCTGAAATAGAAAACATTTTTCCTTCGATTTGGAGCTCTCGTAAACCACCGTTGCCCCAGCGCGCGCAAGATATACCAAAACGAAAAAGCCGAAATAGGTCTTGCCTATTCCAGGATTGCCGAAGATGACAAGCTGCCAATAGATCTCCGGTTTGTTGTTGAGAGCATTTCGACATACATCCCATAGCTTCGGGTAGCAAGGACGAACGCATATACGAGAGCCAAGAACCTGCTGACCAAAATAAAAGTTTACTCGGCTAATGTGATTACAGAATCAGCCACAAAATCGGTAGATACCTTTAACGAGGAACCCTTTGCTTGTGATGCCGCGAAACTTCACGTACACTAGTACGTACAGAGGAAGCTAATCTACTTGAACGACTCGGTCAAGTAAAGGTAAAAAGAGAACTGTATTTAATATAGTTAAGCTATCAGTACAACGTTAATCTTTATCTAACTATTTTAAACTACGTCGTCGTATGACGACAACCTGCTCACCACTCATTGCGCGCGTCTAGCAGCGATTGGTGGCAATCTGTGGTTGACATGTCTTGTATCAAACAATTTTGGAGCAGCGAATGAATATTATCCAAAAAGGGATAATATTCCTTCAATATTATCCATCCCGGATAATATCGGTAGAATATCGTCATGCTAGACAATATTCCAATTGACACCGTTCGGTGTCAATTTCCTGTAACTGGCCACCCCGTTACATCACCCCCACCCCCTTAGCCATCAATCACCCGTTGATTGAATTAGAATTCATTGGGACAGGGTGACCACCGTTGGATCACTCTGGGAAAGGGAGCACTTGTTGGTCAAAGTCCATTCATTTGCCAATCCAACGCATGGTATCGAAAACCACGCGAGTTGCTACTGCAGCAGCAAGCAGAGCGGCTACACGCATGCGTGCGGCCGCGGAAAGTGCCTCTCAAGACTCGTCAGCGCGCGGTTCGTCGCCTGCTGTCGTGAATCCTCTACGTGGTGAGTCACCACGTGCGACAGGTTAATCCGTTGCGTCTGCAGCCGGTACCTCAAATCGTAATCCAGACGAGTCTGAGATAGAGCTCATCTATTCTGGCAATTCGGATGATGCATCCGACTCGAAGGCGACTCCTCACGCCTCGGGATCACCCGGGGCGGACACTGCAAGAGCCAGGTTGACTGGATCTGGTCAACGCGGCGGTATTGTGACCGAGAACTTCGGATCGAGTGATTATTCCGATGAATCTCCGCCTCACACAAGTCCATTCAACGATAGGACGCGTGGGGATGGTGGTGATGCACCTACACATCACCAAGAGCGAAGTAACTCAAGGGATCGGGGTAACACTGGTGCTAGTGCTCATGCTGGCACCAAATCAAGAGGCCAGGAACCGAAATGTCCTGCACCGCGCTCCCCAAGTGGAGTCTCCATGGATGCCGCCATCCAGAGAGTTGGAACGGTTGGCCGGCACGACTACCGAACGGAACCGAATCCGGTTTTCGATTGCAGGAATATTTGCCTAGCCGATTCCAGCACGGAAACTATCCGTGCTAAGAAAGTGTTCTTCACTGATGCGTTCTTTAAACATCGGTGGTACAATGATAGCCGTGTTCGGGACGGCAAAGCCTTGGTGTAGGGATGGAATGCCCTCGTCCACAACATTGAGTGTATTGGTCGTGAGGCTTGGCTCGCCAAACTTGATGCAGCTCGCATCAGGTTTGAGAAACGCAACCTAGTCGGGGCGCGATACATGTTGCACCGGCTTTCAATAGAGGCAGGATTACCCTGTCTCTCGTGGGGTGATTCGTGTCCAGGTTGCCTGGACAACTCGAACCGTGCTCCTAGTAAGGCCTACCTCCCTAATGATCCCTACTGGAGGGCGCGCATCTCTTCTGAGATGGCCGAAGGGATTGACACCTTGCAATCCCTGTACTCGCGTTCGGGGAGGTCGTTTTCCGACGGCCCTTCTTCAAACGCAGCGGGTGGGTCTCGTCGTACTGCTCGACGAGACCAAGGACATCAACAATCAGCTGGGCATGAGGCTCCCAGCTGTCCCATGCCGATGGATAGCCACGTCAGCGGAAGAGGTAACTCGTCCGGACGTTATTCACATCGCGGTGGTTCAAAATACGCTCCACTAGGAAGCGTTGACCACCGCTTGAGTCCACCAAAGGATGTGGTGGCGGTGGGAACACCTGATCCGGCTCGAGGGTCGGATCAACTTGATGTTCAGGAGCTGAGCCGTCTAACGGTACAGTTGCAAGATGACCTGGCTCATGAACGATCTCGGCGTTATGGACTTGAGGATCTTGTTAGGGATGATTATAATTCCCTAACGCACGATCGTTCGGACGATCGCGCCGCTTTTGCGCTCGCGCAAATTGAGAACGAACGTTCGACTCGTTCTCTTCGTGACGAGCTGGCTGTATCTTGTCGAGACATCGCTGAATTGCGTGAAAAGGTCGCTTCGCTAGTCGACGAGACTGGCTCGTTGAAACGGGACCACTCGAAGGTGGTCTCGGCTCTCGACCGCGGAGGTGTTCTTCGCATCTCGAAACGGGCTTATACTGATATTACGGGCGTAGACGACCGACATAAAACGTAGGACGTGTAAGCATCTTATGGGGCAGTATAATCGTGTATGCGTTGCCCATTCGGCGCAACACATGAAATGGACCGATGCACCTGGGCAGTAATTTACTGCTGCCCACATTTGTCACTGCGTGTTTCGGTAAGTTTACTGTAGACAGTAAAAGCTAGGTCTCCTTTATCAAATGAAAGAACACTTGCTCTTACATGTTTGTCTGCGTTTCTCTTCTGTCTGTCTAGTGCATCTGCAATAGAGTCTCGAACGAAGCGGACAACCGCTTCGCGAGTCAGCAGAAATTCCTCTGCTGATTCATCCTTGTCAACAGCAGTGCGCTTTGTGTGCACTGCTGAAAGAAAACGTCGTCTTCACCATTGAGGGTGTCTTCGTCCTCACTTTGGCGGTCATTGGCGATGCTGAATATGCCAGCATCGTCGTCATCGTCATCATCGACATCGATCCCACCGACATCAGCATCCATCACGTTGACACCATTGTCGACGGGTGATGAGCAAGAACTAGATCGGTTTTTTTCGAGCGAGTCCACCCCCCTTAAACTAGAATCACACTCTAAGAAGGCGGGTAAGCGTGGATGGCGTAGGCCATTCACGAAGAACGGTGTATGCGTTGTAGACGCGTGCACCGAGTAATTGATGGCGAATTCCGCCATCGGCAAGAACTCACTCCAGCTCGTAAACGAGTGGACATACCCTCGAAGTATCTCTTCGAGAACGCGGTTGACGCGTTCTGTTTGACCATCTGTTTCGGGATGGTCAGAAATTGTCATCGTCAAACGTGTTCCAAGTGAACGGAACACGGATTGCCAGAACTCCGCTGTGAAGCGGGGGTTCCTATCGGACACGATTTCATGGGGTAACCCATGAAGTCGAAAGATAGTATTGAAGAAGACAACCGCACAGCCCTGGGCTGTGATCGACTCCGGTACAGCAACAAGGTGTATCATCTTGCTGAACCGATCAACCAACACAAGAATATCAGTATTCCTATGAACGTCTTGGGAAACCCGAAGACGAAGTCCATCGATACGGACTGCCAACACTCGGCCGGAATCGGAAGAGGCTGTAAGGTTGCGCGGGATGAAGGACTAGGCTTCACTCGTTGACAAATTTCGCAAGCGCGAATGTATTTCCGCACAAACTCATACTGGCAAGGCCAGTAGAAGTCACGACTCACCATGAGGTAAGTCTTGTCTTTACCGCGATGTCCATTTTTTGGGGCATCGTGACACTCATAAATGATGCGCAATCGCAAATCATCATGAGAGGGAAGGACGACACGAGTTGTGTCGCCGTTGAATGCTGTATATTATAGCAGTCCATCACGAACAGAATACCGTTCGGTTGAAGAGCGGTATTGAGACGACAAGATTTTCAAATCTTGATTACACGGATTGGATACGTAATCCATCAACCGCAGAAGAGACTCATCTTCTGCGTATGCTTTTCGCACGTCATCGAGCAGATTTGACGACGGAACACTCACTGTTAGTTTCGCGACAGTGGGATCAACCCTAACGTTGGGTTGAGCAGTCGGCTCGAAATCGGGCCGACGCGAAAGAGAATCATCAACGACATTAAGTCTTCCTGGTTTATACTCGACGGAGAAGTTGTACTCCGCGAAGAAAGACAGCCACCTCGCCATTCGTTGCGAATGGTGTGGACTGTTTACGGCCGTGCGCAACGACGCATGGTCGGTATAAACGATGAAGGGCCTTTCTCCTAAGAGACATACCCGAAACTTGGCCAGTGCATATTTCGTGGCAAGAAGTTCCTTGTCATGCAATGGATAGTTCCGCTCAGCTGTTTGCAGCTGACGCGATTGATAAAAGACGACGCGCTCAACGCCGTCTGAGTCGTACTGCATCAACGCGCAGCCGATTGCAAAATTGCTGGCGTCACAGACCACACGAAATGGCCTATCCTGATCTGCAATCGCCAACACAGGCGATTGCAACAAGATTTCCTGATGCCTTCAAAAGAGTGCTGACACTCAGCGCTCCATGTCCACCTCTCGTTTTTAGTAGACGAGAGAGATGTACGGTCATCTCGGCATAGTTGCGCGAGTATTTGTGCAAATACGCTGCCAAGCCAAGGAACTTTCAAAATCCCTTGACGTCGAATGGCACAGGCCAGTCGCTACTCGCCCTGATATTTTCCGGATCAGGGCGTACACCGTTTTTATCCACGATGCAGCCAAGAAGTGGTATTTCGCTCGCTACGAAAATGCACTTGTTAAGGTTCGCGAACATCTTATGCTCTCGCATTAGAGTAAGAACCTTTCGGACGTGGATTCTATGAACCTCCACGTCCGTCTTTCCATCCATAGCCCAGCTATGGACGAAGACATCGTCGAAGTAACTCGGTGCGAAGTCGCGCGCCGGTCGCAACAGATTCGTAACACATCTGTTGAACGTTGCGGGGGCGTTACTTAGCCCTTGTGGTATCACTAGCCACTCCCAGAGCATACCACTGGGGGTGCTCACTGCTGTGAAAGGGATATCCCGTTCACGCATGAGGACATGATAGAATCCATCCATCAAATCCATGGACGAAGAGATGGTACTCTTTGACATACCATCAATGATTATGTCCTTCCGTGGTATCGGCGTCTGAGCCGGTACCGTTGCAGCGTTCAATTTGTTGAACGCGTGCACTATCCACCACCCTCCTGTGGTCTTTCGCACACAGAAGGTCGGAGAGCTATGTGGGGAAGTTGATTCCCTCACATGACCAGCCGCTAAACGATCAGCAAAGAATTTGTCGATCGCAAGTACTTGTTCACGAGGCAGTGGCCACTGCTCCATGACACAGTATTTCGAGCCTGGTTGAAGCTCGACCTCGTGTCAAATACCTTTATCCCTCGGTAATTCGCACGGAACAGTTTCAGGGAAAACATCCCTGAATTCAACCAAATCCTTGTACAAAGGATTTGTCTTTAAAGACTCACAAGATTGAGACATGTATCGCTCAATCCGGGTCTTCTCATCAAGGACACTCTAGTCCATAGATGAGCTACTGAGAACCGTTCGTTCTTAGCAAACACTTGTGCCGATCGAATATCGGCGACGTACTCATCCTCTGTGACGAGAACGCAGATCTGCTTGGTCTTGTCACTACGCAGATCTCGCAAGCATCTTTTAGATTCTAGCGTTAGCAACTTGACCACCTCCGAATCTGACTTCGGGGGCGTCACCAGATCAAGCGTATAATCACCTACACTTGATCCGTCATTCACCAAGACGTTCACTGACTCGTGATTCCAGGGAAAACACACCCGCAAGGTGGGTGGGGATCCGCATCCTCAACATAACTCTTTTGGGAGTTATTGCTCTCAAGAACGCCGGAAGTTTCTTCCGTTACGTGTACAATCACGGTCACGTCCTCTTCGATCGAATCTCTTTCAGTCGATCGGGCTAGCTCTACGATCGACTCTCTGATAGTCGATCTTGCTTCAACGTGTTGTCCATCCTGAATAACACTAATCTCTCGTCTCGGATGCACCCTTCTTGGTGTGCATCCGTGTTCCAGTCTGTTAAAGGTATGGCACGGTAGTGACGAGAAGACCGGAAGAGACCGGATGGAGCGAAGAGGCTTGAGGAGCGGATCAGAGAAGACTTGCTCGGCAGAAGGAGAATTCGAAAGTGATTGATTATTGGGGCTTGCTACTTACTGCATGATTTATGTGTGGTGCACATATAAATCATGTGAAGCGTCTCATCATCCTACGCGTCTAATTGATTATGGTAATTACCGTAAGAACTACGTCGTAAATACTAAGCTGAACAGGCGTTTCGGATAAGACCGGTCACGGTTACCAATACTGGTAGAAACCGATGACCGTCAACACGCCCCCTCAATGCGAACACGCACAAATCCCGAGAGTCGCCGTCGTCTCCTTGTGGCGTGGCCCGTGAAGTCCCTTCGTCATGATGTCCGCTAACATCACCGCAGTTTCACAGTACTTGAGCTTCACTTCACCGCGCTTGACCTCATCACGGATGTGATGATACTTTATGTCAATGTGCTTGGCACGGCCGTGGTTGACCGGGTTCTTCGTCATCTTGATACACGACTGATTGTCTTCATGGATCATGAGTTCCGGTCCTTCTTCATTGGCAGCCATCATGATCTCACAAAGCAGACGATGAATCCACTTGCCCTCTTGAACCGCCAAGCTGAGTGCGATGTATTCGGCTTCACTCGTGGACAATGAAACACTTGGCTGTACTTTGCTGCCTAACTCACTGGCGCACCCAACAGCATGAATATGTAACCAGACGTCGACTTGCGATCAGCGAGGTCACCGGCCCAGTCTGCATCCGAGTAGCCACGAAATCCGATCTTTGCATTTGGCTTGTAGCAGATTCCGTGCATCTTGGTGCCTTGTAGGTAGCGGAAGATGCGCTTGACCGCAACCCAGTGTTCTTCTTGGGGGTTCTCCATGAATCGCGACACATAGCCCACGGAGAACGCAATATCCGGGCGCGTTGCAGTGGTCAGGTGCATCAACGCACCAACAGCTTCGCGAAAAGGAGCATCGACCTTGGTGGCTGCATCACTTGAAACAAGTCGAGAGCTCATCTCGACTGGACTTGAGACGGCCTTGCGATGACCTTGCATCCATGCCGAAGCGCTTGAGTATGTAATCTACATACCGACGCTGACATAGTGTGACAACACTTACATCTGCGCCGTCCAAAAGCTCGATTCCAAGCACAAATGCACACTTGACGCTGTCAGTCATCTCGAATCGTGTCTTCAGGTCGGTCTTGGTGCGTGCAATTAGCTCTCATGAGCTACCGGTGATCAACACGTCATCCACATACACCAGCAGCAGCACGCATTGCCCTTCCAAAAAAATTATGTAGAGACACGGATCGAGGCTTGACGCATGAAATCTAATAGCACACACGAACTCGTCAAACCTTTCGTTCCATACGCACGACGCTTGTTTTAGTCCGTAAATTGCCTTCACCAACTCCAGACAATCGAAGGAGCCCTCCAATTCCACGCCTTCAGGGATGACGCAGAACACTTGTTCCTTCATGACACCATACAGGAATGCCGTCACCACGTCGAGTTTGTCGATGGTCCATCAGAAATACTTGTCGACTGCAATCACCATGATCAGCGTCACGTACTTGGCGACGGGCGAGAATGTTTCCGTGTAGTCCATCCCATGTTGTTGCTTGAAACACCTTGCCACAAGACGCGCCTTGTACTTGTCAATTGATCCGCCCGCTTTGCGCTAGATCTTGAAGACCCACTTCGTGCCAATGGCGCGATGTCCTTTAGGTAGCTTGGCTGCGCGGAATGCCTCACGAAGTCGCATCGACTCAAGTTCCGCACGGATAGCTTCGCGCCAATGCACTTGATCAGGAACGCTCACCGCAGCTTTAAAAGTCGATGGCTCGGATAAGTCTACTGCCGGTTCGATGGAGTTCGCACTCGCACGCCAAAACACAGGCGGAGTCGATGTATCAGCATTCTTCGTTTCTTCATCTTCTTCTTGGTGGGTCGTGTGATTGTCTGGCGCACTTGATTCTTCTAGTCCAGGCCGTTGACGCACTGTGCGCGTGGGTGGAGCTGGTACTCCTGTATCATGGAGACGACTCTTGCGCTTGCCTGTTTGCTTGTACTGCGCTTGACCTGGCGCTTCATCATCCAGATCGAGGGAGTCGTAGTCAGTGTGATCGGCTTCTTCAGCGGTGGTTGGCGGCGAAAGTACAAAGGCGGACTCGTCAAAGTTGACATCGCGACTGATGACCACCTGCCCCACCTCGATGTCATAAACGCGATACGCCTTCTACACTTCTTCGTAGCTCACAAATATGCCAGCGCGAGCCTTTGGAACCCACTTGAGTCGATTCTCCTTTGGCGTCAGTATGTAAACCTGACAACCGAGCACCCGCATGTGCTTGACGCTTGGCTTGGAGTTGTGGACGATCTCGAAAGGAGTCTTGTGCATAACTTAAGGCGACGGCAGGCGGTTCTTGACGTATATTGCCGTCATTGCTGCTTCGGCCCAGAAGCACTTTTCCAACTTAGCATGGTGGAGCATGCTGCGATTAATTGTGACGATAGTCCGAATGGCGCGCTCTGCCGTACCGTTGGTCTGGTGTGCATATGGCACCGTCGTCTGCTGCTCAATGCCTTCATCTTCGTAGAATTCTTGAAGCGAGTTGGTTCGGAACTCGAGGGCTCCGTCGTGTCGGACGAGCTTGATCTTCTTGCCAAGCTGCGCTTTCACCATCTTGATGTATCGTGTGATGTAGTTGTCACTCTCCGACTTCACACGTAGACAGAAGCCCTTCATTCATCCACTGGCTTCTACAACGATCAGCAGTAGATACTTGCTGCCACCCAGAGAGTTCATCTCCATGGGTCCGCAGATGTCGACGTGAAGTAGCTCGAAGGTGTCGTATCTGCGCTTGTCCTGGCTGCATGGGAATGGTTTTTGGACCATTTTACCTTGTTGACTTCCTCGGCATGCGCTTGATCCACTTGACTTAAGAGGTACCTTCACATCCTTGATCATGTTCGTGGCCACTATTTTGCGAAGCACATCAGCTGGAGTGTGTCCCATCCGCGCATGTAAGTCGACACCGTTGCATCCGTTTGTTGTCGCATTGGCCGATAGATGAGCTGTGTGAAGCCAGCAAAGGCCATCCACAAGATATGCTGTTGCCACCACTTGTTGCGATCCTTTGCGAGCGACAAACATCTTGGTCCCGTCGAACACGACTTGAAACTTGCCGTGCTGGTTGATCTGCGGTACCGAAAGTAGATTCTTGCTCATACTTGGTACGTAAAGCACGTTCTTGATCTCGATCTCACGCTCTTCACCGTTGGGCAGAACCACCTTTTCAAAGATGGTTCCAACACCCTTGATGGCCACTTTGTTGCCATCCGCCACCAAGATTTCACTGTCGTTGCGCTTGTTCAGTCTTGCAAACTTGGTCTTGTCGTGGCATATGTGGTGTGTTGCACCACTGTCGACGGCCCACATTCCGGACACGTCCTTCTTCGCTGAGAGTCCACACTCTAGCGAAACTGCAAACGCTACTTGATCGTAGTCGCTGCCTTCATCACGATATTGTCCCCACTGGACATTGTTTGCCCCACGTCCACGACCATTGCCGCCGCGTCGGGCTCCTCGACTTTCATTCTTCTGCTTGGACCAAGAGCGATCGACGGTGTGTCTCACCTTCCCACAGTAAGCGCACTTGTATGGCTCGCGTTCAGTGTTGAAGGCCTTGGCTGCATCTTCAGTCTTGACCATCGTCGCTGTTGTTGTCACCTTCTCCCCTTCGCGCTTGGTGTGCTTATTAGTGAGCACCTTCACCACATCTTGGGTACGAAGCTCCGCGCTGCTCATCTCCAAGTTTAGAACAACGTTCTCAAAACTCTTAGGGAGGCTGAGCAGCAGGCAAATTGCGACGTCCTCGTCCTCCATCTTCGCACCGATGCTGGTAAGCTTGGCAGCGGTGTTCAGGACCTCGTTGCACTGATGCATGACGTTGGCGCCTTCATCCATCTTCATGCTGAAGAGTTGACGCTTGAGGTAGATCCTTTCCGCTTTCTGGGATCCACAGTACAGCACCTTCAGGCTCTGCCACGCAACCCACGCTTCCTCGCAGTTGTCGACCACATGGTGGTAGTCTACACCCATATGCAGCACCATCATTCCAAACGCGATGTTGATGGTCTTGACGTAGTCGTCCTGCGCTCGAGGGTCCACGAACGTCGGGGAGCTCTCCCGGTTGACAGCATGCCACACTGACTTTGTCAGGAACACGCCACGCGTGTATCGACTCCAGGTCGAACAGTTGTCCCCGTCGAACTTATCGATGAGGACATTGGAGGATACGTGGCCGGCAGAAGACATTGCGCTTGGGCTCATAACCAGTTAAAGGTATGACACGGGAGTGACGAGAAGACCGGAAGAGACCGGAGGGAGCGAAGAGGCTTGAGGAGCGGAGCAGAGAAGACTTGCTCGGCAGAAGGAGAATTCGAAAGTGATTGATTATCGGGGCTTGCTACTTACTGCATGATTTATGTGTGGTGCACATATAAATCATGTGAAGCGTCTCATCATCCTACGCGTCTAATTGATTATGGTAATTACCGTAAGAACTACGTCGTAAATACTAAGCTGAACAGGCGTTTCGGATAAGACCGGTCACGGTTACCAATACTGGTAGGAAACCGATGACCGTCAACACAAGCATGGCAAGACGTGCCAAAGACCGGGCTTTTTGGCTTAATCTGCACGATCCGTCAGTCTTTGGGCCATAAGAAATTTTTTAGACCCGACTCACACGAACGTTGAGCCATCGCAAGCTTATTCAGGACTCGATCTGAGCTCTTTAAGCTAAAGCAGGACAATCATGTTATATATACTTACGCTTAGTACATACGAATACTTGCAGTGGCATTGCGTCTGACCCAGTCCATGATTATACGTTAATTACGTTGTTCATCCAGGGCCTTGATGAACAACGTAATTAAGGTATAATCACGGATATTTCCGTTTAGAAACACCTGCTACGTCTGGGATCCGGCTTGCTGGAAGAAGCAGCCTCAGTGGAAGAATAGATGTAGTCTATCTAGGGATAGGCCCATGCTAGCTCTGGCTCCTCCAAAAGTCAAGATTTGGAGACCCTGAACCCATGGTCCTTTGTTCCATAAAGAGTAAGAAGTCTCTCATTTCTGTCTATAAGAGATTGCAGAAGTTTAAATACTGTCAAGGACAGGCCACTATGCTTGCTAGTGTATCACCCCGACTCTATTACCTTGTACTAAAGGTCGAGTGATTATCAGCTTGTCAAGAAGGTACCGAGTCCCAGATCTGACGCTGCTGCGATACTGCAGCAGCGGGGCGGATCATCAAAAATTCATCAGGGTCAATAAAGGCGAAGCATCCTGCTAATCCAGCAAAGTTTAGTGGCAGGTCTCTTGGCGCCAGTTACTCTCATCACGCAGTCAATGTGTGTTTCTGCAATCAATATTAAGGAGTATCTCATCACCTTAAAGATTGAAGGGACAAAGAATGTGTCATTTCGAGTTCTAGTTGAAATCAAAGCGTAGAACTTTTTATGTTCAATGTATTTCGCTGGAGTATCGTAGGTCAAGCTCGGTGAGCGCGTAACCCTTCCAACGAGGATGAAGTTGCTCATTAAAAAAGCGCATCTGTAACAGTAAAGAAAGTTGCAGTGGTCATCCGTTTCACGCTCAAGTAACCCAGTACAATAATAATTTTAATAATCAATTAGCTAAAATTAGATGGCAATTATAATTGTAAACTTGTTCTACAGTGGTAAAGAAGATACGAACCACGTACCGACTTGAAGCATCGATCCGTCTCAATACATGCCACAAGGTTTCAAAGTAATGTATTATTATCGTTTCGAGGCGTTTACAAGCGTCTGAATGTTCTACGAGCGAGTGGGACATTTCAACTTTTACATCGGTCATGAGTTTGACTGTACAAGAGCACAGTGCTAATATTATATACACTGTAAATTAAAGCCACCGAAGAATATGCACAAGCATTGGTAGCGCTGAAATTCTACCACTCTAATAAGCTGAGAGAACCGGTACATCGATGCATGTCTAGTGGGCAGCATCCAAGATAGAACCAACGTGTTATTTTTAGGCGACAGCAACATAATATTAGCTCGACTAACATGGCCATGAGAGACCTAAATTGAGTGGCGCAACATTAGCTATAAGACGTCGAGTATATAAAGTCTCCATGAACTTGAGATTTTTCATCAAGTTAATGCTAAGGGAAACAATTTCCAGTGAGTCTAAGGAAAATTGTTGAGTTCATAGTATGGTTTACACATTGCAAAAGAGTAAACTGACAGAAAATCGATCGCGGCGCAGCTGTAGTATAATGGTATTTGTACATAATGTGAGGCGTTTCCAGCTCTTTACTGGCGCCCAAAGGACGGAATTACGAAGGGAGTTCTCCGAGTTCATGTGCTTTGCCTTCCTCACCTTGTGTATCCGTCGGTAGGAGAGTTGCACTCTTTTGGTTAGACCCTAGTCGATACCGAACTTGACCGTGGTTGAGATTGGTGTTGATCGCGTCAAAGTCTTCACACAATCGCATTCGTTTTGGTGTGTCTATGCCAGAGTTATCCTGATCTGATACAGATCACCTTGCCTTAATTTTTGACGCTTTATACGGCGAGTCTTCTGACCACTTTGTCCGTCTCGCGATCTTACACCCCTTGCCCTTACTGTGTTTGCTGCGTCCGATCGTAAATAACTTGGTGTCTTATGAGGTCTTGAACACAACATGCCGAAAAATCTAGGCGCGACAGTTGTGTAGCACGGCTCTTTATTCGTCGAGATGCCAAAGATCCTACCCGGACGAGATAAAGTGTGTCTTTTGGAGTGATTTGGCACAGCAGTAGGTTTCGGGTTGATTGGCTAGCCAATCAACCGAAACCTACTGCTGTGCCTACCTGCATCTCCTGATCGGATGCAACGCGTCATCTTTTCAGGAAGATTGTCCCATCGTATTTTTGTGGTCCATGCTAGGTATATTAACAGTCGGGCCTTTATGTAGTATACCTCAATTGCTACAACAGTCGGATCTTCATGTAGTCCACCCTAAAATCACGACCATTCGATCATGGATGACGATCGCAAGTTGGGAAGCGCAATTCCAGGTCTAGTATGCGATGGCTAGTTGGGTCACGATATTAGGCATCGATCGTGACCACAAGTTTGGGATAATTTTTCAGGTCAGAATCACGAATGTACGTTGGAGGTCGTGATCCTTGTTTGGAAAGCGTGATCTCTATCCCTGTCGTGTCTCACGACGGATTGCGTTATCTTACTGGGGTAACCGCCATTTGTCCTTCTCCCAACCAGTGAAGGTCCTGCATAATAAAGGTGCATTGCGAGCCACCTGACCTAGATCGTGTCTGCCGATCAAATCCTATAGACTTAATTGAAGAGTGCAATTTGTGCAGTCCCAACTTCAACTCAGCCGAAAAGTGCTTCTCAACAGCTTTTCCACAACCGTCCCCTTCACCGCTAGTCGACATACGCAGATGATCTGACTGTGCAACCTTTGTAACTTATGCAGACATGTTACACTTCAACTTTTTTCTGTTACGATGGCCAATCAAGTTTCTTCGAAACATGCATCAATTTTTAACGTAGTATCAAGGCCTCTCGATTAGACCCCCCCCCTGCGATCCAAACTTCGGTGTCGAAACATCGACGCCTGTCAGCCCTACTTTTTAGGCACCTCTCTACCTTGCCTTGGGCAGAGTGTGATTACTCAGCTATCGATACTCTGGTCCTCATGGGTGGGATCTTTTGTCGAATTCCCACTTCAATCCCCCAAATGTATCGCCTTCGATCCCTTCTTCAGAAGTGGTCACGGATAGCGACGGAGAACCCGTTTCAAATTCGAGTGAGTTCATTGCCTTTAAGTGCTCGCATTTAAGCTTCGCTGGCTTTTGATCGCGACGCCGGACGCAGCCATCGGCTCAGTGTAAATTTGTCTGAATGTCCAGCAGGCGGGTATGAGCCGATACTAAAGAATGAATACTGCATTGGCGCAGCAGGTTACCCAAAATAGCCATCCGAATGATAATATATAAAAATGTGCACTTCTGCGTGCTCGCTCGTCGAAGACGTCCAAATTATGATCACTTGCGCGTTTAAAACAACGGATAGGCCTTGTATTCTGATATTTTTTGGAATTAGGTAGAACGGGTTGATCAGACTGCTTGATCGAGCAATTGAAGCCGGAACTTCTACAAAATGTACGAGCACGTCACTCCGCGCAGGAGAAAGCTAATAGCAATATAGCTTAAATTGAAAGCAGGTGAAAGGCGCAAGACATCGACTGATGTCCGAATGCGATAGGCTGTCCACAGCTTTCGCAAGGCCAAAGACATAAAATTGCATTATAAGAAGGCCTGCCTTTCGTGTATAAGGGAAGCTACGTCGTGTACTTGAGCAGGTAGTCGAGTACTCCGTCGCTATCAATGGCCACGACTGAAGTATGATTCGAAGGCGATAAAGTTGGGGGATTGAAGTGGGAATTCCACCAAAGATCCCACCCATTTAGGACTTCAGGTCGAGTTGGACGGAGCTCAGGTCACTCTCACCTCCAGATCTACTATATGCGATTGATTACGTCGCACTGTATCCGATCGGAATGGTTTTTTTAACCAAACGCATGTCTTGCTATCGGGTGTAGTTTACGAACGTGATTGTGCATATGAGATTGCTTAACTATTCGGGATTACATGGTGTTATTTGTGACAGGGAACTCTTTCGCTGCACAAGCGACGTTAAAGTCTTCTACATTATTCCCGTGTCTGAAACGCATCAAACGACGTCAGACACCTTAGTACTAAGTCGTAAGCGACACGCGACCTCCGCAATTGTCTGCCTTGCCGTCTCTAAAAAGAGTTGGTAGGTATGCAACGGCTAGTGCCAAGCCCTCTTTAGTTCGCAATCTCAAGGCTTGCCCACATCCAAGATTTTTCGAAGTGCTAGATTTTTTGCGATCCCAAAGGTAATCGTGATTTTAACGACTCTGGTGACCTCAAGAATTCTTGTTCTACCAAGGATCCTGAAGATCCTAAAAATTCTCGCAATCCCAAAGATTCCCGCGCTACTAAGACTTGTCGTGATTTATAGGCTTCTCGTGATCCTTGAATGCCCGTGTTGGAAAGACGGCGGCTGTGAAGAAGACATTTCGTCAAGCTGCGTCAAGTGTTGAAGCAAGCCGAAGACCAAGCTTCGATGTACCGGTGGGTACCGGTATGTAACAGTAAGGGCGAAGTCAGAGAATGACGTCGTGTCATGACGTCACTGCGAATAATAGGATTAGAGGTTGTACTCAAAGTTGCGAACTAAGTACCTAGTATAAATATATGTCCACTTTGCGTTTTGCACTCGGACCAAGAAGTCTAAAGTTCATCAGGTTATGAGCCCAAGCTCATCAGACTCTGAAACCGCCAACAATTCAAGCCTCGCTGCCATGGACGCCTCCTCCCTTCGTATCTCCAAGTTCGATGTAACTAACTTCCACGCCCGGAAGTTCAAGATGCAGATGGTGCTGGAGGAACGAGACCTGTGGGAGGTCGTCAGCGGCGAGATCAAGGCGGAACAGTGCGTGACTCAGTTGGACCAAGCGGCGTACAAGAGGAAGTCAAGGAAGGTGATGGCAGTGATCTGTCTAGCCATGGAAGATTCCCAGCTACCGTTTGTCCGGTCGGCAAGTGGTGCATGCGACGCATGGTCAAGGTTGGAAGACCACTTCGAGAAGAAGAGTCTTGCCAACAAGCTGTTCTTGCGCCGTCGCTTCTTCACGACGATGGTGGAAAAAAGGGACGATGTGCTCGAACTCATCAACAAGCTCAAGACGTTGGCGGAACAGCTAGAATCGGTGGGGGCTCCGGTCTGCGAGGACGATCTGGTGATCACACTTCTCGGCAGCCTGAGTGACTCGTATCAATTCTTGATCACAGCTTTGGAGTCGCGCTCAGACACTCTTAGCTGGTAGCTCGTGACGTCTCGACTGCTTTATGAAGAAATGAAGCGGAAGAAGCAAGGAAGTAAAGGTGATGACGCTTCGCAAGGTCAAGTGTTCATCACAAGGGACAATCAGCGCAAAGGGCGACCAGTGAAGAAGTCCTGGCTGTGCCACAATTACGGAAAGATTGGTCACTGGATGGCGGAGTGCTCTTCGCGCATCCAAGAAAGCACGGAGAGACACCGGCCACAGCGCGCTCAAGACAGCGGCGACCGTTATCGATCACAACGTGCAAATGTCGCTTAAGAAGAAGACTCGGGCGAATACCTCTTCTCGATCGGTGAAACGAGATCTGCGAAATCAAGCGACATCTGGCTAGTCGACTCCGGGGCGACGCAGCACATGACGTGCTCCAAGAAGTTCATGCGGAACTACAAGGTGTTTGACGCTGTGTATGTCCATCTCGCGGATGATGGAATTGTCCAAGCAATCGGCAGTGGGGACATTGTCATGTCGATGAAGACACCCCAAGGGATGAAGAAAGGTGTGCTCACAAACGTGTGGCACATCCCAAAGTTATCCAGAAACCCGTTCTCAGTCGGCCGCTTCACCAAGGATGTCGACCCAGTGACGTTCACAAAGGATGGGTGCTATGGAGAAGCGAAAGGGGTCAAGTGGAAAATTGGTGCCCGTGAAGGTAAAGGACTGTTCAAGCTGCAAATGGCTTCAGCGGCGCCGGAACAAGCAAATGCAGCCAAGTCGTCGGGATGTCAAGGGGGCACCAAGTCGTACCTCTGGCACCTTCGGCTTGGCCACATAGGTCATGATGGACTCAATAGCACCGTGACGAAGAACATTGGAATTGGCATCGACATATCTTCGGCGAAGAAGTAGGACGTGTGTGAAGGTTGTGCTCTGGGAAAACAGACTCGAGTGCGCTTCCAATCGAACACTACAGCTCGCACCTCCAAACTTCTCGAAGTGATTCACAGCAACGGATGCGAACCGATGTCGATGGCAACTTTCAGTGGAAAGCGGTACTTCGTGACATTCATCGACGACAATTCAAGATACTTTGTCATTTATCTGCTCAAGAGCAAATCTGAAGTTGCGGCGAAGTTCTTGGAATACGCTGCGATGGCCGAAACGCAAACCGGAAAGCGCGTGAAGTACCTTCAAATCGACAATGGGGGTGAGTACAAGTCCTACAAGTTGGCACGATTCTGCGCAGAACGGGGGATACAAAAAAGGTTCACACCCCCATGTACTCCTCAGCTCAAAGGAGTAGCTTAGAGAATAAATCGCACGCTGGTCGAGTGTGCGCGCTGTATGATGGAACATGCTGGACTGGGAAAGAGCTACTGGGGTGAAGCAGTGATGGCGGCGATGTTTCTTCGAAACCGCTGTCCAACACGTGCCATCCACCAAGACAAGCCTCCATATCAAGTGTAGACGATGAAGAAACGGATTCTGGCCAAGCTCAAAGTGTTTGGATGCCACGCGTATGTTCAAGTGCCTCAAGGCAAACGCGCGAAGTTCGACTCCAAGTCATCACTCTGTCGTTTCCTGGGGTACGCCGAACACCAGAAGTCATATCGATTCGAGGAAGTGTCAACAGGAGCGATCAAGATCAGTCGCGATGCCACGTTCATGGAAGACAAGTTTGATGAAGGTCCGCGCAACTACAACGATGAGTCAAGTACCGTTGAGTTTGATGATCAAGACGAGAACGAAGAAAAAGAAGAAGGTAAAACTGACGTCGACATGACTTCGAGCGACGATGACGACGAAGACACCAGGTCTTCGAAGAGCAACATCGAGAGACACACGCGCACTCAATCGCTTGAGAAAGGTACCGTCATTCCAAGTCCCAAGCGAAGAACGTACAGAGGTCCGTCGCTTGAGCATGTGTCAGCTGTTGCGACGGATTTTGAAGCAGCCTACATCGTTGATTCAGTGGGGGGAATGCCGACTACATTCAAGTCGGCGATGGAATCAAGCGACTCCGGCAAGTGGAAAGAAGCGTGTGACTCGGTGTTCGACTCGCTTCAGAGAAACGACACGTGGGAGATCGTGCCTCTTCCGAAAGTTCGCAATGCCATCGGGTGCCGATGGGTGTTTCGTGTCAAGGAGAACTAAGATGGCGAAGTTGAACGTTTCAAGGCAAGACTTGTGGCCAAATGGTTCTCGCAGAAATTCGGAGTTGACTATGAAGAAACTTTCGCACCAGTGGCCAAGTTCACATCGATTCGTATGGTGCTCAGTATGGCGGCCAAGTACGGCCTAATGCTACATCAGATGGACGTCAAGACAGCGTTTCTTAACGGCTCCCTCGACGAAGACATCTACATGGACCAGCCGGCAGGATACCTGGATAAAAAGCAGCTGGACTATGTGTGCAAGCTAAAGAGATCGCTCTACGGCTTGAACGAATCGCCACGCATGTGGAACCAAACGATTGATGGGTTCATGATCAAGATGGGATTCAGGAAGTGTGAACCGGACCACTGCGTCTACATCAAGCGAGACGACCAAGACATGATTTTCGTGGTGCTCTACGTCGATGATCTTATCCTGGCCAGCAGCAGCAACGAACTACTCAAGTCGACCAAGATGGCGCTGAGCACACGCTTCGAAATGAAGGATCTCGGTGAGCTCAATTACTTTCTCGGCATGAAGATCAAGAACGACCGTAAGACTGGAATGGTGACTGTGCGACAAACCAAGTTTTCAAGTCCGTGTTGACCAAGTTTGGAATGGACAACAGCAAGCCATTGAAGAAGCCTCAAGATCCCGGTCTGAAGCTCACCAAGAACATGTGTGACCAAGAATACAAGCACGAAGACACCATGTGCAACGTGCCATATCGAAGCGCTGTCGGAGGCATCATGTATCTCATGGTCGCCACACGTCCGGATCTAGCTGCTGCAGTGGGATCATTATCCCAGTTCTCGTCCGACCCATGTCCGACTCACTGGCAAGCTTTGAAGCGTGTGCTGAGATACCTGCAAGCAACGCCCAATCACGGTCTTGGGTTCACACGTGAAGAAGGAAGCCGTATCTGCGGGTACACCGACGCAGACTGGTCCGGCGACATTGAGTCAAGACGAAGTACAAGCGGCTATGTGTTCATGATGAACGGAGGATGCATCAGCTCGAAAAGCCAGAAACAACGAACGGTCGCGCTTTTTTCAACGGAAGCAAAATACATGGCGCTTTCCGAAGCAACCAAAGAAGCAGTATGGCTCAAGGTGTTGTTGAGGGAACTTGGTGAGATGGAAAGCGACGAAGCGATCAAGATGTATGAAGACAACCAAGGATCAATCGCCCTCACCAAGAGCCCGGAGTTCCATAAGAGAACAAAGCACATCGACATACGCTACCATTTTTTGCGGGAGAAAGTGGAATCGGGCGAAGTCGCTTTGGAGTATTGCCCGACTCAAGATATGCTGGCGGACATGATGACCAAGCCGATCGCCGCTGTACAATTTGAAAACATTCGCGATCGACTCGGGATCCAAGTTGCCGCAGCTAACGAGTCGAGAGGGAGTGTTGGAAAGACGGCGGCTGTGAAGAAGACACCTCGTCAAGCTGCGTCAAGTGTTGAAGCAAGCCGAAGACCAAGCTTCGATGTACCGGTGGGTACCGGTATGTAACAGTAAGGGCGAAGTCAGAGAATGACGTCGTGTCATGACGTCACTGCGAATAATAGGATTAGAGGTTGTACTCAAAGTTGCGAACTAAGTACCTTGTATAAATATATGTTCACTTTGCGTTTTGCACTCGGACCAAGAAGTCTAAAGTTCATCAGGTTATGAGCCCAAGCTCATCAGACTCTGAAACCGCCAACAATTCAAGCCTCGCTGCCATGGACGCCTCCTCCCTTCGTATCTCCAAGTTCGATGTAACTAACTTCCACGCCCGGAAGTTCAAGATGCAGATGGTGCTGGAGGAACGAGACCTGTGGGAGGTCGTCAGCGGCGAGATCAAGGCGGAACAGTGCGTGACTCAGTTGGACCAAGCGGCGTGCAAGAGGAAGTCAAGGAAGGTGATGGCAGTGATCTGTCTAGCCATGGAAGATTCCCAGCTACCGTTTGTCCGGTCGGCAAGTGGTGCATGCGACGCATGGTCAAGGTTGGAAGACCACTTCGAGAAGAAGAGTCTTGCCAACAAGCTGTTCTTGCGCCGTCGCTTCTTCACGACGATGGTGGAAGAAGGCGACGATGTGCTCGAACACATCAACAAGCTCAAGACGTTGGCGGAACAGCTAGAATCGGTGGGGGCTCCGGTCTGCGAGGACGATCTGGTGATCACACTTCTCGGCAGCCTGAGTGACTCGTATCAATTCTTGATCACAGCTTTGGAGTCGCGCTCAGACACTCTTAGCTGGTAGCTCGTGACGTCTCGACTGCTTCATGAAGAAATGAAGCGGAAGGAGCAAGGAAGTAAAGGTGATGACGCTTCGCAAGGTCAAGTGTTCATCACAAGGGACAATCAGCGCAAAGGGCGACCAGTGAAGAAGTCCTGGCTGTGCCACAATTGCGGAAAGATTGGTCACTGGATAACGGAGTGCTCTTCGCGCATCCAAGAAAGCACGGAGAGACACCGGCCACAGCGCGCTCAAGACAGCGGCGACCGTTATCGATCACAACGTGCAAATGTCGCTTAAGAAGAAGACTCGGGCGAATACCTCTTCTCGATCGGTGAAACGAGATCTGCGAAATCAAGCGACATCTGGCTAGTCGACTCCGGGGCGACGCAGCACATGACGTGCTCCAAGAAGTTCATGCGGAACTACAAGGTGTTTGACGCTGTGTATGTCCATCTCGCGGATGATGGAATTGTCCAAGCAATCGGCAGTGGGGAAATTGTCATGTCGATGAAGACACCCCAAGGGATGAAGAAAGGTGTGCTCACAAACGTGTGGCACATCCCAAAGTTATCCAGAAACCTGTTCTCAGTCGGCCGCTTCACCAAGGATGTCGACCCAGTGACGTTCACAAAGGATGGGTGCTATGGAGAAGCGAAAGGGGTCAAGTGGAAAATTGGTGCCCGTGAAGGTAAAGGACTGTTCAAGCTGCAAATGGCTTCAGTGGCGCCGGAACAAGCAAATGCAGCCAAGTCGTCGGGATGTCAAGGGGGCACCAAGTCGTACCTCTGGCACCTTCGGCTTGGCCACATAGGTCATGATGGACTCAATAGCACCGTGACGAAGAACATTGGAATTGGCATCGACATATCTTCGGCGAAGAAGTAGGACGTGTGTGAAGGTTGTGCTCTGGGAAAACAGACTCGAGTGCGCTTCCAATCGAACACTACAGCTCGCACCTCCAAACTTCTCGAAGTGATTCACAGCAACGGATGCGAACCGATGTCGATGGCAACTTTCAGTGGAAAGCGGTACTTCGTGACATTCATCGACGACAATTCAAGATACTTTGTCATTTATCTGCTCAAGAGCAAATCTGAAGTTGCGGCGAAGTTCTTGGAATACGCTGCGATGGCCGAAACGCAAACCGGAAAGCGCGTGAAGTACCTTCAAATCGACAATGGGGGTGAGTACAAGTCCTACAAGTTGGCACGATTCTGCGCAGAACGGGGGATACAAAAAAGGTTCACACCCCCATGTACTCCTCAGCTCAAAGGAGTAGCTTAGAGAATAAATCGCACGCTGGTCGAGTGTGCGCGCTGTATGATGGAACATGCTGGACTGGGAAAGAGCTACTGGGGTGAAGCAGTGATGGCGGCGATGTTTCTTCGAAACCGCTGTCCAACACGTGCCATCCACCAAGACAAGCCTCCATATCAAGTGTGGACGATGAAGAAACGGATTCTGGCCAAGCTCAAAGTGTTTGGATGCCACGCGTATGTTCAAGTGCCTCAAGGCAAACGCGCGAAGTTCGACTCCAAGTCATCACTCTGTCGTTTCCTGGGGTACGCCGAACACCAGAAGTCATATCGATTCGAGGAAGTGTCAACAGGAGCGATCGAGATCAGTCGCGATGCCACGTTCATGGAAGACAAGTTTGATGAAGGTCCGCGCAACTACAACGATGAGTCAAGTACCGTTGAGTTTGATGATCAAGACGAGAACGAAGAAAAAGAAGAAGGTAAAACTGACGTCGACATGACTTCGAGCGACGATGACGACGAAGACACCAGGTCTTCGAAGAGCAACATCGAGAGACACACGCGCACTCAATCGCTTGAGAAAGGTACCGTCATTCCAAGTCCCAAGCGAAGAACGTACAGAGGTCCGTCGCTTGAGCATGTGTCAGCTGCTGCGACGGATTTTGAAGCAGTCTACATCGTTGATTCAGTGGGGGAATGCCGACTACATTCAAGTCGGCGATGGAATCAAGCGACTCCGGCAAGTGGAAAGAAGCGTGTGACTCGGCGTTCGACTCGCTTCAGAGAAACGACACGTGGGAGATCGTGCCTCTTCCGAAAGTTCGCAATGCCATCGGGTGCCGATGGGTGTTTCGTGTCAAGGAGAATTAAGATGGCGAAGTTGAACGTTTCAAGGCAAGACTTGTGGCCAAATGGTTCTCGCAGAAATTCGGAGTTGACTATGAAGAAACTTTCGCACCAGTGGCCAAGTTCACATCGATTCGTATGGTGCTCAGTATGGCGGCCAAGTACGGCCTAATGCTACATCAGATGGACGTCAAGACAGCGTTTCTTAACGGCTCCCTCGACGAAGACATCTACATGGACCAACCGGCAGGATACCTGGATGAAAAACAGCCGGGCTATGTGTGCAAGCTAAAGAGATCGCTCTACGGTTTGAAGCAATCGCCACGCATGTGGAACCAAACGATTGATGGGTTCATGATCAAGATGGGATTCAAGAAGTGTGAACCGGACCACTGCGTCTACATCAAGCGAGACGACCAAGACATGATTCTCGTGGTGCTCTACGTTGATGATCTTATCCTGGCCAGCAGCAGCAACGAACTACTCAAGTCGACCAAGATGGCGCTGAGCAAACGCTTCGAAATGAAGGATCTCGGTGAGCTCAATTACCTTCTCGGCATGGAGATCAAGAACGACCGTAAGACTGGAATGGTGACTGTGCGACAAACCAAGTTTTCAAGTCCGTGTTGACCAAGTTTGGAATGGACAACAGCAAGCCATTGAAGAAGCCTCAAGATCCCGGTCTGAAGCTCACCAAGAACATGTGTGACCAAGAATACAAGCACGAAGACACCATGTGCAACGTGCCATATCGAAGCGCTGTCGGAGGCATCATGTATCTCATGGTCGCCACACGTCCGGATCTAGCTGCTGCAGTGGGATCATTATCCCAGTTCTCGTCCGACCCATGCCCGACCCACTGGCAAGCTTTGAAGCGTGTGCTGAGATACCTGCAAGCAACGCCCAATCACGGTCTTGAGTTCACACGTGAAGAAGGAAGCCGTATCTGCGGGTACACCGACGCAGACTGGTCCGGCGACATTGAGTCAAGACGAAGTACAAGCGGCTATGTGTTCATGATGAACGGAGGATGCATCAGCTCGAAAAGCCAGAAACAACGAACGGTCGCGCTTTTTTCAACGGAAGCAAAATACATGGCGCTTTCCGAAGCAACCAAAGAAGCAGTATGGCTCAAGGTGTTGTTGAGGGAACTTGGTGAGATGGAAAGCGACGAAGCGATCAAGATGTATGAAGACAACCAAGGATCAATCGCCCTCACCAAGAACCCGGAGTTCCATAAGAGAACAAAGCACATCGACATACGCTACCATTTTTTGCGGGAGAAAGTGGAATCGGGCGAAGTCGCTTTGGAGTATTGCCCGACTCAAGATATGCTGGCGGACATGATGACCAAGCCGATCGCCGCTGTACAATTTGAAAACATTCGCGATCGACTCGGGATCCAAGTTGCCGCAGCTAACGAGTCGAGAGGGAGTGTTGGAAAGACGGCGGCTGTGAAGAAGACACCTCGTCAAGCTGCGTCAAGTGTTGAAGCAAGCCGAAGACCAAGCTTCGATGTACCGGTGGGTACCGGTATGTAACAGTAAGGGCGAAGTCAGAGAATGACGTCGTGTCATGACGTCACTGCGAATAATAGGATTAGAGGTTGTACTCAAAGTTGCGAACTAAGTACCTTGTATAAATATATGTTCACTTTGCGTTTTGCACTCGGACCAAGAAGTCTAAAGTTCATCAGGTTATGAGCCCAAGCTCATCAGACTCTGAAACCGCCAACAATTCAAGCCTCGCTGCCATGGACGCCTCCTCCCTTCGTATCTCCAAGTTCGATGTAACTAACTTCCACGCCCGGAAGTTCAAGATGCAGATGGTGCTGGAGGAACGAGACCTGTGGGAAGTCGTCAGCGGCGAGATCAAGGCGGAACAGTGCGTGACTCAGTTGGACCAAGCGGCGTACAAGAGGAAGTCAAGGAAGGTGATGGCAGTGATCTGTCTAGCCATGGAAGATTCCCAGCTACCGTTTGTCCGGTCGGCAAGTGGTGCATGCGACGCATGATCAAGGTTGGAAGACCACTTCGAGAAGAAGAGTCTTGCCAACAAGCTGTTCTTGCGCCGTCGCTTCTTCACGACGATGGTGGAAGAAGGCGACGATGTGCTCGAACACATCAACAAGCTCAAGACGTTGGCGGAACAGCTAGAATCGGTGGGGGCTCCGGTCTGCGAGGACGATCTGGTGATCACACTTCTCGGCAGCCTGAGTGACTCGTATCAATTCTTGATCACAGCTTTGGAGTCGCGCTCAGACACTCTTAGCTGGTAGCTCGTGACGTCTCGACTGCTTCATGAAGAAATGAAGCGGAAGGAGCAAGGAAGTAAAGGTGATGACGCTTCGCAAGGTCAAGTGTTCATCACAAGGGACAATCAGCGCAAAGGGCGACCAGTGAAGAAGTCCTGGCTGTGCCACAATTGCGGAAAGATTGGTCACTGGATAACGGAGTGCTCTTCGCGCATCCAAGAAAGCACGGAGAGACACCGGCCACAGCGCGCTCAAGACAGCGGCGACCGTTATCGATCACAACGTGCAAATGTCGCTTAAGAAGAAGACTCGGGCGAATACCTCTTCTCGATCGGTGAAACGAGATCTGCGAAATCAAGCGACATCTGGCTAGTCGACTCCGGGGCGACGCAGCACATGACGTGCTCCAAGAAGTTCATGCGGAACTACAAGGTGTTTGACGCTGTGTATGTCCATCTCGCGGATGATGGAATTGTCCAAGCAATCGGCAGTGGGGACATTGTCATGTCGATGAAGACACCCCAAGGGATGAAGAAAGGTGTGCTCACAAACGTGTGGCACATCCCAAAGTTATCCAGAAACCCGTTCTCAGTCGGTCGCTTCACCAAGGATGTCGACCCAGTGACGTTCACAAAGGATGGGTGCTATGGAGAAGCGAAAGGGGTCAAGTGGAAAATTGGTGCCCGTGAAGGTAAAGGACTGTTCAAGCTGCAAATGGCTTCAGTGGCGCCGGAACAAGCAAATGCAGCCAAGTCGTCGGGATGTCAAGGGGACACCACGTCGTACCTCTGGCACCTTCGACTTGGTCACATAGGTCATGATGGACTCAATAGCACCGTGACGAAGAACATTGGAATTGGCATCGACATATCTTCGGCGAAGAAGTAGGACGTGTGTGAAGGTTGTGCTCTGGGAAAACAGACTCGAGTGCGCTTCCAATCGAACACTACAGCTCGCACCTCCAAACTTCTCGAAGTGATTCACAGCAACGGATGCGAACCGATGTCGATGGCAACTTTCAGTGGCAAGCGCTATTTCGTCACGTTCATCGACGACAATTCAAGATACTTTGTCATTTATCTGCTCAAGAGCAAATCTGAAGTTGCGGCGAAGTTCTTGGAATACGCTGCGATGGCCGAAACGCAAACCGGAAAGCGCGTGAAGTACCTTCAAATCGACAATGGGGGTGAGTACAAGTCCTACAAGTTGGCACGATTCTGCGCAGAACGGGGGATACAAAAAAGGTTCACACCCCCATGTACTCCTCAGCTCAAAGGAGTAGCTTAGAGAATAAATCGCACGCTGGTCGAGTGTGCGCGCTGTATGATGGAACATGCTGGACTGGGAAAGAGCTACTGGGGTGAAGCAGTGATGGCGGCGATGTTTCTTCGAAACCGCTGTCCAACACGTGCCATCCACCAAGACAAGCCTCCATATCAAGTGTGGACGATGAAGAAACGGATTCTGGCCAAGCTCAAAGTGTTTGGATGCCACGCGTATGTTCAAGTGCCTCAAGGCAAACGCGCGAAGTTCGACTCCAAGTCATCACTCTGTCGTTTCCTGGGGTACGCCGAACACCAGAAGTCATATCGATTCGAGGAAGTGTCAACAGGAGCGATCGAGATCAGTCGCGATGCCACGTTCATGGAAGACAAGTTTGATGAAGGTCCGCGCAACTACAACGATGAGTCAAGTACCGTTGAGTTTGATGATCAAGACGAGAACGAAGAAAAAGAAGAAGGTAAAACTGACGTCGACATGACTTCGAGCGACGATGACGACGAAGACACCAGGTCTTCGAAGAGCAACATCGAGAGACACACGCGCACTCAATCGCTTGAGAAAGGTACCGTCATTCCAAGTCCCAAGCGAAGAACGTACAGAGGTCCGTCGCTTGAGCATGTGTCAGCTGCTGCGACGGATTTTGAAGCAGTCTACATCGTTGATTCAGTGGGGGGAATGCCGACTACATTCAAGTCGGCGATGGAATCAAGCGACTCCGGCAAGTGGAAAGAAGCGTGTGACTCGGCGTTCGACTCGCTTCAGAGAAACGACACGTGGGAGATCGTGCCTCTTCCGAAAGTTCGCAATGCCATCGGGTGCCGATGGGTGTTTCGTGTCAAGGAGAATTAAGATGGCGAAGTTGAACGTTTCAAGGCAAGACTTGTGGCCAAATGGTTCTCGCAGAAATTCGGAGTTGACTATGAAGAAACTTTCGCACCAGTGGCCAAGTTCACATCGATTCGTATGGTGCTCAGTATGGCGGCCAAGTACGGCCTAATGCTACATCAGATGGACGTCAAGACAGCGTTTCTTAACGGCTCCCTCGACGAAGACATCTACATGGACCAACCGGCAGGATACCTGGATGAAAAACAGCCGGGCTATGTGTGCAAGCTAAAGAGATCGCTCTACGGTTTGAAGCAATCGCCACGCATGTGGAACCAAACGATTGATGGGTTCATGATCAAGATGGGATTCAAGAAGTGTGAACCGGACCACTGCGTCTACATCAAGCGAGACGACCAAGACATGATTCTCGTGGTGCTCTACGTTGATGATCTTATCCTGGCCAGCAGCAGCAACGAACTACTCAAGTCGACCAAGATGGCGCTGAGCAAACGCTTCGAAATGAAGGATCTCGGTGAGCTCAATTACCTTCTCGGCATGGAGATCAAGAACGACCGTAAGACTGGAATGGTGACTGTGCGACAAACCAAGTTTTCAAGTCCGTGTTGACCAAGTTTGGAATGGACAACAGCAAGCCATTGAAGAAGCCTCAAGATCCCGGTCTGAAGCTCACCAAGAACATGTGTGACCAAGAATACAAGCACGAAGACACCATGTGCAACGTGCCATATCGAAGCGCTGTCGGAGGCATCATGTATCTCATGGTCGCCACACGTCCGGATCTAGCTGCTGCAGTGGGATCATTATCCCAGTTCTCGTCCGACCCATGCCCGACCCACTGGCAAGCTTTGAAGCGTGTGCTGAGATACCTGCAAGCAACGCCCAATCACGGTCTTGAGTTCACACGTGAAGAAGGAAGCCGTATCTGCGGGTACACCGACGCAGACTGGTCCGGCGACATTGAGTCAAGACGAAGTACAAGCGGCTATGTGTTCATGATGAACGGAGGATGCATCAGCTCGAAAAGCCAGAAACAACGAACGGTCGCGCTTTTTTCAACGGAAGCAAAATACATGGCGCTTTCCGAAGCAACCAAAGAAGCAGTATGGCTCAAGGTGTTGTTGAGGGAACTTGGTGAGATGGAAAGCGACGAAGCGATCAAGATGTATGAAGACAACCAAGGATCAATCGCCCTCACCAAGAACCCGGAGTTCCATAAGAGAACAAAGCACATCGACATACGCTACCATTTTTTGCGGGAGAAAGTGGAATCGGGCGAAGTCGCTTTGGAGTATTGCCCGACTCAAGATATGCTGGCGGACATGATGACCAAGCCGATCGCCGCTGTACAATTTGAAAACATTCGCGATCGACTCGGGATCCAAGTTGCCGCAGCTAACGAGTCGAGAGGGAGTGTTGGAAAGACGGCGGCTGTGAAGAAGACACCTCGTCAAGCTGCGTCAAGTGTTGAAGCAAGCCGAAGACCAAGCTTCGATGTACCGGTGGGTACCGGTATGTAACAGTAAGGGCGAAGTCAGAGAATGACGTCGTGTCATGACGTCACTGCGAATAATAGGATTAGAGGTTGTACTCAAAGTTGCGAACTAAGTACCTTGTATAAATATATGTTCACTTTGCGTTTTGCACTCGGACCAAGAAGTCTAAAGTTCATCAGGTTATGAGCCCAAGCTCATCAGACTCTGAAACCGCCAACAATTCAAGCCTCGCTGCCATGGACGCCTCCCTCCCTTCGTATCTCCAAGTTCGATGTAACTAACTTCCACGCCCGGAAGTTCAAGATGCAGATGGTGCTGGAGGAACGAGACCTGTGGGAAGTCGTCAGCGGCGAGATCAAGGCGGAACAGTGCGTGACTCAGTTGGACCAAGCGGCGTACAAGAGGAAGTCAAGGAAGGTGATGGCAGTGATCTGTCTAGCCATGGAAGATTCCCAGCTACCGTTTGTCCGGTCGGCAAGTGGTGCATGCGACGCATGATCAAGGTTGGAAGACCACTTCGAGAAGAAGAGTCTTGCCAACAAGCTGTTCTTGCGCCGTCGCTTCTTCACGACGATGGTGGAAGAAGGCGACGATGTGCTCGAACACATCAACAAGCTCAAGACGTTGGCGGAACAGCTAGAATCGGTGGGGGCTCCGGTCTGCGAGGACGATCTGGTGATCACACTTCTCGGCAGCCTGAGTGACTCGTATCAATTCTTGATCACAGCTTTGGAGTCGCGCTCAGACACTCTTAGCTGGTAGCTCGTGACGTCTCGACTGCTTCATGAAGAAATGAAGCGGAAGGAGCAAGGAAGTAAAGGTGATGACGCTTCGCAAGGTCAAGTGTTCATCACAAGGGACAATCAGCGCAAAGGGCGACCAGTGAAGAAGTCCTGGCTGTGCCACAATTGCGGAAAGATTGGTCACTGGATAACGGAGTGCTCTTCGCGCATCCAAGAAAGCACGGAGAGACACCGGCCACAGCGCGCTCAAGACAGCGGCGACCGTTATCGATCACAACGTGCAAATGTCGCTTAAGAAGAAGACTCGGGCGAATACCTCTTCTCGATCGGTGAAACGAGATCTGCGAAATCAAGCGACATCTGGCTAGTCGACTCCGGGGCGACGCAGCACATGACGTGCTCCAAGAAGTTCATGCGGAACTACAAGGTGTTTGACGCTGTGTATGTCCATCTCGCGGATGATGGAATTGTCCAAGCAATCGGCAGTGGGGACATTGTCATGTCGATGAAGACACCCCAAGGGATGAAGAAAGGTGTGCTCACAAACGTGTGGCACATCCCAAAGTTATCCAGAAACCCGTTCTCAGTCGGTCGCTTCACCAAGGATGTCGACCCAGTGACGTTCACAAAGGATGGGTGCGATGGAGAAGCGAAAGGGGTCAAGTGGAAAATTGGTGCCCGTGAAGGTAAAGGACTGTTCAAGCTGCAAATGGCTTCAGTGGCGCCGGAACAAGCAAATGCAGCCAAGTCGTCGGGATGTCAAGGGGGCACCAAGTCGTACCTCTGGCACCTTCGGCTTGGCCACATAGGTCATGATGGACTCAATAGCACCGTGACGAAGAACATTGGAATTGGCATCGACATATCTTCGGCGAAGAAGTAGGACGTGTGTGAAGGTTGTGCTCTGGGAAAACAGACTCGAGTGCGCTTCCAATCGAACACTACAGCTCGCACCTCCAAACTTCTCGAAGTGATTCACAGCAACGTATACGGACCGATGTCGATGGCAACTTTCAGTGGAAAGCGGTACTTCGTGACATTCATCGACGACAATTCAAGATACTTTGTCATTTATCTGCTCAAGAGCAAATCTGAAGTTGCGGCGAAGTTCTTGGAATACGCTGCGATGGCCGAAACGCAAACCGGAAAGCGCGTGAAGTACCTTCAAAGCGACAATGGGGGTGAGTACAAGTCCTACAAGTTGGCACGATTCTGCGCAGAACGGGGGATACAAAAAAGGTTCACACCCCCCATGTACTCCTCAGCTCAAAGGAGTAGCTTAGAGAATAAATCGCACGCTGGTCGAGTGTGCGCGCTGTATGATGGAACATGCTGGACTGGGAAAGAGCTACTGGGGTGAAGCAGTGATGGCGGCGATGTTTCTTCGAAACCGCTGTCCAACACGTGCCATCCACCAAGACAAGCCTCCATATCAAGTGTAGACGATGAAGAAACGGATTCTGGCCAAGCTCAAAGTGTTTGGATGCCACGCGTATGTTCAAGCGCCTCAAGGCAAACGCGCGAAGTTCGACTCCAAGTCATCACTCTGTCGTTTCCTGGGGTAAGCCGAACACCAGAAGTCATATCGATTCGAGGAAGTGTCAACAGGAGCGATCGAGATCAGTCGCGATGCCACGTTCATGGAAGACAAGTTTGATGAAGGTCCGCGCAACTACAACGATGAGTCAAGTACCGTTGAGTTTGATGATCAAGACGAGAACGAAGAAAAAGAAGAAGGTAAAACTGACTTCGACATGACTTCGAGCGACGATGACGACGAAGACACCAGGTCTTCGAAGAGCAACATCGAGAGACACACGCGCACTCAATCGCTTGAGAAAGGTACCGTCATTCCAAGTCCCAAGCGAAGAACGTACAGAGGTCCGTCGCTTGAGCATGTGTCAGCTGCTGCGACGGATTTTGAAGCAGTCTACATCGTTGATTCAGTGGGGGGAATGCCGACTACATTCAAGTCGGCGATGGAATCAAGCGACTCCGGCAAGTGGAAAGAAGCGTGTGACTCGGCGTTCGACTCGCTTCAGAGAAACGACACGTGGGAGATCGTGCCTCTTCCGAAAGTTCGCAATGCCATCGGGTGCCGATGGGTGTTTCGTGTCAAGGAGAATTAAGATGGCGAAGTTGAACGTTTCAAGGCAAGACTTGTGGCCAAATGGTTCTCGCAGAAATTCGGAGTTGACTATGAAGAAACTTTCGCACCAGTGGCCAAGTTCACATCGATTCGTATGGTGCTCAGTATGGCGGCCAAGTACGGCCTAATGCTACATCAGATGGACGTCAAGACAGCGTTTCTTAACGGCTCCCTCGACGAAGACATCTACATGGACCAACCGGCAGGATACCTGGATGAAAAACAGCCGGGCTATGTGTGCAAGCTAAAGAGATCGCTCTACGGTTTGAAGCAATCGCCACGCATGTGGAACCAAACGATTGATGGGTTCATGATCAAGATGGGATTCAAGAAGTGTGAACCGGACCACTGCGTCTACATCAAGCGAGACGACCAAGACATGATTCTCGTGGTGCTCTACGTTGATGATCTTATCCTGGCCAGCAGCAGCAACGAACTACTCAAGTCGACCAAGATGGCGCTGAGCAAACGCTTCGAAATGAAGGATCTCGGTGAGCTCAATTACCTTCTCGGCATGGAGATCAAGAACGACCGTAAGACTGGAATGGTGACTGTGCGACAAACCAAGTTTTCAAGTCCGTGTTGACCAAGTTTGGAATGGACAACAGCAAGCCATTGAAGAAGCCTCAAGATCCCGGTCTGAAGCTCACCAAGAACATGTGTGACCAAGAATACAAGCACGAAGACACCATGTGCAACGTGCCATATCGAAGCGCTGTCGGAGGCATCATGTATCTCATGGTCGCCACACGTCCGGATCTAGCTGCTGCAGTGGGATCATTATCCCAGTTCTCGTCCGACCCATGCCCGACCCACTGGCAAGCTTTGAAGCGTGTGCTGAGATACCTGCAAGCAACGCCCAATCACGGTCTTGAGTTCACACGTGAAGAAGGAAGCCGTATCTGCGGGTACACCGACGCAGACTGGTCCGGCGACATTGAGTCAAGACGAAGTACAAGCGGCTATGTGTTCATGATGAACGGAGGATGCATCAGCTCGAAAAGCCAGAAACAACGAACGGTCGCGCTTTTTTTCAACGGAAGCAAAATACATGGCGCTTTCCGAAGCAACCAAAGAAGCAGTATGGCTCAAGGTGTTGTTGAGGGAACTTGGTGAGATGGAAAGCGACGAAGCGATCAAGATGTATGAAGACAACCAAGGATCAATCGCCCTCACCAAGAACCCGGAGTTCCATAAGAGAACAAAGCACATCGACATACGCTACCATTTTTTGCGGGAGAAAGTGGAATCGGGCGAAGTCGCTTTGGAGTATTGCCCGACTCAAGATATGCTGGCGGACATGATGACCAAGCCGATCGCCGCTGTACAATTTGAAAACATTCGCGATCGACTCGGGATCCAAGTTGCCGCAGCTAACGAGTCGAGAGGGAGTGTTGGAAAGACGGCGGCTGTGAAGAAGACACCTCGTCAAGCTGCGTCAAGTGTTGAAGCAAGCCGAAGACCAAGCTTCGATGTACCGGTGGGTACCGGTATGTAACAGTAAGGGCGAAGTCAGAGAATGACGTCGTGTCATGACGTCACTGCGAATAATAGGATTAGAGGTTGTACTCAAAGTTGCGAACTAAGTACCTTGTATAAATATATGTTCACTTTGCGTTTTGCACTCGGACCAAGAAGTCTAAAGTTCATCAGGTTATGAGCCCAAGCTCATCAGACTCTGAAACCGCCAACAATTCAAGCCTCGCTGCCATGGACGCCTCCTCCCTTCGTATCTCCAAGTTCGATGTAACTAACTTCCACGCCCGGAAGTTCAAGATGCAGATGGTGCTGGAGGAACGAGACCTGTGGGAGGTCGTCAGCGGCGAGATCAAGGCGGAACAGTGCGTGACTCAGTTGGACCAAGCGGCGTACAAGAGGAAGTCAAGGAAGGTGATGGCAGTGATCTGTCTAGCCATGGAAGATTCCCAGCTACCGTTTGTCCGGTCGGCAAGTGGTGCATGCGACGCATGGTCAAGGTTGGAAGACCACTTCGAGAAGAAGAGTCTTGCCAACAAGCTGTTCTTGCGCCGTCGCTTCTTCACGACGATGGTGGAAGAAGGCGACGATGTGCTCGAACACATCAACAAGCTCAAGACGTTGGCGGAACAGCTAGAATCGGTGGGGGCTCCGGTCTGCGAGGACGATCTGGTGATCACACTTCTCGGCAGCCTGAGTGACTCGTATCAATTCTTGATCACAGCTTTGGAGTCGCGCTCAGACACTCTTAGCTGGTAGCTCGTGACGTCTCGACTGCTTTATGAAGAAATGAAGCGGAAGAAGCAAGGAAGTAAAGGTGATGACGCTTCGCAAGGTCAAGTGTTCATCACAAGGGACAATCAGCGCAAAGGGCGACCAGTGAAGAAGTCCTGGCTGTGCCACAATTACGGAAAGATTGGTCACTGGATGGCGGAGTGCTCTTCGCGCATCCAAGAAAGCACGGAGAGACACCGGCCACAGCGCGCTCAAGACAGCGACGACCGTTATCGATCACAACGTGCAAATGTCGCTTAAGAAGAAGACTCGGGCGAATACCTCTTCTCGATCGGTGAAACGAGATCTGCGAAATCAAGCGACATCTGGCTAGTCGACTCCGGGGCGACGCAGCACATGACGTGCTCCAAGAAGTTCATGCGGAACTACAAGGTGTTTGACGCTGTGTATGTCCATCTCGCGGATGATGGAATTGTCCAAGCAATCGGCAGTGGGGACATTGTCATGTCGATGAAGACACCCCAAGGGATGAAGAAAGGTGTTCTCACAAACGTGTGGCACATCCCAAAGTTATCCAGAAACCCGTTCTCAGTCCGCCGCTTCAAAAAGGATGTCGACCCAGTGACGTTCACAAAGGATGGGTGCTATGGAGAAGCGAAAGGGTTCAAGTGGAAAATTGGTGCCCGTGAAGGTAAAGGACTGTTCAAGCTGCAAATGGCTTCAGTGGCGCCGGAACAAGCAACTGCAGCCAAGTCGTCGGGATGTCAAGGGGGCACCAAGTCGTACCTCTGGCACCTTCGGCTTGGCCACATAGGTCATGATGGACTCAATAGCACCGTGACGAAGAACATTGGAATTGGCATCGACATATCTTCGGCGAAGAAGTGGGACGTGTGTGAAGGTTGTGCTCTGGGAAAACAGACTCGAGTGCGCTTCCAATTGAACACTACAGCTCGCACCTCCAAACTTCTCGAAGTGATTCACAGCAACGTATGCAGACCGATGTCGATGGCAACTTTCAGTGGAAAGCGGTACTTCGTGACATTCATCGACGACAATTCAAGATACTTTGTCATTTATCTGCTCAAGAGCAAATCTGAAGTTGCGGCGAAGTTCTTGGAATACGCTGCGATGGCCGAAACGCAAACCGGAAAGCGCGTGAAGTACCTTCAAAGCGACAATGGGGGTGAGTACAAGTCCTACAAGTTGGCACGATTCTGCGCAGAACGGGGGATACAAAAAAGGTTCACACCCCCATGTACTCCTCAGCTCAAAGGAGTAGCTTAGAGAATAAATCGCACGCTGGTCGAGTGTGCGCGCTGTATGATGGAACATGCTGGACTGGGAAAGAGCTACTGGGGTGAAGCAGTGATGGCGGCGATGTTTCTTCGAAACCGCTGTCCAACACGTGCCATCCACCAAGACAAGCCTCCATATCAAGTGTAGACGATGAAGAAACGGATTCTGGCCAAGCTCAAAGTGTTTGGATGCCACGCGTATGTTCAAGCGCCTCAAGGCAAACGCGCGAAGTTCGACTCCAAGTCATCACTCTGTCGTTTCCTGGGGTAAGCCGAACACCAGAAGTCATATCGATTCGAGGAAGTGTCAACAGGAGCGATCGAGATCAGTCGCGATGCCACGTTCATGGAAGACAAGTTTGATGAAGGTCCGCGCAACTACAACGATGAGTCAAGTACCGTTGAGTTTGATGATCAAGACGAGAACGAAGAAAAAGAAGAAGGTAAAACTGACTTCGACATGACTTCGAGCGACGATGACGACGAAGACACCAGGTCTTCGAAGAGCAACATCGAGAGACACACGCGCACTCAATCGCTTGAGAAAGGTACCGTCATTCTAAGTCCCAAGCGAAGAACGTACAGAAGTCCGTCGCTTGAGCATGTGTCAGCGGCTGCGACGGATTTTGAAGCAGCCTACATCGTTGATTCAGTGGGGGTAATGCCGACTACATTCAAGTCGGCGATGGAATCAAGCGACTCCGGCAAGTGGAAAGAAGCGTGTGACTCGGCGTTCGACTCGCTTCAGAGAAACGACACGTGGGAGATCGTGCCTCTTCCGAAAGTTCGCAATGCCATCGGGTGCCGATGGGTGTTTCGTGTCAAGGAGAATTAAGATGGCGAAGTTGAACGTTTCAAGGCAAGACTTGTGGCCAAATGGTTCTCGCAGAAATTCGGAGTTGACTATGGAGAAACTTTCGCACCAGTGGCCAAGTTCACATCGATTCGTATGGTGCTCAGTATGGCGGCCAAGTACGGCCTAATGCTACATCAGATGGACGTCAAGACAGCGTTTCTTAACGGCTCCCTCGACGAAGACATCTGCATGGACCAACCGGCAGGATACCTGGATGAAAAACAGCCGGGCTATGTGTGCAAGCTAAAGAGATCGCTCTGCGGTTTGAAGCAATCGCCACGCATGTGGAACCAAACGATCGATGGGTTCATGATCAAGATGGGATTCAAGAAGTGTGAACCGGACCACTGCGTCTACATCAAGCGAGACGACCAAGACATGATTCTCGTGGTGCTCTACGTTGATGATCTTATCCTGGCCAGCAGCAGCAACGAACTACTCAAGTCGACCAAGATGGCGCTGAGCAAACGCTTCGAAATGAAGGATCTCGGTGAGCTCGATTACTTTCTCGGCTTGAAGATCAAGAACGACCGTAAGACTGGAATGGTGACTGTGCGACAAACCAAGTTTCCAAGTCCGTGTTGACCAAGTTTGGAATGGACAACAGCAAGCCATTGAAGAAGCCTCAAGATCCCGGTCTGAAGCTCACCAAGAACATGTGTGACCAAGAATACAAGCACGAAGACACCATGTGCAACGTGCCATATCGAAGCGCTGTCGGAGGCATCATGTATCTCATGGTCGCCACACGTCCGGATCTAGCTGCTGCAGTGGGATCATTATCCCAGTTCTCGTCCGACCCATGCCCGACCCACTGACAAGCTTTGAAGCGTGTGCTGAGATACCTGCAAGCAACGCCCAATCACGGTCTTGAGTTCACACGTGAAGAAGGAAGCCGTATCTGCGGGTACACCGACGCAGACTGGTCCGGCGACATTGAGTCAAGACGAAGTACAAGCGGCTATGTGTTCATGATGAACGGAGGATTTGTGGTGAAGCCGATCTCACAAAATTACTTGTATGAGTGTCGATCTTCCACTTGCCCAGACTTGCCGACCCACGGAGGGGGTACTCCGATCCGTGCCTTGCTGCATAACCTTGTGCTCACCTTGTGTACCCGTCGGTTGGGCTGGCTTGAGCTCTTCGTAACGGCCTTGGAGGATGTCGATCTCGCTGAGAGGTTGGATAGAGAGTTCGCTTCCGGTGCGGAAATCTTCACACCACGAACGGGGGTTCTGCGATCTTGATCTCGAGTCGCGGCGATCTCTAGTTAAAGATGTCGCGATCTCGATCTTGAATCGCACCGATCTCGATTTGTCTTCGGGATCGGGGTCTTTGCTGGGCAGAAATTTTCACTTAGCAAATAGTAGTCTTGCGTCGATCTTGCCTTGGGATCAGTCCGATCTGGTCTTGGGATCGTCCGATCTTGCTGAAAGTGCGCAATTTGGGCAGATCGGTCCTTGGTTTCGCCAAAATGAAACGTGCCGATCTGTCCAGTGGATCGCTTCGATCTTGCTCGGTCTTGCTCGGTCTTGTCTTGAACGCCTAATCCAGATCTTCTAAACACTTGAGCCGTCTCGCGATCTTGTGTCCAAAATCATTTTCCTTTGTTGCTGCTACCCTAGCGGTTGAGTTGAGAGTGAGTACTTGATCGATCCGGGCCAAACTTCCCGAGGTCGCTCTTCCCGATCTTGGCCAACAATCCAAGATCGGCCTTCTGTGTCCCTGTAACACGCGTGCCTTGACCCGCCGGTGGGGAAGCCAAACCAATCTTGCCCGGAGAAGAGGGGAGGAGAACGTGTGTAGCGAGCAGAAGAAGTAGAGTTCAAGTCCGTTTATTAACCAACCAAATTAATAGCCAACCTATCTTTAGCCTATTCCCAACTATAGGTCACTCTCCAAGTCGATATCACCTTTAAGCTTGACCGCCCCCTTGAACACGTGTCAAAATTTCATGACCTGTACTCCAAAGATAGTGCCAGTATCCCCGATATCGTACCTGAACGCCAAAAGAGGACCAAATCCCAAATGGGGTACCAAATACCCTTTTTTGGGTACCCAAAGCCCAAAATAGTGCCCAAATGCCGAAGGCGTCTAAATCCATTTTGCGACGTCAATTTAACCGGCTTCCACTGGCTCTTTCGATCTGAACTTTTGAGACATCACTCATTGACCTTCAACAAGCATGTTTGTCATGATCCAAAATTCTCATCAACGATATGTCCATAATCAGTGGGGATCATGACCGATCTGATGCCCAATTCGAGATAGTTGAGGATCGACACAGTAAAATCCGGCCATATATGTTCTTCCGCTCATTTTGTGCGCTCCGATGCTTTATCAAAATGATTCTGCTTCAACATCCACATCCTTGCCTCTGACCAGCCTTCAGAGTGGTCGTTCGGTTCAATCCAGTCCCTCATCCCAGATCGCACCGTGGAAATCACCCCTTGCTACGCCCCGTCTCAAACCACGTCGCATCGCCTGGTCCCAGGCGTGCTTTTCTCAATTGATTCTGCTTCAACATCCACATCCTTTCCTTTGATCAGTCTTTAGAGTGGTCGTTCGGTTCAATCCAGTCCCTCGTCCCAGATCGCACCGTTGGAATCACCCCTTTCTACGCCCCGTCTCAAATCACGTTGCATCGCCTGGTCCTAGGCGTACCTCTTCCGCCAGTGGGTGACATCTTAACTGGGTGGACACCGATCCACGTCCCATCATTTGATTAGTGAGTTTACCACAACCGCCTCCTGTACTGAAGTCCGTTTGGGCAGCAATCGGCTTCAGTCCAGTCACTCATCAACTTATCCAAGCACTCAAGTCCATTTCATTCAGTAAGGTAATTCGCTGGACTGTCTCTGTACTCACAAACGTAGCTCCATCCACCCGCATGTACCACCTCCTAGCACACCTTGCCACCCCATCTATCAGCATGTATACCTCCTAGCACACCTTGCCACTCCATCCATCAGCGTATGCTACCGCCTAGCACACCTTGCAATCCATGCATCCGCATATGCTGCCTCCCAGCATGTCTGCCCCGACCGTTAAGGTTCGTCCAACTTGAATTCGTGAGACTGCATTACTTCAAAACGGTTCCGACTCACTCGGCTCCGCTCAAACTCCTGCAAGATCGCCCCACAACTCAGATCGGCCTCATCTACCCAACTTAAATCGGGATGTCCCTTTCACTTCACCAGAAACTGTCGGTGTACTCGCCCATAACGGGTTCCCTACCAGATCGCACGTCCAATATTTCTTCTACTTCGTATTCTCCCTCTTCAAGATCGCTCTCCCAACTGTCTTCTGGCAGCAGAGCTTCATCGAAATCCAAGCGATCTGATCCCTCTATCGTAAGCTGATCCTTCGGGCGTTCAGGGAACGTTTTTACCTTTTTTAGCTTCGATACATGTACAATCGGAAATAACCGATATGGGATTCCAGCGATCTCCAATTTTACAGCATGATCTCCACATACGTCCGCAACTCGGAATGGCCCATGCCACATGTGCGCTAGCTTCTTCGCATATCCCTCTTTAACTCGGTCCAGGTATAGCCAAACTTGCGCTCCTACTTTGATCTCGTGTGGTTCCAGATCTTCGTTGTGTCGATCCGCTCGCTCCTGGATCGCGGCTTGTAAACGATCGTTCACTGCAGATCGGGCTCGCTGGTATTGTCTTTGTATTTTGTATCTCCACCTCTATGGATCGCGATCTCGTGTCCCCGTATTTCCCACTGGTAGCGAAGCCTCCAAAGTCGATCGTGGGTCCCACCCATGAATCAGATAAAATGGGGTGTCCCCCCGGATCCGATCTTGTGCAGTGTTAATGGCAAATGTGAGCCGCTCAGCATACTCATTCCAGTCTCGCTGGTCAACTTCAGCCACGTACATCTTGAGCGAATGTGTCAGGGTTTGCACCATTCGTTCGGCTGTTCCATTTGCTTGCGGCCTGTAAGCCATAGTAGCACGCTGTTTTTGTCCTACGATCCGACTGAAGGCTCGAAAGAAGTCGGACATAAATCCCGGTTCTCGATCGTGCCTGATAGCCTCGCTAGCTCCGAAGCGTCGAAACACACATTCTTCGTAATTCTCCGCTATTGTTTGTGCCGTCCGAGAGGAGCTAGCCTTTGCAATCACATATCCCGAGAAAAGGTCGACCCAAATGAGCAGTTCGGTGTTCCCCTTGATGGACTTGGGCAACGACGGTATATGATCCATGGCGATGAACTGGAATGGACAGGTTGCGTGTAGATTGCCCGGGGATTTCCCATGAATTTTCGGACTTCCTTTCCCGGTCTCACAGTCGGTACATTCGCCCACATATCGTTGAACACTCCGATACAGTCCTCTCCAATGAAATCGCGATCTGATCCTCTGATAGGTTCGGCCAATACCCTGATGGCCTCCTTCCAGACTCGTGTGATGAGTGATGCAAAAAATCCTGCTGCAACGTCTCAGGGATCACCAACCGCATCAAACCATCGCGATCTTCCGACTCTCTTTTCGCCATGGGGCCAAAAAAAGCAGATTGTTCTCATCGATCTCGTATTCCGGCGCCAGTTTGGCGCACATCTTCACTTCTACCGCATCCAAGTTTGATACATCGCCACTTAGATATGTCTTGAGATTGACAATCCAACGCTCTTCATCTTGAGCTTGGCAATTCGTTGAATCCTGAACCTCTGTACTATCTCCTCCTGTATCACTTCAGGTTCATGACGTATCCTCCTGGCTGATCTCGCGATCGCAGTTACCCGAGCTAGCTGACCATCTTGCTTGGGCTTCAACAATTCATCGAGACGGTTCAGAGTCATCAGATCTTGCCGATCCTCTTCAGCTACAACCGTTCTTCCCTTTTCGCTCTGCAATGCTGTGCTGGCTAGTTGATCTGCGCTCTGATTCCACTCTCGCTTCATATGCAGAAACTCGTGACTAGGCCATGACTGCAGCTTCTCCAACGCTTTGTGTCTCAGAAGCTGGAGGCCCGGTGCCTTGCAGTCGATCTCACCGCGCATCTGTCGAATCACCAGACTGGAATCTCCACACAGTATTACTCGCCCCCTATCCAGATCGGCAAGTAACTCAAAGCACAGTAGCAAGCCATTATACTCAGCTTCATTCACAGTCAGATCGTGAACATATCTCGATTCGGCCGCCACGATCGTCCATTCGGGTAACTTCCATATCACGGCACTGAACGACCCTCCTTTCTTTTTTATCCTAGCCGATCCATCGAAACTGGCCACCAGCAACCCCTCATCTGTTTCCACCGTTGGAGGAGGCATCGATATTTTGAGTCGACAGTCTTTTCGTGGGGGGAGATTGCAATCAGCATCTCTTCCACTTCTCCTCTCGGAGTGATACTCGCTGCTAACATGCCCAGGATCTCTTCCTCTCCTCTTTCACATTTCTTCACCTCCATAGTCCAATTTGACAACAAAGCAGCCCACCGTCCTAATCTCCCGTTGAGCCCTCGAGACTGCATCAACCAGGCTAACGTAGAATGTCGGGTCAGTACAGTGATCTCCCGCGAGGCAAGCGTAGTATAGCATACATCCAACACACGAAGTAGCGCCAGCACTTCTTTTTCTACCGTTCCGTAGTTAAGCTCATTAGGCTTTAAGGTGCGGCTAGTAAACATCACCGGATGATAAACGCCATCGTAATCCTGTATCAGGGCCGCTGAGACAGCCCACTTGCTAGCGTAGACCACGATTACGGGGGACCGATCTGGGTCGAAATGCTTGAGCATGGGAGCTGTGGCTATCTTAGCTTTTAGCATAGTGAAAGCAACCTTGGCTTCCGTCCATCGACCCTCGTTGGAGCATTCGTCTCCTGCTGCAAGCTGAGATCGGCCGATCTCGAAGAAATCCGATTCTCTTAACTCATACAACACCGCGGCCTACACCGCGAAATCCTCAATGAAGCGACGGTAGTAGTTCAAGCTCCCGAGAAAAGATTGCATAGCTCGTAGCGTGCTAGGAAACGGGATGTTAACCAACGACTCTAGGTTCTTGGGCTGAGCCTCCAGACCATCCATCGACACTCGATGTCCCAAATAATCGACCTTACGGCACCCCCAAAAGCTCTTCGTGAGACTGATAGACCGATTCCACTTATCACATGCCTCCAGCAACCGTTCTACTTTTGTGTACAAAGATCCCCATGACGTGGCTGGTATGAGAATATCATCAATGTAAGATCGGCGTCCCAGTATAGACGGTCGTCGATCTGTCTCAGGTTCTCCATCTTTGAACACGTCGATCGGGCCATCAGAGGCTGATCTCTGGACGATCTTGAGATATCCATACAACGCATTGTCCACCAGAAGTTACTAGATCTGGGGCGCGTTCTTAAGCCCAAAAGGCATTTGCAGCCACTAGAACAAGCCAAACGGTGTGACAAACGCTGAGATCAGTTTTGCTCGTTCAGTCATTTCGACGACCCAAAATCCACTAGCCATGTCTAGCGAACAGTACCATAGAGCTTTATCCAGATCTTCCAACAGATAGCTGATCAACGGCATGGGATAAACCATCAGACGCGTCAGCTGGTTCACTCTTCGATAATCAATGAAAAGGCGAATATCCACTCCGTTCTTCTTGATGATCACCACTATCGGAGACGCCCAAGGTGACGTGGATGGCTGAACGATTTTGGCTGCTAATAGTCCTTTAATAAAACCTGACAGCTTCTCCCGATATTTGGGTGCGCCCGGACGCACTCTTTGCGCTATCGGTGCTGCCCCACCGACATTAATATCACAGATCGCGCCTCGTGCTGCTGGTGGTAGAGCATTACCTTTACCCATGAGGAGGTGACGGCTCTTCCAGATCAGCGATCTGAGCCGTTGTTGATCTGTGGTGAGAGGCACATCGGGATCACCGATCTGAATGTCCTCAATTGTAACTTCTTCCGTAGTCGCCGACATCTCTGGTAACACCGCCAGATGCTGCTCGATATCTTCCGCAAACAAATCTCCGCTCTCGTGGTGATAAACTGGTATTTCTGCAATCTCGACGTCTTCAGTATTTAGCATTATTTCTTCTTTAGGCTCCTTCGTCTCTTCCGGCTGGCCTAATTTCAACAGTCGGTCAGTCGGCTCAGCCTTCGGTAGAGACGATCTGTCACGTAGCCCTTCTTGCCCGGTGTCGCGGTCTCCCTTCGTTGCATGTTGGGTACCGATCTCATGACCGTTCTCCATCCGCGATAGTTCGGCTCCCCTGACCGTTACTTCCCTCGCAACTACAGCATCTGCCTTTTGCGAATCGTCATCGTTAGCTTGCGGCGTTACCGTGGAGATCGCCGGAGACAGGTTCTGTAACGCATCAGACGGACATTTCAAGATGCGTTTGGGAGCGGAATACGTAGGACGATCTACCAATGGTCCGATCGGTTCTTTCGGGAGTTCGGTCACTCGATCCGTCGTAGCCTCATATGCCAGAGTTTGCCATTACTTATACTTCCCCGACCCGACTGTCACCAAACCTTGGGTTCGCGGTACCATATCGCCTTCGACCCACATGCCTAATATAGTGTGGGTGGGTAGTATGATCTCACGGTCGCCAATGTTGGTCATCTGCAGGTATTTCGTCTTACCCCACCCCGAGATCACAGTGGGGACCAATCTAGTCCTCTAGCGACCCACAACTTCATCTTAGCCCCTCCGATCCCGATCTTCACTTCCCTTGACTCTCCGACCGGGATCACCACGTGTTGGTCCTTCGCCGTCACATGTTGTATCTTCGATCCGTATGCGGGGCGACTTCCTGCGAGATGAATGCGGATTTCTTCCGGTAGACATAGCGCGCCATCCGCTAGATCGAGCCGCACTCCAGCAGGCACCGTAAAATCCATACCCAGAATCGCTTCTTGCCCTGCCAGATCGCCTACCCATACATTGAAATAGTATACCAGCGATCCCGCGAGGGTCACCTTGATCTTGGTACGTCCTACCGTAATGTACGGAGTTTCTCCAATCCCGATACATTCTTGTCGTTGACTTTCGTCAATATTGCAACCGACCTCACGAGCAAAGGTGGTGTCAATGATCGACACTTCAGCACCAGAATCGAATAACAGAGTAGCTTTTACGTTGTTGATCTTGCCAACGGCTTTCGCTTGTTTGAACCACTTCCCGGGTGAATAATGTTTCCAGTATCCGCGAGATTCACCATAAGCGAGCTCGATCTCCATAGCTGGTTCAGATCGTGAGTACTCCTCGATCCGCTTCAGATGGGACACGGAAGTGATACTTCTTAACTTCGAACGAGATATATTTGTTTCCACGTCAATATCCTGCTTACTCTCGCGATCTGTCTTCTTTTTTTCCACGTATGCAATAATGCAGAGCCCAGAACGCTCGGCTCGTACCAGATTCAAACCTGGCGAGCGTCCTAGTTTAACATCTTCTCGGCCTTCTCTGGTAGCATCCCCGCATGCTTATTCGGGACGTACCACCGACGGATCATGTTGTAGAACTCCTCCATGGGACACTTCCCCGGGTCGTGCATCTCTCCGCAAGCACGACACACGAAAAAACAATTGTCAGAGGGGTGTCCTTTACGCCCACACTTCTGGCAAGTGAGCCGCTTCCAGCAACCGAGATCTCCATGCTTGGTCGATCCGCAATGAGTACACGGCTTCAATGGCATATTGCGATCTTGATAGTCTTGACGAGTGTTCGGGTCGACCGATCTCGCGTTTGCTGCAACGTCATTGGAAGATGAACGGCGATCCGCAGTAGCAGCCACATGGATCGATCTCAATCGATCTTCCAAATCCGATCCGCAGGTGTCCGATCCTGACTCGCTGCAGACGTCCTCGGTACGGACCATCCTTACCGCTCGTGCAGGCTTAGACAGCGCTGGACCCTGAGTTCCCTTCTGCCTGAATTTGGACGATCCCATCATCACTTTCCCTTGACGCGATCTCCCTTGTTGATATCCGTGCAGTGTCTTTGCATGGCCTCCGCGTCTTCTACATTCAGCAGTAGCAATTGATTGGACAGATCGGGGTCGTCCAAGGTGTCAATGAAATGATTGACATGTTCCTTGCGCGCAGCTGGCAATCCAGTCATCACCGGTATCTTCGCCTGCATTCCCATCACATTAAGCCGATACAGGTACTGTAAAGGATCTTCCTCCGATCGTTTCTTTGCATGGTAGTACTGCCTGCTCGCGGACATCCCGTGTCCCGCATACTCCACAAGAAAACTGTTCATCAATTCTTTCCTATTGAATCTCGTCGATCTACTCAGCTGTCGGTACCAGTAGCGGGCTGGGCCCACCATGAGATCACCGAAGACCAGACACCTCTCCTCGTCGGTGCTTGGTCCCGGATAAACGCTGATTTCACTTTGCCGATCCAGTTTCGTGCTTTGTCTTCTTCCCGATCCTTCCCTGAGAATTCTTTCAGCTCAGAAATCGCTGAGATTCTGATCCTCTGCGTGATGTTTCCCCCTCCGGTAGTCGCACCGGTCGCGGCTACATGAGGGCGCCGTGGTTCGGGCATCCATAGATCATCCGGGTCGTATTCCGCCCCCTCATGGATATGTTGGTAAATGTCCGACCCCACCGACTCCATCTCCACATCCGGCATGTCAAGGCTTTCGTGTGAAGGTTGGAGCAAAGTTCGTCGATCTGGGTAGCGGTTTGGCTGTCGATTCATTCGCTGAGCTGTACGTTGATCCTCCTCGTACTTCTTCATGGCTGAATTGAAGTACCGACTTAGATCGCCCTCTTCTTGATCCTCCAGCCCAGTGCGGGTACTGGCCGATCTCTGCGGCATGTTGCTCTTGGCTTGTCCCTTATAGGCGTCGATCTTGGCTTGTCCGATCTTGTACTTTATAAACTAACCGCCCGATGGTCCTAGAGACATCCGACGAATGCTGATGGATCCATCTGACTCGCTCTCGGAGTCATCCGAGCCGTAGTGGGGCGATCCCGCGGGGTGTTTACGGAGCGATCCCGAGGGCGTCCCGATCTTGTCTTCAGGATTATTCGCTTTGCCCACCAGCATTATCATGATCTCTACAAACTCATTCGCCGCGTCCTTCAACTGTTCCAAGCTGCAATTCAGCAGTTCATCTCCATCAAAATCGTCAGGGCAGATACCCATGTCGTCCAACATCTGCAAAATCAAATTGATCTCGTCGACTTTGTTGGTCCCGTGAAGTGGGACCGAGATCGGCTTATCCAGAGGACCAATCACCTTGGGCCTTAATATCTTGAACACTGGGTCCGTCTTGAGCAGCGTCTTCAACTGGCCATAATAGTACTGCCATTTTGCACGCTCCCGCGCTTCACCCGTCGTCTCCTTCTCCATGGACGCGATCTTTATTGGGTTATATTCCGTCTTTGGCATCGCGATCTCATCTGGTGTTTCATCGTATTCCTCTTTGGCTCCGATCTTCGATTGCACGGTTCGGCCGATCTGGCGATCTTTGACATCTGATCCCATCGATCTCGTCGCGGATCGTTCTGATGTGGTCGATCTCGCGATTGTGCTCTTCGGCTTGAGGTCGGGCGATCTATCGACTAAGATATAGGGTTTGGCTTTCGCCGATTTGGTTTTCACCATTGGATTTTCATCCAGCAGATCGCTCTTTGCAGAGCGATCTGCGGTGGCCCCCGAAGGGACCCTAGGAGGGAATTGAGGTTTATCTTCCAGATCGATCTCTCGATCTTCCTCTTTCATTTTCATTACATCAGATCCCCTCCCAAAACTCTGATGATCTGAGGATCTTGTGCTTCTGCGTGTCTGCGTCGATCCCTTTGTCGCTGACACTTCAATCCCAGGTTCTTGCTTAATCTTGACATCTTCGCCAGTGGACTCACGGTGAAATCCAGAGGTCTCAGAATATCCGGGCACGCGCACCATTGTGGTGAAGTCGATCTCACAAAATTGCTTGTATGAGTGTCGATCTTCCACTTGCCCAGACTTGCCGACTCACGGAGGGGGTACTCCGATCCGTGCCTTGTTGTATGACCTTGTGCTCACCTTGTGTACCCGTCGGTTGGGCTGGCTTGAGCTCTTCGTAACGGCCTTGGGAGATGACGATCTCGCTGAGAGGTTGGTTTGAGGGTTCGCTTCCGGTGCGGAAATCTTCACACCACGAACGGGGGTTCTGCGATCCCGATCTTGGATCGCACCGATCTTGATTTGTCTTCGAGATCGGGGTCTTTGCTGTGCGGAAATCTTCACTCAACAAATAAAAGTCCTGCGTCGATCTTGCCTTGGGATCGGTCCGATCTGGTCTTGGGGTCGTCCGATCTTGCCGGAAGTGCGCAATTTGGGTAGATCGGTGTCTTGTTTCGCCAAAATGAAACGTGCCGATCTGTCCAGGGGATCGTTTCGATCCTGCTCGGTCTTGTCTTGAACGCCTAATCCAGATCTTCTGACCACTTGAGCCGTCTCGCGATCTTGTGTCCAAAATCATTTTCCTTTGTTGCTGCTACCCTAGCGGTTGAGTTGAGAGTGAGTACTTGATCGATCCGGGCCAAACTTCCCGAGGTCGCTCTTCCCGATCTTGGCCAACAATCCAAGATCGGTCTTCTGTGTCCCTGTAACACGCGTGCCTTAACCCGCCGGGGAAGCCAAATCAATCTTGCCTGGAGAAGAGGGGAGGATAACGTGCGTCGTGAGCAGAAGAAGTAGAGTTCAAGTCTGTTTGTTAACCAACCAAATTACTATCCAACCTACCCTTAAGCCTATTCTTAACTATAGGTCACTCTTCAAACCGATATCGCCTTGAATCTGGTTCGCCCCCTTGCCACGTGTCGAAATTTCGTGCCCTGTACTCCAATGATAGCGCCAATATCCCCGATATCGTACCTAGAGCACCAAATGGACCAAAATCTCCTATATGGTACTAAATACCCATTCTCGGCACCTAAGTACCCAATATATGACCCAAAATGCCGAATGTGTCCCGATTCACTTTGCGACGTCAATTCGGACAGCTTCCACTGGTTCTTTCGGCATGAAACTTCTTGACATCACTTAGTGACCTCTATCAAGTATATTCCACATGATCCAGTATCTTCATCAACCATATATCTATGATCAGTGTGGAACATGACCGATCTGTCATCCAATATCGAGATGTTGGAGGTCGATCCGGTCTAAATCGGCAATTAACACTTTTTCATCTCCTCATACGTGCTTCAATATCATTCTCCAGTGTTATCCAATCGACAACTTCATTCATACGTCTCGACATCGGTTTCCTTGACTCCCCTGAGTATGCAAAACTTCCAGATCGGTGTATAATTAACCAAAATCAGTACTCCCAATTTAGGATCGGTAAAGAGTATTACCGATCCGTATGGTGTTGCACCTTCTTTGCCGATTCACCGACCCGTACCACCTGGTCCCAGATGCACTTTGGGGAGTCACCTTGTCCCAGATGTGTCAATTCTCCAACAAACCGTTGCCACAACATGTCGATCTGCAATCTGATCTTAGCCTGCTTCAATGTACGTATACTTCTTCTTGACCGGCGTTCCAATGAGCTGTATGACTTCATCCCGACGTCTGGTTCCAGATCGCCCCATAGCATTCTGCAAGATGTTACACCTTCGTCGCAGAGTCATATCCCATCACCCGGTCCCAGATCCTTTTCCCAGATTGTTCCATGTAAATCGTTTAAGATCGCTCCGTCCCAGGTCGACCCATACCCATTAGTCTAACGACAGTTGGATCGGTTCGCCGATCCTGTTAAGATCATCTTCCACCTCCGTATTGGATCGCCGAGTCTCATGGCCTCCTTTTCCACCAGTAAGCGGCGCTTTAAAGGTGTGGCCACCGATCCTCGTACAAAATTTGAGTAGTGACTTTGCCACATCTTCTGAACACTTGAGCCGTCTCGCGATCTTGTGTCCAAAATCATTTTCCTTTGTTGCTGCTACTCTAGCGGTTGAGTTGAGAGTGAGTACTTGATCGATCCGGGCCAAACTTCCCGAGGTCGCTCTTCCCGATCTTGGCCAACAATCCAAGATAGGCCTTCTGTGTCCTTGTAACACGCGTGCCTTGACCCGCCGGTGGGGAAGCCAAACCAATCTTGCCCGGAGAAGAGGGGAGGAGAACGTGTGTAGCGAGCAGAAGAAGTAGAGTTCAAGTCCGTTTATTAACCAACCAAATTAATAGCCAACCTATCTTTAGCCTATTCCCAACTATAGGTCACTCTCCAAGTCGATATCACCTTTAAGCTTGACCGCCCCCTTGAACACGTGTCAAAATTTCATGACCTGTACTCCAAAGATAGTGCCAGTATCCCCGATATCGTACCTGAACGCCAAAAGAGGACCAAATCCCAAATGGGGTACCAAATACCCTTTTTTGGGTACCCAAAAGCCCAAAATAGTGCCCAAATGCCGAAGGCGTCTAAATCCATTTTGCGACGTCAATTTAACCGGCTTCCACTGGCTCTTTCGATCTGAACTTTTGAGACATCACTCATGGACCTTCAACAAGCACGTTTGTCATGATCCAAAATTCTCATCAACGATATGTCCATAATCAGTGGGGATCATGACCGATCTGATGCCCAATTCGAGATAGTTGAGGATCGACACAGTAAAATCCGGCCATATATGTTCTTCCGCTCATTGTGTGCGCTCCGATGCTTTATCAAAATGATTCTGCTTCAACATCCACATCCTTGCCTCTGATCAGCCTTCAGAGTGGTCGTTCGGTTCAATCCAGTCCCTCATCCCAGATCGCACCGTGGAAATCACCCCTTTCTACGCCCCGCCTCAAATCACGTCGCATCACCTGGCCCCAGGCGTACCTTTTCCGCCAGTAGGTGACATCTTAACTGGGTGGACACCGATCCACGTCCCATCATTTGATTAGTGACTTCAAAACAGATGCATCATCTGGAAAGCCAGAAACAACGGACGGTCGCGCTTTCTTCAACGGAAGCAGAATACATGGCGCTTTCCGAAGCAACCAAAGAAGCAGTATGGCTCAAGGTGTTGTTGAGGGAACCTGGTGAGATGGCAAGCGACAAAGCGATCGAGATGTATGAAGACAACCAAGGATCAATCGCCCTCACCAAGAACCCGGAGTTCCATAAGAGAACAAAGCACATCGACATACGCTACCATTTTGTGCGGGAGAAGGTGGAATCGGGCGAAGTCGCTTTGGAGTATTGCCCGACTCAAGATATGCTGGCGGACATGATGACCAAGCCGATCGCCGCTGTAAAATTTGAAAACATTCGCGATCGACTCGGGATCCAAGTTGCCGCAGCTAACGAGTCGAGAGGGAGTGTTGGAAAGACGGCGGCTGTGAAGAAGACACCTCGTCAAGCTGCGTCAAGTGTTGAAGCAAGCCGAAGACCAAGCTTCGATGTACCGGTGGGTACCGGTATGTAACAGTAAGGGCGAAGTCAGGGAATGACAACATTAGATGACGTCAGTGGGTGACGTCAGTGGATGGTGTCACTGCGAATAATAGGCTTAGAGGTTGTACTCAAAGTTGCGAACTAAGTACCTATTATAAGTGTTTATTCACTTTGCGTTTTGCACTCGGACCAAGAAGTCAAAAGTTCATCAGCCCGTTGGTTGCCGTAAACAAAGTAAAAAGAGAATTTGTGCTCCAGCTTTGACCTGATCTGAGGTTTAGGGATCATCGGAAGGTGTAGAGTCGACGCTTGCGACATTGTCTGGATCTAGATATTCAATTCATCGATGTGCGTCTGGTCCGCCGTCACAAGCCGTGTCCGAAATGTCTTCAGTTCCAATTGTTGTAAATCTACTAAGTCTTACGCACGACACATCCCTTCCGAATGGCCATAATTGTCCCACCGTAACCAAGGTATTCTGCGTGGACCTCTTATGGAGATTTTCTGTAAATCGGATGTTGCAATTAGCCATGCTGACGCACCCGCGCGTCGGCAAATTCGGTATCAATGCCTGCGAAAGACGTTGACCCGCCTCTTACTGAGGTCTTTCGTGATCAGTGGACCCTAAATAAATAGATTGCGTACCGCGATCTTGTGCTCACGATTTCTCTTGTTGATAGGCAGAGTCAGCTAATTGAGCCGCGCGGAGTTATTGTCGATCGCTTGTTCCATTGCTGATCTTGTCTTAATAGATATATATCTCTACAACATTACCTGTGCGCGCATATTCATCTCCCGCATCCGATTGGAGTCCTCGGCTGGTTTCCTAAGCCGGTTTGACGGCGTTGTACGCTCGAAAATCTTAAGAGACTGATGTCCGCCCAATCTTATTGATCTCTTTTTTGCGTACAGATAGTTCGACCAGTTCGCCATCCTGGATTTGGACTTTTAGTGTTGTGTTTGACAGGCTTTGTAAAAGTCCACGCATGAATTTTTTTCTTACAGCGAACAACGAGACAGCCACCCCGAGTTGAAATCAAATCTGGAAGCAGCGAAAATAACGTGGATCGCGAGCTAGGTTCCGGTGGAATGGGATCCCTCGATTAATCTTGAAGGGTGTGATAGCAGTTCACTGCTATCTGGACACTCTGTTGGACCCTTTCTATCTGCACTCCCCATCCCGAATCGAAGTGCTCTTATGAATTTTAGCATTAAAATGCAAACAAGAATGTGGTGAAATGGGGTTCGCTCGTTTTGTAAGGCGACCCGACTCTCTACTGACGCTTAAAAAACCGACTAACGGAGGGGTACTACGATTTCGCTTGCACTTGTTTCCTCTCACCTTGTGTACCGGTCAGCAGTGCGGGACGCACTCTTCTAGTTGGACTTGACTCGATGCTGAACTTGACTGTTTTAGAGATTGATGTCGACCGGGTGGAAATTCCGTACCCGATCGCATGTTCTTGGTCGGTACTCTCCTAGAGTCTCCTCGATCAGCCTTGATCGCCTTGTACCAAAAATAGGGGTTCTTAAGTCGTGAGCCTATTGACCGCTTAAGCCGTCTCACCATCTTGTACTTCACCTAGTAAGGTTTCCTGCGTCCAATCGCAGTTGGGGTGTTTTAAGATTCCTTGCACTCCTGGCCAAGTAGCTCCAGGAGTGATATTCCTGCTCTTGGTGTCGAAGTTTTCTGATGTCGGGAGGCCTAATTATCCAACCTAAAGAAGAACGAAACGTATGTGTTTAAAACAAATTGAACTCTCTTTAATGTTAGCCATTCAAAACCCAAAACTATAACCGCGCCTACTCCGTATGTCAGGATTGACCGCCACATGTCTTCTCCATGCCAAAGAATGAATTAGCAATCCTTCTATATCATGTGACCCACACCAGATCGCTATCCTCTGATCGCGGTCTCTTTATCGCGTTTCTTTGATCGCGGTCCTCCAATCGCGATCCTACAATCGCGGTCATCCGATTGCGGTCCTCCGGTCGTGGTCCCCTGATCATAATACTCCGGTCTTTCGACAGTATGGGACCGTGCGGACCAGATGATGTTGTGCCGTGTAGTCCTCTAAACGGTAACATTAGAATAATTGGCTATCATTCTACGAGCGATCCAGCCACTACCACCTCGTACTTAGCCGAATCTGTTGACGGTCATCGGTTTCCTACCAGTATCGGTAACCGTGACCGGTCCAATCCGAACCGCCTGTTCAGCTTAGTATTTACGACGTAGTTCTTACGGTAATTACCATAGTTGATTAGACGCGTAGGATGATGAGACGCTTCACATGATTTATATGTGCATCACATATAAATCATGTAGTAAGTAGTAAGCCCCGACAATCAATCACTTTCGAATTCTCCTTCTGCCGAGCAAGTCTTCTCTGCTCCGCTCCTCAAGCCTCTTCGCTCCCTCCGGTCTCTTCCGGTCTTCTCGTCACTCCCGTGTCATACCTTCAACTGTTTATGAGCCCAAGCGCAATGTCTTCTGCCGGCCACGCATCCTCCAACGTCCTCATCGATAAGTTCGATGGGGACAACTATTTGACCTGGAGTCGATACACGCGTGGCGTGTTTTTGACAAAGTCAGTGTGGCATGCTGTCAACCGTGAGAGCTCCCCGACGTTCGTGGACCCTCGAGCGCAGGACGACTACGTCAAGGCCAACAACATCGCGTATGGAACGATGTTGCTGCACATGGGTGCGGACTACCACCATGTGGTCGACAACTGCGAGGAAGCGTGGGTTGCATGAAGAAGCCTGAAGGTGCTGTACGGTGGATCCCAGAAAGCGGGAAGGATCCACCTCAAGCGTCAACTCTTCAGCATGAAGATGGATGAAGGCGCCAACGTCATGCATCACTGCAACGAGGTCCTGAACACCGCTGCCAAGCTTAGCAGCATCGGTGCGAAGATGGAGGACGAGGACGTCGCAATTTGCCTGCTGCTCAGCCTCCCTAAGAGTTTTGAGAACGTTGTTCTAAACTTGGAGATGAGCAGCGCAGAGCTTCGTACCCAAGATGTGGTGAAGGTGCTCACGAATGAGCACACCAAGCGCCAAGGGGAGAAGGTGACAACAACAGCGACGATGGTCAAGACTGAAGATGCAGCCAAGGCCTTCAACACTGAGCGCGAGCCATACAAGTGCACCTACTGTGGGAAGGTGGGACACACCGTCGATCGCTGTTGGTCCAAGCAGAAGAATGAAAGTCGAGGAGCCCGACGCTGCGGCAATGGTCGTGGACGTGGGGCAAACAATGTCCAGTGGGGACAATATCGTGATGAAGGCAGCGACTACGATCAAGTAGCGTTTGCAGTTTCGCTAGAGTGTGGAATCTCAGCGAAGAAGGACGTGTCCGGAATGTGGGCCGTCGTCAGTGGTGCAACACACCACTTATGCCACGACAAGACCAAGTTTGCAAGACTGAACAAGCGCAACGACGGTGAAATCTTGGTGGCTGATGGCAACAACTTCCGCTATCTACAAGGCACCAAGATGCACAGAATCTGCTACAAGCCTAATGCGAAGTCGACTTTCGTGGCTACTCGGATGCAGACCGGGCCGGTGACCTCGCTGATCGCAAGTCGACGTCTGGTTACATATTCACGCTGTTGGGTACGCCAGTGAGTTGGGGCAGCAAGAAACAGCCAAGTGTTTCGTTGTCCACGAGTGAAGCCAAATACATTGCACTCAGCTTGGCGATTCAAGAGGGCAAGTAATTTCATCGTCTGCTTTGTAAGATCACGATGGCTGCCAATGAAGAAGGACCGGAACTCATGATCCATGAAGACAATCAGTCGTGTCTCAAGATTTTGAAGAACCCGGTCAACGACGGCCGTGCTAAGCACATTGACATAAAGTATCATCACATCCATGATGAGGTCAAGCGCGGTGAAGTGAAGCTCAAGTACTGTGAAACTGCGGTGATGTAAGCGGACATATTGTGGGTTGACGGTTGAGGTACTGTTATCAGCTACCATGGGAACCGTAAACCTGTCCAAGTCGATCCCGCGTAATTAAGGTGAGATTTTACCAATGATTAGACGCATAGGATGATTGGATGACCTACATGATGTATGATTTATATGTGGACAACATACAAATCCGTGCAGAGACAAATCACGTAGCTTTGAACCCACAAATAAACTCACTTCCAAATATTCCTTCTCCTACACAAGTCGTCTTCTCTTCGCAGTGTAGACTTCTTTCAAGCTCTTCAAGCTTCGTTCTCTCGCCCAGTGCTCGATAAATCGTAACAGGTTATGATCCCAAGCACGATGTTCTCTGCTCAAGATTCCGCCACCAAGATCTCTATCAATAAATTCGATGGAGACAACTACGCGACTTGGAGCCGCTACATGCGTGGCGTGTTCCTGACCAAGTCGACGTGGCATGTGGTCAACCGGTAGACCACCCCCCACCTTCGCCGATCCTCGCGCCAGTGATGAGTACGTCAAGACCGACATCATTGCGTTCGGCTTGATGTTACTTCACATGAGCGCGGACTATCATCACGTGGTTGATGACTGTGTCGAGGCATGGGTTGCGTGGACACAGTTGAAGACTCTCTACGGCGGATCGCAGAAGACGGGTCGGATCTTCTTGAAGCGAAAGCTGTTCAGCATGGAGATGGTGGAAGGCGGCAATGTAATGCATCATTGCAATGAAGTTCTCAACATCATCGCCAAGCTCAGCAGCATCGGCGCCGAGATGGAGGACGAGGACGTGGCGATCTGCTTGTTGTGCAGCCTCCCCAAGAGCTACGAGAACGTCGTGCTGAACTTGGAGATGAGCAGCGCGGAACTGCGGACGCAAGACGTCGTGAAAGTGCTGACGAATGAGCACATCAAGAGACACGGGAAAAAGACGACATCGGTGAAAACTGAAGAAGCGACCAAGGCCTTCAGTACCGAGCGTGAGGTTTGTCAGTGTACGTTCTGCGGAAAATTGGGGCACACAGTGGAGAAGTGCTGGACCAAGCAGAAGGAAGACAATCAAGGAGCTCGACGCGGCGGCAATACCCGTGGACGCGGAGCGAATCAAGTTCAGTGGCAAGGCTACAACGGCAACAGCAACTATGACTATGATCGAGTGGCGTTTGCTGTTTCGGTGGAATGCGGACTTTCAACGACCAAGAGCATGTCTGGAATGTGGGCGATTGACAGCGGTGCAACACATCACATCTGCTATGACAAGTCCAAGTTCGAATTTCTGGACGAGCGCAATGAAGATGAAGTGTTGTTTGCATATGGGAACAAGGCTGCGATCAACGGTGTCGGGACAATCGTCGAAAAGGTGATCCTTTCCAACGGTGAAGAGCGCGAAGTCGAGATCAAGAACGCGCTTTACGTCCCAAGCATGAACAAGAACTTGCTTTCGATACCACAAATCAACAAAAGCGGCAAGTTTCAAGTGGTATTTGATGGTGACGAGATGAAGATTTCGCACAAAGGCTCCAAGCAAGTAATGGCGATGGCCAATCTTGTGGATGGCCTCTACTGGCTTTGTACATCCCAACAATCCGTGAATGCGGCTTCAGGACCAAGAGTCGAAAACCTTCATGCGCGTATAGGCCACGCACCGGTTAATGTCTTGTGCAGAATGGTCTCCAAGGGCATGATCAAGGATGCCAAGAAGCCAACAAAATTGAGCGGATCAAGCGTGTCTCAAGGTTGTCTAGAAGGAAAAATGGTTCAACGACCGTTCCCAAGCAATCCAAACAAGCGCCACTACGATCCGTTTGAGCTTCTGCACATCGGCACTTGTGGTCCAATGGAAGTCGACTCGCTAGGTGGAAGCAAGTAATTGCTACTGATCGTCGATGAAGGCAGCGGATGTATGAAGGGTTTCAGTCTGCGCGCCAAGTCCGACAGCGAAGAGTGCATCAAGAAGTACATCATGGCAGTACAGACGCAGTTTGACTACAAGGTCAAGTTCGTTCGACACGATGGTGCACGAGAATTTGCGGCAAATTCGCTCAAGACATTTTACGATGATCAAGGAATCGAGCAGCAAGTTACCGTTCCATATGTGCATCAGACCAACGTCACGGCGGAACGGGCAATTCGGACCATTGTGACAATCGGGCGCAGCATGCTTCACTACGCCAAGCTGGACAAGTGTTTTTGGTCTGAAGCAGCAATGACGGCAATCTACATCAAGAATCGCCTACCATCGCCCAAGTGCCAAGATCAAACCCCGTTCGAGATCGTCAACGGATTTCGACCAAGTGTGAAGCACATGCGGGTTTTCGGCTGCCGAACGTTTGTGCTGACCCCTAAGGAAAAGAAATCGAAATGGGATCCGAAGGCTCGTGAAGGACTATTCATGGGTTACGAAGAAGTGTCAAAGGCATATCGCGTTTACGACATTGAAGCGGACCAAGTGGTGATATCTCGCGATGTCACATTCGACGAATCAACGTTTGGTTTCTCGCCGACGCTACCACAAGAAATTGTTGATGACACTGCGCTGGATATCGAATCGATGAACATCAGCAATGAGCCTCACCTATGCAATTCAAGCAAACTGGAAAACGCAAAAGCCGTTCAAACAGTCAAGAACAAGTTCTACAACGGACACTTCCTGAGCGTCGTGGAACCGGGTTAGAAGAAGCAAGTGCCCCGGATGACTTTGAATCGCACCAAGCGAAGCGACGATCAAGCGCTCGAGACAATCTGGACGAAGAGCGAAAGGGCAGTGACGAAGATAACGAGGATGCTACACCTCAAGTCTTTTGGCGAGCGAGTGCCAATGCAGTCGAAGGTACTGACTTGTCTGAGCCGACAACGTTTAAAGATGCTGTTGGTGGACCAGATCAAGTGCATTGGTGTAAAGCAATCTGTACCGAGTTGGACTCGATGAAACTTCATGGCGTGTTTCGAGCGACCAAACTGCCATCTGGACAGCATACCATTGGCACCAAGTGGGTATTCAAGATCAAACGCAAGGCTGATGGATCCATCGAAAAATACAAGGCGCGTCTCGTGGAAAAAGGGTTCAAGCAGAAATATGGCATCGACTACACGGAAAAGTTTTCGCCGGTAGTCAAGTACGTGACGCTGCGCATGGTGGTTGCAATCACGAAGTACTTCTACTGGACACTGGACCAACTGGACGTGGTGACAGCTTTCCTATACGGAGAAATGAAGGAAAAGGTATTCTGCGCGATCCCAGAAGGAGTCGAAGTTGATGAAGACTTTGACTGGTTTGAGCTGGTCAAGGCGATCTAAGGACTAAAACAAGCATCGCGCGTATGGAACGAGACTTTTCATAAATTCGTCTGCTCCATTGGATTACAAGTCTCCGATTTTGACCCGTGTCTTTATCTCAAGATTACAAGTGGCGAGTGCGTGCTTTTGCTGGTATACGTCGATGATGTGTTGGTGAATGGCAGCTCGACCGAACTGATTATGCGCACCAAGAGTGTCTTAAAGGTGCGTTTTGAAATGACCGACAGCGGCAAGTGCGCATTCGTGTTGGGCATCGAGCTGGTGGACAACGACAACGGTAGCGTGACGATGTGCCAGCGACTCTACGTGAAATATGTCCTCAAACGTTTTGGCATGAGCGACTGCAAAGCCGTCACCAGCCCAACAGACATCGGTTCTCGACTCATACCTAGCACCGCAGCAACCAAAATCGACGCCTCGTTTCGTGAAGCAGTAGGCGCTTTGATGCACTTGATGACCGCGACACGACCGGACATTGCCTTTGCTGTGAGTTACGTTTCGCGCTTCATGGAAAACCCCCAAGTCGAGCATTGGATGGCGGTCAAGCGCATTTTGCGATACTTACAAGGGACTAAGTCGCACGGTATCTGTTTCAAGTCTGATGACAAGATAGACTTCTGCGGCTACTCGGATGCAGACTGGGCCGGCGACCATGCAGACCGCAAGTCGACTTCGGGATATGCGTTCATCCTGATGGGTGCTCCGGTGAGCTGGGGAAGCAAAAAGCAGTCAAGTGTGTCGCTGTCAACAAGTGAAGCTGAGTACATTGCACTAAGTCTGGCGATTCAAGAAGGCAAGTGGATGCATCGATTGCTGTGCGAGATTCTGGATGCCGCAGAGGACAAGTCTGGACCCGAGCTCAAGATCATGGAAGATAACCAATCGTGCATCAAGATGACGAAGAATCCTGTGAACCATGGTCGGGCCAAGCACATCGACATCAAGTACCATCACATTCGTGATGTAGTCAAGCGTGGTGATGTCAAGTTGGAGTACTGGGAGACTACGACTATGTTGGCGGACATCATGACGAAGGGACTTCCAGGACCGCGTCACAAGGACTTGACGGTAGCGCTCGGCATACACGCGTGTTCGCATTGAGGGGGCGTATTGTGGGTTGACGGTTGAGGTACTGTTATCAGCTACCATGATACCAGTACCTCAACCGTAAACCTGTCCAAGTCGATCCCGCGTAATTACGGTGAGTTTTTACCAATGATTAGACGCATAGGATGATTGGATGACCTACATGATGTATGATTTATATGTGGACAACATACAAATCCGTGCAGAGATAAATCACGTAGCTTTAAACACACAAATAAACTCACTTCCAAATATTCCTTCTCCTACACAAGTCGTCTTCACTTCGCAGTTTAGACTTCTTTCACGCTCTTCAAGCTTCGTTCTCTCGCCCAGTGCTCGATAAATCGTTAAAGACATCATGACCAAGGGACTGCCAGGACCTCGTCACAAGGACTTGACGGCAGCGCTCGGAATACACGCGTGTTCGCATTGAGGGGGCGTATTGTGGGTTGACGGTTGAGGTACTGTTATCAGCTACCATGGGAACCGTAAACCTGTCCAAGTCGATCCCGCGTAATTAAGGTGAGATTTTACGAATGATTAGACGCATAGGATGATTGGATGACCTACATGATGTATGATTTATATGTGGACAACACATAAATCGGTGCAGAGATAAATCACGTAGCTTTAACAAAAAACCCACAGAAAAATTCACTTCCAAATATTCCTTCTCCTACACAAGTCGTCTTCTCTTCGCAGTGTAGACTTCTTTCAAGCTCTTCAAGCTTCGTTCTCTCGCCCAGTGCTCGATAAATCGTAACAGGTTATGAGCCCAAGTACGATGTTCTCTGCTCAAGATTCCGCCACCAAGATCTCTATCAATAAATTCGATGGAGACAACTACGCGACTTGGAGCCGCTACATGCGTGGCGTGTTCCTGACCAAGTCGACGTGGCATGTGGTCAACCGGTAGACCACCCCCCACCTGCGCCGGTCCTCGCGCCAGTGATGAGTACGTCAAGACCGACATCATTGCGTTCGGCTTGATGTTACTTCACACGAGCGCGGACTATCATCACGTGGTTGATGACTGCGACGAGGCATGGGTTGCGTGGACACAGCTGAAGACTCTCTACGGCGGATCGCAGAAGGCGGGACAGATCTTCTTGAAGCGAAAGCTGTTCAGCATGGAGATGGCGGAAGGCGGCAATGTAATGCATCATTGCAATGAAGTTCTCAACATCAGCGCCAAGCTCAGCAGCATCGGCGCCGAGATGGAGGACGAGGACGTGGCGATCTGCTTGTTGTGCAGCCTCCCCAAGAGCTACGAGAACGTCGTGCTGAACTTGGAGATGAGCAGCGCGGAACTGCGATCGCGAGACGTCGTGAAAGTGCTGACGAATGAGCACATCAAGAGACACGGGAAAAAGACGACATCGGTGAAAACTGAAGAAGCGACCAAGGCCTTCAGTACCGAGCGTGAGGTTCGTCAGTGTACGTTCTGCGGAAAATTGGGGCACACAGTGGAGAAGTGCTGGACCAAGCAGAAGGAAGACAATCAAGGAGCTCGACGCGGCGGCAATACCCGTGGACGCGGAGCGAATCAAGTTCAGTGGCAAGGCTACAACGGCAACAGCAACTATGACTATGATCGAGTGGCGTTTGCTGTTTCGCTGGAATGCGGACTTTCAACGACCAAGAGCATGTCTGGAATGTGGGCGATTGACAGCGGTGCAACACATCACATCTGCTATGACAAGTCCAAGATCGAATTTCTGGACGAGCGCAATGAAGATGAAGTGTTGTTTGCATATGGGAACAAGGCTGCGATCAACGGTGTCGGGACAATCGTCGAAAAGGTGATCCTTTCCAACGGTGAAGAGCGCGAAGTCGAGATCAAGAACGCGCTTTACGTCCCAAGCATGAACAAGAACTTGCTTTCGATACCACAAATCAACAAAAGCGGCAAGTTTCAAGTGGTATTTGATGGTGACGAGATGAAGATTTCGCACAAAGGCTCCAAGCAAGTAATGGCGATGGCCAATCTTGTGGATGGCCTCTACTGGCTTCGTACATCCCAACAATCCGTGAATGCGGCTTCAGGACCAAGAGTCGAAAACCTTCATGCGCGTATAGGCCACGCACCGGTTAATGTCTTGTGCAGAATGGTCTCCAAGGGCATGATCAAGGATGCCAAGAAGCCAACAAAATTGAGCGGATCAAGCGTGTCTCAAGGTTGTCTAGAAGGAAAAATGGTTCAACGACCGTTCCCAAGCAATCCAAACAAGCGCCACTACGATCCGTTTGAGCTTCTGCACATCGGCACTTGTGGTCCAATGGAAGTCGACTCGCTAGGTGGAAGCAAGTAATTGCTACTGATCGTCGATGAAGGCAGCGGATGTATGAAGGGTTTCAGTCTGCGCGCCAAGTCCGACAGCGAAGAGTGCATCAAGAAGTACATCATGGCAGTACAGACGCAGTTTGACTACAAGGTCAAGTTCGTTCGACACGATGGTGCACGAGAATTTGCGGCAAATTCGCTCAAGACATTTTACGATGATCAAGGAATCGAGCAGCAAGTTACCGTTCCATATGTGCATCAGACCAACGTCACGGCGGAACGGGCAATTCGGACCATTGTGACAATCGGGCGCAGCATGCTTCACTACGCCAAGCTGGACAAGTGTTTTTGGTCTGAAGCAGCAATGACGGCAATCTACATCAAGAATCGCCTACCATCGCCCAAGTGCCAAGATCAAACCCCGTTCGAGATCGTCAACGGATTTCGACCAAGTGTGAAGCACATGCGGGTTTTCGGCTGCCGAACGTTTGTGCTGACCCCTAAGGAAAAGAAATCGAAATGGGATCCGAAGGCTCGTGAAGGACTATTCATGGGTTACGAAGAAGTGTCAAAGGCATATCGCGTTTACGACATTGAAGCGGACCAAGTGGTGATATCTCGCGATGTCACATTCGACGAATCAACGTTTGGTTTCTCGCCGACGCTACCACAAGAAATTGTTGATGACACTGCGCTGGATATCGAATCGATGAACATCAGCAATGAGCCTCACCTATGCAATTCAAGCAAACTGGAAAACGCAAAAGCCGTTCAAACAGTCAAGAACAAGTTCTACAACGGACACTTCCTGAGCGTCGTGGAACCGGGTTAGAAGAAGCAAGTGCCCCGGATGACTTTGAATCGCACCAAGCGAAGCGACGATCAAGCGCTCGAGACAATCTGGACGAAGAGCGAAAGGGCAGTGACGAAGATAACGAGGATGCTACACCTCAAGTCTTTTGGCGAGCGAGTGCCAATGCAGTCGAAGGTACTGACTTGTCTGAGCCGACAACGTTTAAAGATGCTGTTGGTGGACCAGATCAAGTGCATTGGTGTAAAGCAATCTGTACCGAGTTGGACTCGATGAAACTTCATGGCGTGTTTCGAGCGACCAAACTGCCATCTGGACAGCATACCATTGGCACCAAGTGGGTATTCAAGATCAAACGCAAGGCTGATGGATCCATCGAGAAATACAAGGCGCGTCTCGTGGAAAAAGGGTTCAAGCAGAAATATGGCATCGACTACACGGAAAAGTTTTCGCCGGTAGTCAAGTACGTGACGCTGCGCATGGTGGTTGCAATCACGAAGTACTTCTACTGGACACTGGACCAACTGGACGTGGTGACAGCTTTCCTATACGGAGAAATGAAGGAAAAGGTATTCTGCGCGATCCCAGAAGGAGTCGAAGTTGATGAAGACTTTGACTGGTTTGAGCTGGTCAAGGCGATCTAAGGACTAAAACAAGCATCGCGCGTATGGAACGAGACTTTTCATAAATTCGTCTGCTCCATTGGATTACAAGTCTCCGATTTTGACCCGTGTCTTTATCTCAAGATTACAAGTGGCGAGTGCGTGCTTTTGCTGGTATACGTCGATGATGTGTTGGTGAATGGCAGCTCGACCGAACTGATTATGCGCACCAAGAGTGTCTTAAAGGTGCGTTTTGAAATGACCGACAGCGGCAAGTGCGCATTCGTGTTGGGCATCGAGCTGGTGGACAACGACAACGGTAGCGTGACGATGTGCCAGCGACTCTACGTGAAATATGTCCTCAAACGTTTTGGCATGAGCGACTGCAAAGCCGTCACCAGCCCAACAGACATCGGTTCTCGACTCATACCTAGCACCGCAGCAACCAAAATCGACGCCTCGTTTCGTGAAGCAGTAGGCGCTTTGATGCACTTGATGACCGCGACACGACCGGACATTGCCTTTGCTGTGAGTTACGTTTCGCGCTTCATGGAAAACCCCCAAGTCGAGCATTGGATGGCGGTCAAGCGCATTTTGCGATACTTACAAGGGACTAAGTCGCACGGTATCTGTTTCAAGTCTGATGACAAGATAGACTTCTGCGGCTACTCGGATGCAGACTGGGCCGGCGACCATGCAGACCGCAAGTCGACTTCGGATATGCGTTCATCCTGATGGGTGCTCCGGTGAGCTGGGGAAGCAAAAAGCAGTCAAGTGTGTCGCTGTCAACAAGTGAAGCTGAGTGCATTGCACTAAGTCTGGCGATTCAAGAAGGCAAGTGGGTGCATCGATTGCTGTGCGAGATTCTGGATGCCGCAGAGGACAAGTCTGGACCCGAGCTCAAGATCATGGAAGATAACCAATCGTGCATCAAGATGACGAAGAATCCTGTGAACCATAGTCGGGCCAAGCACATCGACATCAAGTACCATCACATTCGTGATGAAGTCAAGCGTGGTGATGTCAAGTTGGAGTACTGGGAGACTACGACTATGTTGGCGGACATCATGACGAAGGGACTTCCAGGACCTCGTCACAAGGACTTGACGGTAGCGCTCGGCATACACGCGTGTTCGCATTGAGGGGGCGTATTGTGGGTTGACGGTTGAGGTACTGTTATCAGCTACCATGATACCAGTACCTCAACCGTAAACCTGTCCAAGTCGATCCCGCGTAATTACGGTGAGATTTTACGAATGATTAGACGCATAGGATGATTGGATGACCTACATGATGTATGATTTATATGTGGACAACACATAAATCGGTGCAGAGATAAATCACGTAGCTTTAACAAAAAACCCACAGAAAAATTCACTTCCAAATATTCCTTCTCCTACACAAGTCGTCTTCTCTTCGCAGTGTAGACTTCTTTCAAGCTCTTCAAGCTTCGTTCTCTCGCCCAGTGCTCGATAAATCGTAACAGGTTATGAGCCCAAGCACGATGTTCTCTGCTCAAGATTCCGCCACCAAGATCTCTATCGATAAATTCGATGGAGACAACTACGCGACTTGGAGCCGCTACATGCGTGGCGTGTTCCTGACCAAGTCGACGTGGCATGTGGTCAACCGGTAGACCACCCCCCACCTTCGCCGGTCCTCGCGCCAGTGATGAGTACGTCAAGACCGACATCATTGCGTTCGGCTTGATGTTACTTCACACGAGCGCGGACTATCATCACGTGGTTGATGACTGCGACGAGGCATGGGTTGCGTGGACACAGCTGAAGACTCTCTACGGCGCATCGCAGAAGGCGGGACAGATCTTCTTGAAGCGAAAGCTGTTCAGCATGGAGATGGCGGAGGGCGGCAATGTAATGCATCATTGCAATGAAGTTCTCAACATCAGCGCCAAGCTCAGCAGCATCGGCGCCGAGATGGAGGACGAGGACGTGGCGATCTGCTTGTTGTGCAGCCTCCCCAAGAGCTACGAGAAAGTCGTGCTGAACTTGGAGATGAGCAGCGCGGAACTGCGATCGCGAGACGTCGTGAGAGTGCTCACGAATGAGCACATCAAGAGGCAAGGTGACAAGACGAAATCGGTGAAGACTAAAGACGCGGCAGAGGCCTTCAGTACCGAGCGTGAACCTCGCCAGTGTACATACTGCAGAAAATTGGGGCACACGGCGGAGCGGTGCTGGACCAAGCAGAAGGACGAAAATCAAGGTGGAGCTCGACGCGGCGGCAACAATGCTCGTGGACGCGGAGCCAACAACGTGTAGTGGCGAACCAACAGCAACTACGACGACAACTACGATCGAGTTGCGTTCGCGGTTTCGCTGGAGGCTGGACTTTTGACGGGCAAGAATATGCCAGGGATGTGGGCAGTCGACAGCGGTGCGATGCATCACATCTGCAACGACAAGGCCAAGTTTTCAAGCCTGAATGAGCGAGATAAAGGCAAACTATCAGTGGCTGATGGCAGCCAGGCTGCGATCAAGGGTGTGGGAACCATCATGGAACGGGTGGTTCTGCCCAATGGTGACGAACGCGACATAGAGATCAAGGAAGCACTGTTCGTACCAAGTATGAGCAAGAATCTGCTTTCGGTGCCACAGATCAACAAGGGTGACAGGTTCCAAGTCGTGTTCGATGGGTCCAAGATGCAAGTGAAGCGCAAGAATTCCACACAAGTCGTGACAACAGCGGATCTCGTCGATGGACTTTACTGGCTGCGGAAGCCTCAACGATCGGCAAATGCAGCAACACGAATGGGACTATCGACTTGCATGCGTGCATGGGTCATGCACCCCTCGAAGTTCTGCGCAAGATGGTGGCCACCGGCATGATCAAGGAAGCCAAGGCACCTCTCAACTCGACTGGTCCAAGTGTGTGTCGCAGTTGCCAGCAAGGAAAGATGATCCAAAAACCATTCCCAACCAACCGTGACAAACGCCAATATGGTGTGTTCGAGTTGCTGCACTTCGACATCTGCGGGCCAATGGAACAAGTCTCGATCGGCGGCAGCAGATACTTACTGCTTGTGGTTGACGAAGCCAGCGGTTGCACGAAGGGCTTCTGTCTGCGGTCCAAGTCTGAGAGTGAAGACTGTATCGAGAACCACATTATCAAGATTCAGACTCAGTTCGGCACGAAGATCAAGTTTGTTCGGCACGATGGAGCGCATGAGTTTGCGACCAACTCCATCAAGACCTTCTACGAAGATCATGGTATCGAACAACAGGTCACGGTGCCGTATGCACACCAGACCAACGGCACCGCAGAACGCGCGATAAAGACCATCGTCACGATCGGACGCAGCTTGTTGCATCACGCAAATATGGAGAAGCGTTTCTGGGCTGAAGCGGCAATAACGGCGATCTACATCAAGAACCGCCTGCCTTCACCCAAGATCGACCACAAGACTCCGTTCGAGATCGTGTACAAGTCGAAACCAAGTGTCAAGCACATGCGCGTGTTTGGATGTCGGGCGTTTATCCTGACACCAAGGGAGAAGCGATTGAAGTGGGACCCGAAGGCTCGTGAAGGGATATTCATGGGCTACGAAGAAGCGTCAAAAGCTTATCGAGTGTACGACATTGAGGCGGGTCAAGTGGTGATCAGTCGTGACATCATCTTCGACGGATCGACTTTTGACTTTTCGATGGACCGACCAAGTGACGATGATGAAAATGCGGAGGTGGACCTCGACCTCCTGGCGATCAACGAGGACGACGTGCGTCAAACCGTCTACAAGCAGACTGGCAAGCGCAAGAGTGAAGCAATACCCGGCATGTCACGTTCAGCTCGCCCTCGAACTGGGTTGGAACAAGCAAGTGCGCCGGAACACGTCTCCAACCGTCACCAGAAACGACGATCAAGTGCTCCAGAAACGATGTCTGATGACGATGAAGATGCGAGCGTCTACGATCAAGATGACGACTCGACGCCTCCAACATTTTGGCGTGCAAGTGCAAACGCAGTGGAAGCAACGGACCTAGCAGAACCTGTGACTTTTCAAGACGCGATCAATGGTACTGATCAAGCTCACTGGCGAAATGCTGTGAAGGCGGAACTCAAGTCGATGCATCTTCGTGGAGTTTTCCGTGCGGCAAAACTGCCAAGAGGCCAAGGCGCGATCGGCACCAAGTGGGTGTTCAAGATCAAGCGCAAGGCGGATGGATTGATCGAGAAGTTCAAGGCGCGTCTTGTTGCAAAAGGATTCAAGCAGAAATACGGCATCGACTATACGGAAACGTTCTCGCCGGTGGTGAAGTATGTGACACTGCGTATGGTGATCGCGATCACCAAGTCTTTCGACTGGCCACTGGACCAACTCGATGTGGTGACAGTCTTTCTCTACGGAGTGATGAAGGAGAAGGTGTACTGCATGATACCAGAAGGCGTCGAAATGGATGGTGACTTTGACTGTTTGGAGTTGGTGGAGGCGATCTACTGTCTCAAGCAAGCTTCACGTGTGTGGAACGAGACTTTCGATGAGTTCGTATGCTTTATCGGTTTCGAAGTGTCGGCGTTCGACCCATGTCTCTATATCAAGGTTGTCGACGGTCACTGTGTGCTCGTGCTGGTCTACGTGGATGACGTGTTGGTCACCGGCAGCTCGCTCGAGTTGATTGCGCAGACGAAGGCCGACCTCAAGACGCGTTTTGAGATGACCGACAGTGGCAAGTGTACTTTTGTACTGGGCATCTAACTGGTGGAGGAATCGGATGGCAGCGTGACGATGTGCCAGCGACGGTATGTCAACGACATCCTCAAGCGCTTCGGCATGGATGAGTGCAAGGCCGCAGCAAGTCCGGTCGACTTGAGCACTCGGCTTGTCGCAAGCAGCGAAGCGGCCAAGATCGACGTTCCGTGTCGTAAAGCTGTGGGAGCTTTGATGCACTTGACGACTGCGACGCGCCCGGACATTGCGTATGCTGTGGGGTACGTCTCGCTTCATGGAGAATCCGCAGCAAGAACATTGGACGGCGGTGAAGCGCATCTTTCGTTACTTGCAAGGGACCAAGTCGCACGGACTCCGCTTCCAGCCAAGCGACAAGATCGACTTTCGTGGCTACTCGGACACGGACTGGGCCGGCGACCACGCTGATCGCAAGTCGACTTCGGGTTACACTTTCATGCTGATGGGTGCTCCTGTGAGTTGGGGAAGCAAGAAGCAGTCAAGTGTGTCGCTGTCGACGAGTTAAGCGGAATACATCGCACTGAGTCTGGCCATCCAGGAAGGCAAGTGGGTGCATCGCCTGCTATGCGAGATTTTGGCGGCCGCAAACGAACCAGGACCGGACCTCGTCATCCGTGAAGACAACCAGTCGTGCATCAAGATGACGAAGAATCCGGTGAATCATGGCCGCTCCAAGCAAATCGACATCAAGTACCATCACATCCGTGATGAGGTCAAGCACGGTGAAGTGCAGCTCGAATATTGCGAGACTTCCGTGATGATGGCTGACATCACGACCAAAGGACTTTCTGGACCTCGCCACAAGGACTTGACGACGGCTCTCGTCATTCGTGCGAGTTCGCATTGAGGGGGCGTGTTGACGGTCATCGGTTTCCTACCAGTATTGGTAACCGTGACCGGTCCAATCCGAACCGCCTGTTCAGCTTAGTATTTACGACGTGGTTCTTACGGTAATTACCATAGTTGATTAGACGCGTAGAATGATGAGACGCTTCACATGATTTACATGTGCACCACATATAAATCATGTAGTAAGTAGTAAGCCCCGACAATCAATCACTTTCGAATTCTCCTTCTGCCGAGCAAGTCTTCTCTGCTCCGCTCCTCAAGCCTCTTCGCTCCCTCTGGTCTCTTCCGGTCTTCTCGTCACTCCCGTGTCATACCTTTAAAGAATTGCCCAGGCTTTTGGACAGGATCTCGATTGGCTTTACCACAAGAACATTTTAGAATTGATCTCGGCTTTTTCGCCGCTGAATGCCGCTTAACCTGGTCGCACTCAGTATTGATCTTTGATCTCAGACCGTTCCCGGTCTTCGATCCTATCTTTGCAGATTAATTTCTTTTCTGCGTGATCGCTTGAATTCAGTTTGCTTAGCTTTATAATTCAGTATATTTTTTTGATCGTCCGATCTTCCATCTCAGTCTTCATTTTGAAACAAGCTTTATCCTTCCGGCTTTTTAACCGCGATCGAAATTTAAAGATTTAGTGCTGCCACATATTGTACTTCTAACCTTGGTTCTTTCAGCTCATGCAACCTCGTTTTACATTTACTCATCCACCATCTTGTACAACTATTTTGTTACTACGCCCATCCACCATCTCGTACAACCTCTTTTTACATATTCTCATACACCATCTCGTACACACCTTCTTTTATACACCAACCACCACTCACTTCGATTATTCGTTGATCTTAGGCTTCCACTTCGTAAAAATGGCTTCAGCTCGAACCGGTATACACCGGCACGATTGCGCTTAATTTTCTGCAGGAACTCGACAAAATTTAAATCCGCTTCTTCGATCCACGTTGGATTGCTATGTAGCTTGCACTGCACCAAATACTGTTGATGTACTCAACCATAGCGATTCTTCTAAAAAAACATTTCACTTTATAACATCAATAGCCAACTCTTCTTCTCAACTATCTTTCGGCAAAAGCGACTCACCACCATCGACGCGGTCCTCACAGTTGATTACTAACGTATTACTGGGGAATTAGTAAAGTGCACCACCCGTTTTAATTTAAGAAATGTGAACTACTGGAAACAGTTGGTATGGAGTTCCTGCAATTTCCAAGCGTACTGCGTGCTCTTTTCACGATTCAGCCACTTAATAGACTGTAATTGCCACATGTGTGCTAACTTGCGAGCGCAGCCGTCTTTGGCTAATTCTAAATAAATCTAAGCTTCTACCCCGCACTTTATGCTACATGATTTCTGATGGCCAATATGCTAATCCACTTGATCTTGGATCGCGGTCTCAAGACGTTTGTTTACTGTCGCTTTTGCTCCTTAAATTTGGCGCTAGATGTTATATCGCCATCTTTGAGGGTCGACATCACGTGTTTTGGAGGTCCCTAATGGTATGGTTGCCTCCAACATCGATATTGAGTCCCAGTCATGATTCATATACCACAGGCTATTTCTACGGACGCGATATTATGCCCTGTTTATGGCGAACGTCAGAATTTCATCATACATATTTTGAATCTTATGATCTACATCCATGGTGTACATCTTAATTTTTTCAAACTAATGTCTGCGCCATGCATTTCTCGAGATCTTTTGTTTGAGGTCGGTAAATCATGGTCGCACGCTGCCTTTGCACTGCGATCCAATTAAACGCTCGAAAAATATGACATAAATCCAGGCTTCCGGACGTGACGTATCGCTTCACTCGCTCCATAAAATCGAAATGCACACGTATCTTATAGCCTTCAGCGGTTACTTTGGCGAACTACGACGAATTCGCTCTCGAGATCACGTAAAACAAAAAGGAATTCACCCAAAGCAGCAATCGGGTAATTCCTTTGAATGACCGTTGCAAAGAAGAAATGCTATCCATAAAAATCACCTGAATACGGTATGTAGCCTGCATTTTTCCCGAAGGTCTGCCGCGGATCACGGGTAAACAGTAACTAGTTGTGCAGTCCACGCATCGCTAACATAACGCTGGATACTCTAATAGATACCTATCAAATGGAAACAAGACCTGATCCACTGATACGTCCTATCTATCCCTTGTAAGCCACCTTTCAGGCTTGTATGGGAATGGTGCATAATTTCCTGTTGTATTAATCCTGATACAACCAGACGGGCCATATCTTTACGTTCGTCCGACTTTCTGGAAGACCGTAGTTAATAACGGCAATCCATTTTTATCGACCTCGTAGTCTGGAGCAATTTGGGCACATAATTTGCATTATCAGTGTTAATTTGACCTAGATCGCCTAAATGGCATTCCTTAAAATTGGTGATACAGCTTTCTCCTTCTTGAGCCTGCTTTATCCGCTCGATCCGCATGTGCTGCGCCAGTTTCGTGCAGAAATTTCGAGTTATCGACGCTTTCGCTGCGCAGAACATGTGATCGCTGCCCGTCTTCACTAAGCGGTCCCCTTTTTGGGCGTGAACGATCGCCCAGCCAGTAGAGTGATATCAGATCTTGTAACTCTCGATTTGACGTTACAATTCGTTGTTGTTTGAGCAGGAGGCGAGAGACGAAACGGAGCGGAATTGATGAAAAGATTGAGCGGAGAGACCGGTGCGAGCGTTTAACACACGTTCACTTGATAGAGATTTCGAAAGTGATTGTTTCATTTAAGCTTATTTCATAAACCTAGATTTGTATGTAAGTAAAATTAATCAGGCGCAACCACTAGGTCCCCTAAATTAAGATGTGGTCGCATATAAGTCATCGAGTTCTTTCAATCATTATATTCGTCGAATCACCTATAAGGTAACTACCGTCGTAATAACCATGCCGTGAGAGCTTGTCCTTGAAGTTCGCAGTGTAACGATGAGCTTTTATCACCCCATCAATTTGAACACGACTAGATGCCTAACGCCGTCGTTAAGTCCTGGTGACGCGAAACATTAAATCCCTTGTTCATGACGTCTGCCTAAATCAAAGTCGTTTCATAGTACTTAAGCTTGACCTCACCACGCTTGACTTCATCAAAAGTGTGATGGTTCTTGATAAAGATATGTTCGACGCATCTGTTGACGGTCATCGGTTTCCTACCAGTATTGGTAATCGTGACCGGTCCAATCCGAACCGCCTGTTCAGCTTAGTATTTACGACGTAGTTCTTACGGTAATTACCATAGTTGATTAGACGCGTAGGATGATGAGACGCTTCACATGATTTACATGTGCACCACATATAAATCATGTAGTAAGTAGTAAGCCCCGACAATCAATCACTTTCGAATTCTCCTTCTGCCGAGCAATTCTTCTCTGCTCCGCTCCTCAAGCCTCTTCGCTCCCTCTGGTCTCTTCCGATCTTCTCGTCACTCCCGTGTCATACCTTCAACAGGTAATGAGCCCAAGCGCAATTTCTTCTGCCGGCCACGCATCCTCCAACGTCCTCATCGATAAGTTCGATGGGGACAACTATTTGACCTGGAGTCGATACACGCGTGGCGTGTTTTTGACAAAGTCAGTGTGGCATGCTGTCAACCGGGAGAGCTCCCCGACGTTCGTGGACCCTCGAGCGCAGGACGACTACGTCAAGGCCAACAACATACCGTTTGGAATGATGGTGCTGCATATGGGTGTGGACTACCACCATGTGGTCGACAACTGCGAGGAAGCGTGGGTTGCATGAAGAAGCCTGAAGGTGCTGTACGGTGGATCCCAGAAAGCGGGAAGGATCTACCTCAAGCGTCAACTCTTCAGCATGAAGATGGATGAAGGCGCCAACGTCATGCATCACTGCAACGAGGTCCTGAACACCGCTGCCAAGCTTAGCAGCATCGGTGCGAAGATGGAGGACGAGGACGTCGCAATTTGCCTGCTGCTCAGCCTCCCTAAGAGTTTTGAGAACGTTGTTCTAAACTTGGAGATGAGCAGCGCGGAGCTTCGTACCCAAGATGTGGTGAAGGTGCTCACGAATGAGCACACCAAGCGCCAAGGGGAGAAGACGACAACAACAGCGACGATGGTCAAGACTGAAGATGCAGCCAAGGCCTTCAACACTGAGCGCGAGCCATACAATTGCACCTACTGTGGGAAGGTGGGACACACCGTCGATCGCTGTTGTTCCAAGCAGAAGAATGAAAGTCGAGGAGCCCGACGCGGCGGCAATGGTCGTGGACGCGGGGCAAACAATGTCTAGTGGGGACAATATCGTGATGAAGGCAGCGACTACGATCAAGTATCGTTTGCATTTTCGCTAGAGTGTGGAATCTCAGCGAAGAAGGACGTGTCCGGAATGTGGGCCGTCGACAGTGGTGCAACACACCACATATGCCACGACAAGACCAAGTTTGCAAGACTGAACAAGCGCAACGACGGTGAAATCTTGGTGGCGGATGGCAACAAAGTGGCCATCAAGGGTGTTGGAACCATCTTTGAAAAGGTGGTTCTGCCCAACGGTGAAGAGCGTGAGATCGAAACCAAGAACGTGCTTTACGTACCAAGCATGAGCAAGAATCTACTTTCGGTACCGCAGATCAACAAGCACGGCAAGTTTCAAGTCGTGTTCGACGGGACCAAGATGTTTGTCGCTCGCAAAGGATCGCAACAAGTGGTGGCAACAGCATATCTTGTGGATGGCCTTTGCTGGCTTCACACAGCTCATCGATCGGCCAATGCGACAACAAACGGATGCAACGGTGTCGACTTACATGCGCGGATGGGACGCGCTCCAGCTGATGTGCTTCGCAAAATGGTGGCCACGAACATGATTAAGGATGTGAAGGTACCTCTCACGTCAAGTGGATCAAGCGCATGCCGAGGAAGTCAACAAGGGAAAATGGTCCAAAAACTATTTCCATGCAGCCAGGACAAGCGCAGATACGACACCTTCGAGCTACTTCACGTCTACATCTGCGGACCCATGGAGATGAACTCTCTGGGTGGCAGCAAGTTTCTACTGCTGATCGTTGACGAAGCCAGTGGATGCATGAAGGGCTTCTGTCTACGTGTGAAGTCGGAGAGTGAAAACTACATCACACGATACATCAAGATGGTGAAAGCGCAGCTTGGCAAGAAGGTCAAGCTCGTCCGACACGACGGAGCCCGCGAGTTCGCAACCAACTCGCTTCAAGAATTCTACGAAGATGAAGGCATTGAGCAGCAGACGACGGTGCCATATGCACACCAGACTAACGGCACGGCAGAGCGCGCCATTCGGACTATCGTCACAATTGGTCGCAGCATGCTCCACCATGCTAAGCTGGAAAAGTGATTCTGGGCCGAATCAGCACTGACGGCAATCTACGTCAGGAACCGTCTGCCGTCGCCTAAAGTTATGCACAAGACTCCGTTCGAGATCGTCCACAACTCCAAGCCAAGTGTCAAGCACATGCGGGTGTCGGTTGTCAGGTTTACATACTGATACCGAAGGAGAAGCGGCTCAAGTGGGACCCCAAGGCTCGCACTGGGATATTCCCGGGCTACGAAGAAGTATCCAAAGCGTACCGCGTCTATGACATCGAGGCGGGGCAGGTGGCCATCAGTCGCGATGTCAACTTTGACGAGTCTGCCTTTGGACTTTCGCCGCCAGCCACCGATGAAGACGCCGATGACCTTGACTTCGACTCCCTCGATCTGGATGATGAAGCGCCAGGTCAAGCGCAGTACAAGCAAACAGGCAAGCGCAAGAGTCGTCCCCATGATGAAGGAGTACCAACTCCACCCACGCGCACAGTGAGTCAACGGCCTGGACTAGAAGAATCAAGTGCGCCAGACAGTCACACGACCCACCAAGAAGAGGATGAAGAAACAAAGAATGCTGATGCATCGACTCCGCCTGTGTTTTGGCGTGCGAGTGCGAACGCCATCGAAGCAGCAGTAGACTTATCCGAGCCATCGACTTTTGAAGCTGCGGTGAGCGGTCCTGATCAAGTGCATTGGCGCGAAGCTATCCGTGCGGAACTTGAGTCGATGCGACTTCGTGAAGTATTCCGCGCAGCCAAGCTACCTAAAGGACATCGCGCCATTGGCACAAAGTGGGTCTTCAAGATCAAGAGCAAAGCGGACGGATCAATTGACAAGTACAAGGCGCGTCTTGTGGCAAGGTGTTTCAAGCAAACAATTTGGGATGGACTCCACGGAAACATTCTCGCCCGTTGTCAAGTACGTGACGCTGCGCGTGATGATTGCAGTCGCCAAGTAATTTGGATGGACCATCGACCAACTCGACGTGGTGACGGCATTCCTGTATGGTGTCATGAAGGAACAAGTGTTCTGCGTCATCCCTGAAGGCGTGGAATTGGAGGGCTCCTTCGATTGTCTGGAGTTGGTGAATGCAATCTACGGACTAAAACAAGCGTCGCGCGTATGGAACGAAACGTTTGACGAGTTCGTGTGTGCTATTGGATTTCAAGCGTCAGGCCTCGACCCGTGTCTCTACATAAGGATTGTGGAAGGGCAATTCGTGCTGCTGCTGGTGCATGTAAATGACGTGTTGATCACCGGTAGCTCATGCGAGCTAATTGCACGCACCAAGACCGACCTAAAGACACGATTCGAGATGACTGACAGCGGCAAGTGTGCATTTGTGCTTGGAATCGAGCTTTTGGACGGCGCAGATGTAAGTGTTGTCACACTATGTCAGCGTCGGTATGTAGATGACATACTCAAGCGCTTTGGCATGGATGATTACAAGGCCGTCGCAAGTCCAGTCGACATGAGCTCTCGACTTGTTTCAAGTGATGCAGCCACCAAAGTCGATGCTCCTTTTCGCGAAGCTATTGGTGCGTTGATGCACCTGACCACTGCAACGCGCCCGGATATTGCGTTCGCCGTGGGCTATGTGTCGCAATTCATGGAGAATTCCCAAAAAGAACACTGGGTTGCGGTCAAGCGCATCTTCCGCTACCTACAAGGCACCAAGATGCACGGAATCTGCTACAAGCCAAATGCGAAGATCGACTTTCGTGGCTACTCGGATGCAGACCGGGCCGGTGACCTCGCTGATCGCAAGTCGACGTCTGGTTACGTATTCATGCTGTTGAGTGCGCCAGTGAGTTGGGGCAGCAAGAAACAGCCAAGTGTTTCGTTGTCCACGAGTGAAGCCGAATACACCGCACTCAGCTTGGCGGTTCAAGAGGGCAAGTGGATTCATCGTCTGATTTGTGAGATCATGATGGCTGACAATGAAGAAGGACCGGAACTCATGATCCATAAAGATAATCAATCGTGTATCAAGATGACAAAGAACCCGGTCAACCACGGCCGTGCTAAGCACATTGACATAAAGTATCATCACATCCGTGATGAGGTCAAGCGCGGTGAAGTGAAGCTCAAGTACTGTGAAACTGCGGTGATGTTAGCGGACATCATGACGAAGGGACTTCACGGGCCACGCCACAAGGAGATGACGGCGACTCTCGGGATTTGTGCGAGTTCGCATTGAGGGGGCGTGTTGACGGTCATCGGTTTCCTACCAGTATTGGTAACCGTGACCGGTCCAATCCGAACCGCCTGTTCAGCTTTGTATTTACGACGTAGTTCTTACGGTAATTACCATAGTTGATTAGACGCGTAGGATGATGAGACGCTTCACATGATTTATTTGTGCATCACATATAAATCATGTAGCAAGTAGTAAGCCCCGACAATCAATCACTTTCGAATTCTCCTTCTGCCGAGCAAGTCTTCTCTGCTCCGCTCCTCAAGCCTCTTCGCTCCCTCTGGTCTCTTCCGGTCTTCTCGTCACTCCCGTGTCATACCTTTAAAGAATTGCCCAGGCTTTTGGACAGGATCTCGATTGGCTTTACCACAAGAACATTTTAGAATTGATCTCGGCTTTTTCGCCGCTGAATGCCGCTTAACCTGGTCGCACTCAGTATTGATCTTTGATCTCAGACCGTTCCCGGTCTTCGATCCTATCTTTGCAGATTAATTTCTTTTCTGCGTGATCGCTTGAATTCAGTTTGCTTAGCTTTATAATTCAGTATATTTTTTTTTGATCGTCCGATCTTCCATCTCAGTCTTCATTTTGAAACAAGCTTTATCCTTCCGGCTTTTTAACCGCGATCGAAATTTAAAGATTTAGTGCTGCCACATATTGTACTTCTAACCTTGGTTCTTTCAGCTCATGCAACCTCGTTTTACATTTACTCATCCACCATCTTGTACAACTATTTTGTTACTACGCCCATCCATCATCTCGTACAACCTCTTTTTACATATTCTCATACACCATCTCGTACACACCTTCTTTTATACACCAACCACCACTCACTTCGATTATTCGTTGATCTTAGGCTTCCACTTCGTAAAAATGGCTTCAGCTCGAACCGGTATACACCGGCACGATTGCGCTTAATTTTCTGCAGGAACTCGACAAAATTTAAATCCGCTTCTTCGATCCACGTTGGATTGCTATGTAGCTTGCACTGCACCAAATACTGTTGATGTACTCAACCATAGCGATTCTTCTAAAAAAACATTTCACTTTATAACATCAATAGCCAACTCTTCTTCTCAACTATCTTTCGGCAAAAGCGACTCACCACCATCGACGCGGTCCTCACAGTTGATTACTAACGTATTACTGGGGAATTAGTAAAGTGCACCACCCGTTTTAATTTAAGAAATGTGAACTACTGGAAACAGTTGGTATGGAGTTCCTGCAATTTCCAAGCGTACTGCGTGCTCTTTTCACGATTCAGCCACTTAATAGACTGTAATTGCCACATGTGTGCTAACTTGCGAGCGCAGCCGTCTTTGGCTAATTCTAAATAAATCTAAGCTTCTACCCCGCACTTTATGCTACATGATTTCTGATGGCCAATATGCTAATCCACTTGATCTTGGATCGCGGTCTCAAGACGTTTGTTTACTGTCGCTTTTGCTCCTTAAATTTGGCGCTAGATGTTATATCGCCATCTTTGAGGGTCGACATCACGTGTTTTGGAGGTCCCTAATGGTATGGTTGCCTCCAACATCGATATTGAGTCCCAGTCATGATTCATATACCACAGGCTATTTCTACGGACGCGATATTATGCCCTGTTTATGGCGAACGTCAGAATTTCATCATACATATTTTGAATCTTATGATCTACATCCATGGTGTACATCTTAATTTTTTCAAACTAATGTCTGCGCCATGCATTTCTCGAGATCTTTTGTTTGAGGTCGGTAAATCATGGTCGCACGCTGCCTTTGCACTGCGATCCAATTAAACGCTCGAAAAATATGACATAAATCCAGGCTTCCGGACGTGACGTATCGCTTCACTCGCTCCATAAAATCGAAATGCACACGTATCTTATAGCCTTCAGCGGTTACTTTGGCGAACTACGACGAATTCGCTCTCGAGATCACGTAAAACAAAAAGGAATTCACCCAAAGCAGCAATCGGGTAATTCCTTTGAATGACCGTTGCAAAGAAGAAATGCTATCCATAAAAATCACCTGAATACGGTATGTAGCCTGCATTTTTCCCGAAGGTCTGCCGCGGATCGCGGGTAAACAGTAACTAGTTGTGCAGTCCACGCATCGCTAACATAACGCTGGATACTATAATAGATACCTATCAAATGGAAACAAGACCTGATCCACTGATACGTCCTATCTATCCCTTGTAAGCCACCTTTCAGGCTTGTATGGGAATGGTGCATAATTTCCTGTTGTATTAATCCTGATACAACCAGACGGGCCATATCTTTACGTTCGTCCGACTTTCTGGAAGACCGTAGTTAATAACGGCAATCCATTTTTATCGACCTCGTAGTCTGGAGCAATTTGGGCACATAATTTGCATTATCAGTGTTAATTTGACCTAGATCGCCTAAATGGCATTCCTTAAAATTGGTGATACAGCTTTCTCCTTCTTGAGCCTGCTTTATCCGCTCGATCCGCATGTGCTGCGCCAGTTTCGTGCAGAAATTTCGAGTTATCGACGCTTTCGCTGCGCAGAACATGTGATCGCTGCCCGTCTTCACTAAGCGGTCCCCTTTTTGGGCGTGAACGATCGCCCAGCCAGTAGAGTGATATCAGATCTTGTAACTCTCGATTTGACGTTACAATTCGTTGTTGTTTGAGCAGGAGGCGAGAGACGAAACGGAGCGGAATTGATGAAAAGATTGAGCGGAGAGACCGGTGCGAGCGTTTAACACACGTTCACTTGATAGAGATTTCGAAAGTGATTGTTTCATTTAAGCTTATTTCATAAACCTAGATTTGTATGTAAGTAAAATTAATCAGGCGCAACCACTAGGTCCCCTAAATTAAGATGTGGTCGCATATAAGTCATCGAGTTCTTTCAATCATTATATTCGTCGAATCACCTATAAGGTAACTACCGTCGTAATAACCATGCCGTGAGAGCTTGTCCTTGAAGTTCGCAGTGTAACGATGAGCTTTTATCACCCCATCAATTTGAACACGACTAGATGCCTAACGCCGTCGTTAAGTCCTGGTGACGCGAAACATTAAATCCCTTGTTCATGACGTCTGCCTAAATCAAAGTCGTTTCATAGTACTTAAGCTTGACCTCACCACGCTTGACTTCATCAAAAGTGTGATGGTTCTTGATAAAGATATGTTCGACGCATCTGTTGACGGTCATCGGTTTCCTACCAGTATTGGTAATCGTGACCGGTCCAATCCGAACCGCCTGTTCAGCTTAGCATTTACGACGTAGTTCTTACGGTAATTACCATAATCAATTAGACGCGTAGAATGATGAGACGCTTCACATGATTTACATGTGCACCACATATAAATCATGTAGTAAGTAGTAAGCCCCGACAATCAATCACTTTCGAATTCTCCTTCTGCCGAGCAATTCTTCTCTGCTCCGCTCCTCAAGCCTCTTCGCTCCCTCTGGTCTCTTCCGATCTTCTCGTCACTCCCGTGTCATACCTTCAACAGGTAATGAGCCCAAGCGCAATTTCTTCTGCCGGCCACGCATCCTCCAACGTCCTCATCGATAAGTTCGATGGGGACAACTATTTGACCTGGAGTCGATACATGCGTGGCGTGTTCCTGACAAAGTCAGTGTGACATGCTGTCAACCGGGAGAGCTCCCCGACGTTCGTGGACCCTCGAGCGCAGGACGACTACGTCAAGACCATCAACATCGCGTTTGGAATGATGGTGCTGCATATGGGTGTGGACTACCACCATGTGGTCGACAACTGCGAGGAAGCGTGGGTTGCATGAAGAAGCCTGAAGGTGCTGTACGGTGGATCCCAGAAAGCGGGAAGGATCTACCTCAAGCGTCAACTCTTCAGCATGAAGATGGATGAAGGCGCCAACGTCATGCATCACTGCAACGAGGTCCTGAACACCGCTGCCAAGCTTAGCAGCATCGGTGCGAAGATGGAGGACGAGGACGTCGCAATTTGCCTGCTGCTCAGCCTCCCTAAGAGTTTTGAGAACGTTGTTCTAAACTTGGAGATGAGCAGCGCGGAGCTTCGTACCCAAGATGTGGTGAAGGTGCTCACGAATGAGCACACCAAGCGCCAAGGGGAGAAGACGACAACAACAGCGACGATGGTCAAGACTGAAGATGCAGCCAAGGCCTTCAACACTGAGCGCGAGCCATACAATTGCACCTACTGTGGGAAGGTGGGACACACCGTCGATCGCTGTTGTTCCAAGCAGAAGAATGAAAGTCGAGGAGCCGACGCGGCGGCAATGGTCGTGGACGCGGGGCAAACAATGTCTAGTGGGGACAATATCGTGATGAAGGCAGCGAGTACGATCAAGTAGCGTTTGCAGTTTCGCTAGAGTGTGGACTCTCAGCGAAGAAGGACGTGTCCGGAATGTGGGCCGTCGACAGTGGTGCAACACACCACATATGCCACGACAAGACCAAGTTTGCAAGACTGAACAAGCGCAACGACGGTGAAATCTTGGTGGCGGATGGCAACAAAGTGGCCATCAAGGGTGTTGGAACCATCTTTGAAAGGTGGTTCTGCACAACGGTGAAGAGCGTGGGATCGAGATCAAGAACGTGCTTTACGTACCAAGCATGAGCAAGAATCTACTTTCGGTACCGCAGATCAACAAGCACGGCAAGTTTCAAGTCGTGTTCGACGGTACCAAGATGTTTGTCGCTCGCAAAGGATCGCAACAAGTGGTGGCAACAGCATATCTTGTGGATGGCCTTTGCTGGCTTCACACAGCTCATCGATCGGCCAATGCGACAACAAACGGATGCAACGGTGCCGACTTACATGCGCGGATGGGACACGCTTCAGCTGATGTGCTTCGCAAAATGGTGGCCACGAACATGATTAAGGATGTGAAGGTACCTCTCACGTCAAGTGGATCAAGCGCATGCCGAGGAAGTCAACAAGGGAAAATGGTCCAAAAACCATTCCCATGCAGCCAGGACAAGCGCAGATACGACACCTTCGAGCTACTTCACGTCTACATCTGCGGACCCATGGAGATGAAATCTCTGGGTGGCAGCAAGTTTCTACTGCTGATCGTTGACGAAGCCAGTGGATGCATGAAGGGCTTCTGTCTACGTGTGAAGTCGGAGAGTGAAAACTACATCACACGATACATCAAGATGGTGAAAGCGCAGCTTGGCAAGAAGGTCAAGCTCGTCCGACACGACGGAGCCCGCGAGTTCGCAACCAACTCGCTTCAAGAATTCTACGAAGATGAAGGCATTGAGCAGCAGACGACGGTGCCATATGCACACCAGACTAACGGCACGGCAGAGCGCGCCATTCGGACTATCGTCACAATTGGTCGCAGCATGCTCCACCATGCTAAGCTGGAAAAGTGATTCTGGGCCGAATCAGCACTGACGGCAATCTACGTCAGGAACCGTCTGCCGTCGCCTAAAGTTATGCACAAGACTCCGTTCGAGATCGTCCACAACTCCAAGCCAAGTGTCAAGCACATGCGGGTGTCGGTTGTCAGGTTTACATACTGATACCGAAGGAGAAGCGGCTCAAGTGGGACCCCAAGGCTCGCACTGGGATATTCCCGGGCTACGAAGAAGTATCCAAAGCGTACCGCGTTTATGACATCGAGGCGGGGCAGGTGGCCATCAGTCGCGATGTCAACTTTGACGAGTCTGCCTTTGGACTTTCGCCGCCAGCCACCGATGAAGACGCCGATGACCTTGACTTCGACTCCCTCGATCTGGATGATGAAGCGCCAGGTCAAGCGCAGTACAAGCAAACAGGCAAGCGCAAGAGTCGTCCCCATGATGAAGGAGTACCAACTCCACCCACGCGCACAGTGAGTCAACGGCCTGGACTAGAAGAATCAAGTGCGCCAGACAGTCACACGACCCACCAAGAAGAGGATGAAGAAACAAAGAATGCTGATGCATCGACTCCGCCTGTGTTTTGCGTGCGAGTGCGAACGCCATCGAAGCAGCAGTAGACTTATCCGAGCCATCGACTTTTGAAGCTGCGGTGAGCGGTCCTGATCAAGTGCATTGGCGCGAAGCTATCCGTGCGGAACTTGAGTCGATGCGACTTCGTGAAGTATTCCGCGCAGCCAAGCTACCTAAAGGACATCGCGCCATTGGCACAAAGTGGGTCTTCAAGATCAAGAGCAAAGCGGACGGATCAATTGACAAGTACAAGGCGCGTCTTGTGGCAAGGTGTTTCAAGCAAACAATTTGGGATGGACTACACGGAAACATTCTCGCCCGTTGTCAAGTACGTGACGCTGCGCGTGATGATTGCAGTCGCCAAGTAATTTGGATGGACCATCGACCAACTCGACGTGGTGACGGCATTCCTGTATGGTGTCATGAAGGAACAAGTGTTCTGCGTCATCCCTGAAGGCGTGGAATTGGAGGGCTCCTTCGATTGTCTGGAGTTGGTGAATGCAATCTACGGACTAAAACAAGCGTCGCGCGTATGGAACGAAACGTTTGACGAGTTCGTGTGTGCTATTGGATTTCAAGCGTCAGGCCTCGACCCGTGTCTCTACATAAGGATTGTGGAAGGGCAATTCGTGCTGCTGCTGGTGCATGTAAATGACGTGTTGATCACCGGTAGCTCATGCGAGCTAATTGCACGCACCAAGACCGACCTAAAGACACGATTCGAGATGACTGACAGCGGCAAGTGTGCATTTGTGCTTGGAATCGAGCTTTTGGACGGCGCAGATGGAAGTGTTACACTATGCCAGCGTCAATATGTCGATGATATCCTCAAGCGCTTTGGCATGGATGATTGCAAGGCCGTCGCAAGTCCAGTCGACATGAGCTCTCGACTTGTTTCAAGTGATGCAGCCACCAAAGTAGATGCTCCTTTTCGCGAAGCTATTGGTGCGTTGATGCACCTGACCACTGCAACGCGCCCGGATATTGCGTTCGCCGTGGGCTATGTGTCGCAATTCATGGAGAACCCCCAAAAAGAACACTGGGTTGCGGTCAAGCGCATCTTCCGCTACCTACAAGGCACCAAGATGCACGGAATCTGCTACAAGCCAAATGCGAAGATCGACTTTCGTGGCTACTCGGATGCAGACCGGGCCGGTGACCTCGCTGATCGCAAGTCGACGTCTGGTTACGTATTCATGGTGTTGAGTGCGCCAGTGAGTTGGGGCAGCAAGAAACAGCCAAGTGTTTCGTTGTCCACGAGTGAAGCCGAATACATCGCACTCAGCTTGGCGGTTCAAGAGGGCAAGTGGATTCATCGTCTGCTTTGTGAGATCATGATGGCTGACAATGAAGAAGGACCGGAACTCATGATCCATAAAGACAATCAATCGTGTATCAAGATGACAAAGAACCCGGTCAACCACGGCCGTGCTAAGCACATTGACATAAAGTATCATCACATCCGTGATGAGGTCAAGCGCGGTGAAGTGAAGCTCAAGTACTGTGAAACTGCGGTGATGTTAGCGGACATCATGACGAAGGGACTTCACGGGCCACGCCACAAGGAGATGACGGCGACTCTCGGGATTTGTGCGAGTTCGCATTGAGGGGGCGTGTTGACGGTCATCGGTTTCCTACCAGTATTGGTAACCGTGACCGGTCCAATCCGAACCGCCTGTTCAGCTTCGTATTTACGACGTAGTTCTTACGGTAATTACCATCGTTGATTAGACGCGTAGGATGATTAGAAGCTTCACATGATTTATTTGTGCATCACATATAAATCATGTAGCAAGTAGTAAGCCCCGACAATCAATCACTTTCGAATTCTCCTTCTGCCGAGCAAGTCTTCTCTGCTCCGCTCCTCAAGCCTCTTCGCTCCCTATGGTCTCTTCCGGTCTTCTCGTCACTCCCGTGTCATACTATCAACAGCAACCGTAATCGACAGGCTTCTTTGTCATCTTGATGCACAATTGATTTGTTCGCAGATCATGACTTCGGGAACTACTTCGTTGGTAGCCGTCATGATCTTGCACAGCAAGCGATGGATCAACTTGCCTTTTTGGACCTCCCAACTTAGCGCGAAGTATTCCGCCTCACTCACGTAAAGCGACAAATTTGGCGGTTTCGGGTTGTCCCAGCTCACTGGCGCACCTAACAATACGATAACATAGCCCGAGGTTGACTTGCGGTCATCTAGGTCACCGGCCTAGTCTAAATCCGAATATGTTCGGAAGTCGATCGTCGTACTTGGCTTGTGGCAGATTTCATAAGTCTAGATGCCTTGTAGATAGCGCAAAATGTGCTTGACCGCAACCAGATGTTCTTCGCGGGGATGCTCCATGAATCTTGACACATTGCTCACAACGTGTGCGATGTCCGGGCGCGTTGCTTCGGTCAGATGCATGAAAGCGCCAACAGCTTCACGAAACGGAGCATCAACTTTTGTTTTAGCATTGCTCAAACCTAGTCAGTATCTATCATCTAATGAACTTGCCATAGCCTTGCACTCATCCATGCCAAAGCCTTCATGAAGTTCGTCGACGATACGACGTGACACAAATTCAAACTGAAACCTGCACCGTCCACGAGCGCCATACCAAGAACAAACACACACTTGCCTCATTCAGTCATTTCGAAGGATGTCTTGAAATTGTCCTTAGTGCGTGCATTCAGCCCAGGTGAGCTTCCAGTCACTAGTACGTCGTCACGTAGACCAACTCAAACGTGCAACGACCTTCCGTCGTCATAATGTAGATGCATGGATCGAACACCGACCTTAAAAACCGATCGAGCGTATGAACTCGTCGAAGTTCTCGTTTTATGCATCTGTGACCGTATATCTCCTTTACTAACTCAAAAAATTGTAGTCGTCATCCATACCAACAGCTTCGGATAGGATAAATACAACCCTACATCACATCATACAGGAAGGCATCCAAATCATCGTCTTAGTTGAGAGGCCATCCAAATTACTTGGTAGTGGCAACAACCATTCGCAACTTCGCCTGTTTGACCACGGGCAAAATTGTTTCCATGTATTCAGTGCCTAATATATGGTGAATGCCTTTGGCCACAAGTCGCGTCATGTTTTTTTCGATTAATTCCTTTTTCTTTGCGCTTTATTTTGAAGATCCGCTTGTCCAAATGGGCATCTGATAGGTAGGCAATACTGGCTATTCGAAACACACGACGAAGTTTCATTAAATGAGCTCACACAGATAGCCCTGCGCCAGTGTACTTCGTCCGGCCCACTCACTGCTTTTTTATACGTCAATGGTTTCAATAGTTTTGTGCACCTTCAACAGAGTTTGCACTTGCTTGCCAAAACACGGGGAAGGTTTGATGAATCTGGTTTTTTTTGGTACTTAAATCATTTGTCTATATAAATTCGGTGCGAACGGTGGCCATCCGGTGCACTTGCTTCTTCTAATCCTGGTCTTCATGCGACCCGTACTAGGAGCAGTAGCAACTTCAACTTCGTTGCTAGCACACTCCTTGCGCTTTCCTGTTGCTGGAAGTTTCTTGGACGCAAATATCCATCATCGAGATCGAGTGATCGGAGGTCCAAGCCATCAATTTCTTCCATAGGATAACACCGTTGAGAGGCCAAAAGCCGACACATCAAAGTTGTCATCACAACTGATCAATTCAGTCCTGCTTAGAGTCGTAAACTCGATACGCCTTAAACACTTCTTCGTAGCCCAAAAACGATCCATCTCGATCCTTTTGATCTTAACTAATTACTTTCTCTTCGGATTCATTATTTGCGCCTGACACTTGAGTAATTGCATATGTTTAAGGCTTGGCTTAAAATTGTACACATCTCAAACGGAGTTTTGTGCGGGAACTTAATGATAACAAGTGATTGTTCACATACATGGCCGTCATCGCCGCCTCGCCCCAGAAACACTTGTCCAGCTTGTAATGATGAAACATGCTGCGACCGGTGGTGGCGATAGTCTTAATGGCGCACTCAGCACTTCCATTGGTCTGGTGTGCATATGACACCGTGGTTTCCTGGTCAGTACCTACGGCTTTGTTGAGAGTTTGAAGCAAGTTGGATGCAAACCCACGTGCTTTATCACGTCTCAGAAACTTGACCTTCTTGCTAACTGCGATTGCACAACTGTGATATACTTTTTGATGCGATCTTCACTCTCCGACTTGGCATACAAACAAAATTACTTCTTACATCTGCTGGCCTCATCCACAACAAGCATCAAATACTTGTATTAACTCAGGGATTTTTTTTTCATCGACCCGTAGATGTCAAAGTTAAGCATCTCGAGGGTGTCACAGATGCGCTTGTCGTGGTTGCTCGGGAATAATATGGCTACCATCTTGAAAAGTACTTCGACTATAGCATGGTTTATTCGCGCATGTAGGTCAATCTCATTGCCACTTAATGCCGCATTGACCGATCGCTGCGTCGTGCGAAGCCAGTTCAGCCTGTCTACAACATCCGTAGTTTTCACCCCTTGGGTTAAATTCTTGCGAGCAACGTAAATGTTGGCCTCATCAAACACCATTTGGTAGCTGCCCTGCCTGTTAATTGCGGCACCGAAAGCACACCTTTGCTCATGCTTAGAGCATATAGCGCGTTTTTATCTTGATCTCGCTCTTATCCCCGTTCGGCAGGATCACCTTTTCACGATGCTTCCACCACCTTTAATGGCCGCCTCATAACAATAATCCACCAGAATCTCGCCATCGTTACCTTCGACCAAGCCTGCAATTGAGCTTTTTATGGAAAATGTGATGCGCTGCACCGCTATCAAAAACCCACATTTCAGACACATTCCTTTTCGCCGAAATTCTGCATTCGAGCGAAACTGCAAACTCCACTCGATCGTGGCTGTTGTCATCATCATAATATTGCCACTTGACACTGTTTGCCCCGCGTCCACAACCATTGCCGCCGCGTGGGACTCCTCTACCTTCGTTCTTCTGCTTAATCCACAAAATATTTACCTTGTTCCCCACCCTGTCGCAATACGTGCATTGGTAGTGTGTTGAAACGATTTAGAGAATGAAGATAAGATGAACAGAGTTACCATAAGATCCCGATCAAGTACGAATTGGACGGGCGGATCACTACTGCCAGACCTGCCTATTACATGATCCGGCCTGAGAAGGAATCCAATTTTAGAGGTGATTCACTTATGAGTGGATCCAGTATCTGGATCAAGCGATGATTAAAGAGCAAGATCGAAGTGTTTCTGAATGGAGTGCTTAGCCAAGGTGGTTCCTGTTGATGGTATGACACGGGAGTGTCGAAAAGACCGGAAGAGACCATAGGGAGCGAAGAGGCTTGAGGAGCGGAGCAGAGAAGACTTGCTCGGCAGAAGGAGAATTCGAAAGTGATTGATTGTCGGGGCTTACTACTTACTACATGATTTATATGTGATGCACAAATAAATCATGTGAAGCGTCTCATCATCCTACGCGTCTAATCAACTATGGTAATTACCGTAAGAACTACGTCGTAAATACGAAGCTGAACAGGCGGTTCGGATTGGACCGGTCACGGTTACCAATACTGGTAGGAAACCGATGACCGTCAACACGCCCCCTCAATGCGAACTCGCACAAATCCCGAGAGTCGCCGTCGTCTCCTTGTGGCGTGGCCCGTGAAGTCCCTTCGTCATGATGTCCGCTAACATCACCGCAGTTTCACAGTACTTGAGCTTCACTTCACCGCGCTTGACCTCATCACGGATGTGATGATACTTTATGTCAATGTGCTTGGCACGGCCGTGGTTGACCGGGTTCTTTGTCATCTTGATACACGATTGATTGTCTTCATGGATCATGAGTTCCGGTCCTTCTTCATTATCAGCCATCATGATCTCACAAAGCAGACGATGAATCCACTTGCCCTCTTGAACCGCCAAGCTGAGTGCGATGTATTCGGCTTCACTCGTGGACAACGAAACACTTGGCTGCTTCTTGCTGCCCCAACTCACTGGCGCACCCAACACCATGAATACGTAACCAGACGTCGACTTGCGATCAGCGAGGTCACCGGCCCGGTCTGCATCCGAGTAGCCACGAAAGTCGATCTTCGCATTTGGCTTGTAGCAGATTCCATGCATTTTGGTGCCTTGTAGGTAGCGGAAGATGCGCTTGACCGCAACCCAGTGTTCTTTTTGGGGGTTCTCCATGAATTGCGACACATAGCCCACGGCGAACGCAATATCCGGGCGCGTTGCAGTGGTCAGGTGCATCACGCACCAATAGCTTCGCGAAAAGGAGCATCTACTTTGGTGGCTGCATCACTTGAAACAAGTCGAGAGCTCATGTCGACTGGACTTGCGACGGCCTTGCAATCATCCATGCCAAAGCGCTTGAGTATGTCATCTACATACCGACGCTGACATAGTGTGACAACACTTACATCTGCGCCGTCCAAAAGCTCGATTCCAAGCACAAATGCACACTTGCCGCTGTCAGTCATCTCGAATCGTGTCTTCAGATCGGTCTTGCTGCGTGCAATTAGCTCGCATGAGCTACCGGTGATCAACACGTCATTTACATGCACCAGCAGCAGCACGAATTGCCCTTCCACAATCCTTATGTAGAGACACGGGTCGAGGCCTGACGCTTGAAATCCAATAGCACACACGAACTCGTCAAACGTTTCGTTCCATACGCGCGACGCTTGTTTTAGTCCGTAGATTGCATTCACCAACTCCAGACAATCGAAGGAGCCCTCCAATTCCACGCCTTCAGGGATGACGCAGAACACTTGTTCCTTCATGACACCATACAGGAATGCCGTCACCACGTCGAGTTGGTCGATGGTCCATCCAAATTACTTGGCGACTGCAATCATCACGCGCAGCGTCACGTACTTGACAACGGGCGAGAATGTTTCCGTGTAGTCCATCCCAAATTGTTTGCTTGAAACACCTTGCCACAAGACGCGCCTTGTACTTGTCAATTGATCCTTCCGCTTTGCTCTTGATCTTGAAGACCCACTTTGTGCCAATGGCGCGATGTCCTTTAGGTAGCTTGGCTGCGCGGAATACTTCACGAAGTCGCATCGACTCAAGTTCCGCACGGATAGCTTCGCGCCAATGCACTTGATCAGGACCGCTCACCGCAGCTTCAAAAGTCGATGGCTCGGATAAGTCTACTGCTGTTTCGATGGCGTTCGCACTCTCACGCCAAAACACAGGCGGAGTCGATGCATCAGCATTCTTTGTTTCTTCATCCTCTTCTTGGTGGGTCGTGTGACTGTCTGGCGCACTTGATTCTTCTAGTCCAGGCCGTTGACTCACTGTGCGCGTGGGTGGAGTTGGTACTCCTTCATCATGGGGACGACTCTTGCGCTTGCCTGTTTGCTTGTACTGCGCTTGACCTGGCGCTTCATCATCCAGATCGAGGGAGTCGAAGTCAAGGTCATCGGCGTCTTCATCGGTGGCTGGCGGCGAAAGTCCAAAGGCAGACTCGTCAAAGTTGACATCGCGACTGATGGCCATCTGCCCCGCCTCGATGTCATAAACGCGGTACGCTTTGGATACTTCTTCGTAGCCCGGGAATATCCCAGTGCGAGCCTTGGGGTCCCACTTGAGCCGCTTCTCCTTCGGTATCAGTATGTAAACCTGACAACCGACACCCGCATGTGCTTGACACTTGGCTTGGAGTTGTGGACGATCTCGAACGGAGTCTTGTGCATAACTTTAGGCGACGGCAGACGGTTCCTGACGTAGATTGCCGTCATTGCTGATTCGGCCCAGAATCGCTTTTCCAGCTTAGCATGGTGGAGCATGCTGCGACCAATTGTGACGATAGTCCGAATGGCGCGCTCTGCCGTGCCGTTAGTCTGGTGTGCATATGGCACCGTCGTCTGCTGCTCAATGCCTTCATCTTCGTAGAATTCTTGAAGCGAGTTGGTTGCGAACTCGCGGGCTCCGTCGTGTCGGACGAGCTTGACCTTCTTGCCAAGCTGCGCTTTCACCATCTTGATGTATCTTGTGATGTAGTTTTCACTCTCCGACTTCACACGTAGACAGAAGCCCTTCATGCATCCACTGGCTTCGTCAACGATCAGCAGTAGAAACTTGCTGCCACCCAGAGATTTCATCTCCATGGGTCCGCAGATGTAGACGTGAAGTAGCTCGAAGGTGTCGTATCTGCGCTTGTCCTGGCTGCATGGGAATGGTTTTTGGACCATTTTCCCTTGTTGACTTCCTCGGCATGCGCTTGATCCACTTGACGTGAGAGGTACCTTCACATCCTTAATCATGTTCGTGGCCACCATTTTGCGAAGCACATCAGCTGAAGCGTGTCCCATCCGCGCATGTAAGTCGACACCGTTGCATCCGTTTGTTGTCGCATTGGCCGATCGATGAGCTGTGTGAAGCCAGCAAAGGCCATCCACAAGATATGCTGTTGCCACCACTTGTTGCGATCCTTTGCGAGCGACAAACATCTTGGTACCGTCGAACACGACTTGAAACTTGCAGTGCTTGTTGATCTGCGGTACCGAAAGTAGATTCTTGCTCATGCTTGGTACGTAAAGCACGTTCTTGATCTCGATCTCACGCTCTTCACCGTTGGGCAGAACCACCTTTCAAAGATGATTCCAACACCCTTGATGGCCACTTTGTTGCCATCCGCCACCAAGATGTCACTGTCGTTGCGCTTGTTCAGTCTTGCAAACTTGGTCTTGTCGTGGCATATGTGGTGTGTTGCACCACTGTCGACGGCCCACATTCCGGACACGTCCTTCTTCGCTGAGATTCCACACTCTAGCGAAACTGCAAACGCTACTTGATCGTACTCGCTGCCTTCATCACGATATTGTCCCCACTAGACATTGTTTGCCCCGCGTCCACGACCATTGCCGCCGCGTCGGCTCCTCGACTTTCATTCTTCTGCTTGGAACAACAGCGATCGACGGTGTGTCCCACCTTCCCACAGTAGGTGCAATTGTATGGCTCGCGCTCAGTGTTGAAGGCCTTGGCTGCATCTTCAGTCTTGACCATCGTCGCTGTTGTTGTCGTCTTCTCCCCTTGGCGCTTGGTGTGCTCATTCGTGAGCACCTTCACCACATCTTGGGTACGAAGCTCTTCGCTGCTCATCTCCAAGTTTAGAACAACGTTCTCAAAACTCTTAGGGAGGCTGAGCAGCAGGCAAATTGCGACGTCCTCGTCCTCCATCTTCGCACCGATGCTGCTAAGCTTGGCAGCGGTGTTCAGGACCTCGTTGCAGTGATGCATGACGTTGTCGCCTTCATCCATCTTCATGCTGAAGAGTTGACGCTTGAGGTAGATCCTTCCCGCTTTCTGGGATCCACCGTACAGCACCTTCAGGCTTCTTCATGCAACCCACGCTTCCTCGCAGTTGTCGACCACATGGTGGTAGTCCACACCCATATGCAGCACCATCATTCCAAACGGTATGTTGTTGGCCTTGACGTAGTCGTCCTGCGCTCGAGCGTCCACGAACGTCTGGAAGCTCTCCCGGTTGACAGCATGTCACACTGACTTTGTCAGGAACACGCCACGCACGTATCGACTCCAGGTCGAATAGTTGTCCCCATCGAACTTATCGATGAGGACGTTGGAGGATGCGTGGCCGGCAGAAGACATTGCGCTTGGGCTCATAACCAGTTGAAGGTATGACACGGGAGTGACGAGAAGACCGGAAGAGACCGGAGGGAGCGAAGAGGCTTGAGGAGCGGAGCAGAGAAGACTTGCTCGGCAGAAGGAGAATTCGAAAGTGATTGATTATCGGGGCTTACTACTTACTGCATGATTTATGTGTGGTGCACATATAAATCATGTGAAGCGTCTCATCATCCTACGCGTCTAATCAACTATGGTAATTACCGTAAGAACTACGTCGTTAATACTAAGCTGAACAGGCGTTTCGGATTGGACCGGTCACGGTTACCAATACTGGTAGGAAACCGATGACCGTCAACAGTTCCAAATCAAGAGAAGATCAAGGATCAAGATCAAAGGATCCCAATCCTGGATCTTAGCCAAGGTAGATCCGGATCAAGAGTGGGATACAAGATCCATATCTGAGTAAGGGGTAGGGGATTAATCAAGGGACCAGCGGTGTGCAAGAGACAGGGGTGCCTGACTGGCGACACATGGCAAGTACCTTCTACATAGATAGGCTATGTCGTAGATTTAGCAGAATGATTGGTTAACATTAAACAGAGTAAAATTACTTCACAAGACACGCGTCGCTTCTTCAGACAGGAACTTTGGCCTCCCGAAGATCAAGAACCGCGTGTCGTCTACACATGGATTGCACCTGAATTGTTTGGCCAGGAGCATACAAGGACTCTCAAAAACAACAAGCCAACTGCGATAGGACGCCGCAAGAACGCAAGGAGGGTCAAGATCGCGAGACGGCTCAACTAGTCAGAAGGTCAATCAGATCAAGATCTACATTTGGAAAAGACGATCTCAACGAGATCCGGGTATCTTATATCGAGTACCTCCAAGTAACCAGTGATCAAGTGAGGATTTCCACGCGATCACTTCATCCCCAACCACGGTCAAGCTAGGTATCGACACGAACCCACCTAAAATAGTGCAACCCGCCCTACCGACGGGAAAACAAGATGAGGAAGGAAATAAGCACGGAAACGGAGCACCCCCTCCGATATTCGGTCGTCTGGGCACCAGTGGAGAGGCAAAATTACATTAGCAATTTTTGTGAGCCCCGCTCCACCACAATGGTGCGCTTGCCCGGACCTTCTGGTGACTCGAGATTTTACCGTGAGTCCCTGAGTGAAGATGTCAAGATAAAGACTGAACCTAGGATGGAAGCGTCAGAGGCTGAATGATTGACGCAGACGCGAGAAGTTAAAGTATCTTTAGATCATCAAGGTTTTAAGAGGAGCAAGGTTTTAAGAAGAGCCTGATGAAAGAAACTGAAAGAGAAATATCGACTTGTTGATCTGGAAGATAAACCTCGACCCCTCCTGAGGTCTCTTCAGGGAACATCGTGGATCATGCTACAAAGTATGATCCGCTGGGTGCTAACCCTTCAGCGAAAACCGAACATAAACTACACAAGCCCTCCCAAGCAATGTCGAAGACAAAAACTGTGAAGATGGAACGAATGAAGAAAGAAGAAGTCAGACCGAATCCACGCGATCACGCTCTGACGACACTCAATCGACAGATCTGCCCGATCAAGATGGTGGACTACGAAAACGAGATAAAAGGATGGCTGGAAGACTGGCAAGTGGATTAACTAGAAGAAAAATATCACTGGAAGGGGTTCAAGAAGCTGCTGACCAGAGATCCTGAGCTGAAGATTATGAAAGCACAGTTGATCGGCTCGTTGCGAATACTGAGATCCACTCATGTCTCATACCCGAACATGCTGGACGCAATCTGCGGGCTCGTGCAGTTGCTACAAGACGCGGGATTTACGGCTGATCAATTGACGCGAACGCTATACTGGAGAGAGATATCGACAAAGTGATTACTGCGGGCAGATTCCTACGCGCGAAGCTAGCTCAGTTGGATGGCAACTATGATTCAGCGAACAGGGTGGTCAAGCCTCTCTATGAGGATCCGATCGAAAACGGTTCATTGAATCGGGCAATCATATCGACTGCAGGTACACCGAAGAGCGACCACACTGGATCATCGCACTTAGCGTTGGTCACATCGTATCCGAAATCAGGCGAGTTGTTGGGCATACAACACATGTCGATAGGACCATTAGGAGCGTTAATGATTCGAGCCAGGAATAGCCCGGCCGAATGGAGATCAGCGGAGCCACCCGAGTTACACCCTGGACAGCTGCATCACACTTTAAAGCAGCTATGAGGAAGTACGAGGGAGGTCTGCGGATGAAAGCTCAGCAGGCTGCTGGACGGTCGACGGCATATGATATGCACTAAGGAGTTGAATTTCGCAGACGTGGAGATGGATTTAGTGAAGGATTCGAATTATAGTCGATTCTTTATTTCACAACTTTAACATATGATTTTAAAGACGGAGGCTTTCGACGACCGTCGATGGCGACCGCTAAGGCTATCCCAAGTAGTGGGATGACCACACACAGGTTACGCTTATTAACAATAATCGATCTAAATTGATTAGATGGGCGGGATCGAGACGAAGATCAAGCTAGGGGCTAAATCGGCAGAGTCAAGTCAGCGTTTTTGCGGGTTCAAACGGAAGATCCAGAGAAGTGTTTGACATTCAGTGACATGCTAACGGTCCAGCTCGAACTGTTACGGGCAGCTAAGTCGATCAACCCGCCGTGAATAATGACTCCTGCTGATATGCTTTATAATCAAGTATGGAGGATATCATAATTCGACGAATCAGCAATACTATCGTGCACGAAAACGAGCGGGTAAGACCCCACTGGAGTACCTGCATCGTCTTAATGTGGCGGCGATTCGGGCGATCTTTAAACGCAAGAATACAAGTATTCTTGTGTTTGTTGACCGGTTCAGCAAGATGGTACATCTTGCTGACTATACCGGATTTAATTAGAGCATAAGGATGTGCTCGTGTCTTCATCAATACTATCTTCCGACTTTACGAATTACCCCGTGAACTCGTGTCTGATAGGGACACCCGCTTTACAGAGGAGTTCTGGCAATAAGTTTTCCTTTCACTTGGAACACGATTATAGATGTCGACTTCTGACCATCCTTTTACAGATGGTCAGACGGCACGCGTCAATCGCGTCCTCGGAGAGATACTTCGAGGGCACGAAGATCAAGATCCGAGAGGGGCCGCCAAACGTATGACGTGAACACGTAAATCGCTTTATCGGAAGACTGGAAGATCGGGATCCGGCCAAGCAATTAACTTTTTTGCGATTGAGAGACACTAATAATGCGGAATAAACGTTTTAGTCATACGAACGAACGGCGAATCGAGTTAAGAAGTCGCCGATGGAACCCAACAAGTTTCGACCACGAGCGGGCTTCATTACGGACCCATCGCCGTCAAAACCGGCCCCAGCAGTCCGAGTTATCCGGGTGAAAGAGAGCGAGAGCGGCGAATCGAATCCAGAGTTTAGTGAATAGGAGGTGGAAGAGGATCGACATCAAATATATGCGGTCGGATCCAAGGATCACGCGAAGGCTCCTAGAGATCGTCGTGATTAACAATGGAATGATGACCCTGGAGACGAATACGATCATGGAGATCGACCTCATGTGCGTCACCAACATGGTCACCCACGCGACGAGAATGAGGTGGAAGGATCCCGCTATCCGGGTTGTAAAGATCGATCTCACACTGAACGATAAAAGTCGTGTACGCACTGCGGATCCACTAGACATGACGACCTCGGGTGCTGAAAGAGACGGACCTATCAGAGGTGCCAACCATTGGGAAACCCATCGGACAAGTGCTTTTACGTGTGTCCCGCTTGCCAGGGGTACACAAGCGTGGTACGTGTCCAATAAATGATATTATCATTTTGATCCGCAAGTGTTATGTGCCAACAAAGAACGCCGGAATGTTTTTGCCCGAAGTGGAGAAAATGTTGTACTAGGAAGCTCGCCAGGATAGAATCTGGCACGAGCCAAGCGTTCTAGGCATGAAGTTATGCACAAGTGGCGAAGAAGTAGGGATTTTGTGGCGGTAAGTATCCGGCCATACCGATCACTGATACACGTGAATTATTCTCAGTTGTTTGCTCAGTTTTAAATGTGAAAAGCGTCGATGAATACTCCCGATCTCCCTTAAGAATGGAGCTCGATCTTGCGCCGGGCGAGTCGCGAGGGCACTAGAAAGACCACACACCGGGAAAATGGTACAGGCAGACAAAGGTCACGTGCAAGACCAACAACGAAAAGGCCACCGTGTTGTTTGACTCTGGCGCTGAAGGCTGATCATTGGCACCACCTTTGTTCGTCAAGCGGGTTGCAAAATCGACGACACTCAGACTCACGAGTGTGTGGAAATTGGTGAAAACGCCTGCATGACGATCGGCCGTACTAAGATCAAGATCACATTAGATTAATCCTTGGTCTACTACTTTGATGTATGGGTCGGCGATCAAATTATTTTGGAGGCTATATTAGGCATCGATTTTATGACCCGTCTGGGATACGTCTGGGGTTGGCGATCGAAATGCTTTAAGTGCCTAATGAAGTTCGTATCAGTCTGGCGCTGCTAAGCCTGCCATACAGACCACCATTTAATCAGGCAACATCACAGATCAAATTGTGATGAACTGTAGACTTCTTGGTCCGAGTGCAATACGCAAAGTGAATATATATTTATAATAGGTACCTAGTTCGCAACTTTGAATACTACCTCTAAGCCTATATTTGCAGTGACGTCATTCCAATGAAGTCATTCCGCTGACGTCAGCCAATGATGTCATTCCCTGACTTCGCCCTTACTGGCATATACCGGTACCCACCGGTATATCGAAGCTTGGTCTTCGGCTTGCTTCAACACTTAATGCAGCTTGACGAGGTGTCTTCTCCACAGCCGCCGTCGTTTCAACACTCCCTCTCGACTCGTTAGCTGCGGCGTCTTGGATCCCGAGTCGATCGCGAATGTTTTCAAATTGTACAGCGGCGATCGGCTTGGTCATCATGTCCGCCAGCATATCTTGAGTCGGGCAATACTCCAAAACGACTTCGCCCGATTCCACCTTCTCCCGCACAAAATGGTAGCGTATGTCAATGTGCTTTGTTCTCTTATGGAACTCCGGGTTCTTGGCGAGAGCAAATGATACTTGGTTGTCTTCATACATCTTGATCGCTTCGTCGCTTGCCATCTCACCAAGTTACCTCAACAACACCTTGAGCCATACTGCTTCTTTGGTTGCTTCGGAAAGCGCCATGTTTTCTGCTTCCGTTGAAGATAGCGCGACCGTCCGTTGTTTTTGGCTTTCAAGATGATGCATCCTCCGTTCATCATGAACACGTAACCGCTCGTACTTCTTCTTGGCTTAATGTCGCCGGCCCAGTCTGCGTCGGTGTACCCGCAGATACAGCTTCCTTCTTCACGTGTTTGACAGTGGTTTCGATGAAACATCGCCGTCATCACTGCTTCACCCCAGTAGCTCTTTCCCAGTCCAGCATGCTCCATCATACAGCGCGCACACTCGACAAGCGTGCGATTCATTCTCTCAGCTACTCCGCTGAGCTGAGGAGTATATGGGGGTGTGAACCTTTGTTCTATCCCACGTTCCGCGCAGAATCGTGCCAACTTTTCGGACTTGTATTCACCCCCATTGTCGCTTTGAGGGTACTTCACGCGCTTTCCGGTTTGCGTTTCGGCCATCGCAGCGTATTCCATGAACTTCGCCGCAACTTCAGATTTGCTCTTGAGCAGATGCACGACACAGTATCTTGACTTGTCGTCGATGAATATCACGAAGTACCGTTTTCCACTTGCCATCGGCATCGGTCCGCATACGTTGCTGTAAATCACTTTGAGAATTTTGGAGGTGCGAGCTGCAGTGTTCGATTGGAAGCGCACTCGAGTCTGTTTTCCCAGAGCACAACCTTCGCACACGTCCCACTTCTTCACCGAAGATGTGTCGACGCCAATTACAATGCTCTTCGTCACGATGCAATTGAGTCCATCATGACCTATGTGGCCAAGCCGAAGGTGCCAGAGGTACGACTTGGTGCCCCCTTGACATCCCGAAGACTTGGCTGCATTTGCTTGTTCCGGCGCCACTGAAGACATTTGCAGCTTGAACAGTCCTTTACCTTCACGGGCACCAATTTTCCACTTGACCCCTTTCGCTTCTCCATAGCACCCATCCTTTGTGAACGTCACTGGGTCGACATCCTTGGTGAAGCGGCCGACTGAGAACAGGTTTCTGGATAACTTTGGGATGTGCCACACGTTTGTGAGCACACCTTTCTTCATCCCTTGGGGTGTCTTCATCGACATGACAATGTCCCCACTGCCGATTGCTTGGACAATTCCATCATCCGCGAGATGGACATACACAGCGTCAAACACCTTGTAGTTCCGCATGAACTTCTTGGAGCACGTCATGTGCTGCGTCGCCCCGGAGTCGACTAGCCAGATGTCGCTTGATTTCGCAGATCTCGTTTCACCGATCGAGAAGAGGTATTCGCCCGAGTCTTCTTCTTAAGCTACATTTGCACGTTGTGATCGATAACGGTCGCCGCTGTCTTGAGCGCGCTGCGGCCGGTGTCTCTCCGTGCTTTCTTGGATGCGCGAAGAGCACTCCGCCATCCAGTGACCAATCTTTCCGCAATTGTGGCACAGCCAGGACTTCTTCACTGGTCGCCCTTTGTGCTGATTATCCCTTGTGATGCACACTTCACCTTGCGAAGCGTCATCACCTTTACTTCCTTGCTCCTTCCGCTTCATTTCTTCATGAAGCAGTCGAGACGTCACGAGCTACCAGATAAGAGTGTCTGAGCGCGACTCCAAAGCTGTGATCAAGAATTGATACGAGTCACTAAGGCTGCCGAGAAGTGTGATCACCAGATCGTCCTCGCATACCGGAGCCCCCACCGCTTCTAGCTGTTCCGCCAACGTCTTGAGCTTGTTGATGTGTTCGAGCACATCGTCGCCTTCTTCCACCATCGTCGTGAAGAAGCGACGGCGCAAGAACAGCTTGTTGGCAAGAATCTTCTTCTCGAAGTGGTCTTCCAACCTTGGCAATGCGTCACATGCACCACTTGCCGACCGGACAAACGGTAGCTGGGAATCTTCCATGGCTAGACAGATCACTGCCATCGCCTTTCTTGACTTCCTCTTGTACGTCGCTTGGTCCAACTGAGTCTCGCACTGTTCCGCCTTGATCTCGCCGCTGACGACCTCCCACATGTCCCGTTCCTCCAGCACCATCTGCTTCTTGAACTTCCGGGCGTGGAAGTTAGTTACATAGAACTTGGAGATACGAAGGGAGGAGGCGCCCATGGCAGCAAGGCTTGATTAATTATCGGTTTCAGAGTCCGACGAACTTGGGCTCATAACCTGATGAACTTTAGACTTCTTGGTCCGAGTGCAATACGCAAAGTGAATATATATTTATAATAGGTACCTAGTTCGCAACTTTGAATACTACCTCTAAGCCTATTATTCGCAGTGACGTCATTCCGCTGACGTCATCCAATGACGTCATTCCCTGACTTCGCCCTTACTGGTACATACCGGTAACCACCGGTATATCGAGGCTTGGTCTTCGGCTTGCTTCAACATTTGATGCAGCTTGACGAGGTGTCTTCTTTACAGCCGCCGTCTTTCGAACAAATTGTTGCCATACCTGTTGGTAGATCAACAGAGGTGAGATCGTACTAAACAACTAAGGTCCAACCTCCGGGTAAAGAGAGACGTTGCATGGGTGCCGACGGTGACTAATGGACTTAAAAGATCGAAGTATGTACAAATTACTAATAACAGTGATCGCAAAGTAATTTGAGGTCACGGATCACCATTGGGTCTGTGGATAGTGAATGACACGGTGCCCCGGTTTCCCGGTAATGTCTCTGTAGGATCACGCCGATACCAAGATTGGCAAACTCTGAATTTTAAAGCGACTACCAATCGGACAGATGATATTATTTAAGACGATATAGAACCTCTAGTGGATCACCCGGCCGACAGGAATCCTACGCAGATTTTGGCTAAATAAAGAAAAAGAGGTGACCAAGGAAAAGGAGAACAAGCGGGTCAATGAGGAGGACCGCCAACGATCACGGACACCTTCACCGCCCGTGCCGGTCGAGATGATCATGGTCGACCAAGTGATCTGCGACAAAGCTGATCCGCTACATAAGCCGTACATCTGTCAGTCAGACGAAATTGTGGACTCGAGATGGGGTGTCCCAGAAGAGGGACATTAAGCTGAACGAAGATGATGCTGCTACAGCAACCATGGATGATGAATGTAGAGAGAATTTTGATAACGTGTCGTCTTCGGTATAGATCGCCGCCATCGAGATGGTGAGCGAAGACAAGGTGGTGCCCAGTGAGCCGATGAATGCAGAAGACAAACTGCAAGAAACTACAACCGACTGTGAGGATCCCCGTGATGGCGGATCTGATCGGAATCGTCTACGCCACCATCCGGGAGACGAGATCGGGATGGAAGATTGTTGACGGTCATCGGTTTCCTACCAGTATTGGTAACCGTGACCGGTCCAATCCGAACCGCCTGTTCAGCTTAGTATTTACGACGTAGTTCTTACGGTAATTACCATAGTTGATTAGACGCGTAGGATGATGAGACGATTCACATGATTTACATGTGCACCACATATAAATCATGTAGTAAGTAGTAAGCTCCGATAATCAATCGCTTTCCAATCTTCCATCTACCCCCAAGTGTATTCTCCGGTCTTCCGAGTGGACTCCCAGCATCCCTCCCAGTTTCGGTCGTCAAGCTTCACACCTTTCAACAGGTTATGAGCCCAAGCACGATGTCCTCTGCTCATGATGCCACCACCAAGATCTCCATTGACAAGTTCGACGGCGACAACTACGCGACATGGAGCCGCTACATGCGTGGCGTGTTCCTGACCAGGTCGACGTGGCACGTGGTGAACCGGGAGACGTCACCGACCTACGCGGACGGTCGCGCCATGGACGACTACGTCAAGGCCAACAACATCGCTTTCGGACTGATGTTGCTGCACATGGACGCAGACTACCATCACATCTTCGATGACTGTGAAGAGGCGTGGGTCGCGTGGGCGCGTTTGAAGACGCTGTACGGCGGATCGCAGAAGGCTGGACGCATCTACTTGAAGCGCCAGCTGTTCAGCATGGAGATGGCGGAAGGCGGCAATGTGATGCATCATTGCAACGAAGTCCTCAACATCAGCGCGAAGCTCAGCAGCATCGGCTCCAAGATGGAGGACGAGGACGTGGCGATCTGCTTGTTGCGCAGCCTCCCCAAGAGCTACGAGAACGTCGTTCTCAACTTGGAGATGAGCAGCGCGGAACTGCGATCGCGAGACGTCGTGAGAGTGCTCACGAATGATCACATCAAGAGGCAAGGTGACAAGACGAAATCGGTGAAGACTGAAGACGCGGCGAAGGCGTTCAGTACCGAGCGTGAACCTCGCCAGTGTCCACACTGCGGAAAATTGGGGCACACGGCGGAGCGGTGCTGGACCAAGCAGAAGGACGAAAATCAAGGTGGAGCTCGACGCGGCGGCAACAATGCTCGTGGACGCGGAGCCAACAACGTTCAGTGGCGAACCAACAGCAACTAAGACGACAACTACGATCGAGTTGCGTTCACGGTTTCGCTGGAGGCTGGACTTTCCACGGGCGAGAATATGCCAGGGATGTGGGCAGTCGACAGCGGTGCGACGCATCACATCTGCAACGACAAGGCCAAGTTTGCAATCCTGAATGAGCGAGAGGAAGAAGAACTATCAGTGGCTGATGGCAGCAAGGCTGCGATCAAGGGTGTGGGAACCATCATGGAACGGGTGATTCTGCCCAATGGTGACGAACGCGACATCGAGATCAAGGACGCACTGTTCGTACCAAGTATGAGCAAGAATCTGCTTTCGGTGCCACAGATCAACAAGGGTGGCAGGTTCCAAGTCGTGTTCGATGGGTCCAAGATGCAAGTGAAGCGCAAGAATTCCACACAAGTCGTGGCAACAGCGGATCTCGTCGATGGACTTTACTGGCTGCGGACTCCTCAACGATCGGCGAATGCAGCAACACGCAATGGGACTATCGACTTGCATGCGCGCATGGGTCATGCACCCCTCGAAGTTCTGCGCAAGATGGTGGCCACCGGCATGATCAAGGACGCCAAGGCACCTCTCAACTCGACTGGTCCAAGTGTGTGTCGCAGTTGCCAGCAAGGAAAGATGGTCCAAAAACCATTCCCAACCAACCGTGACAAACGCCAATATGGTGTGTTCGAGTTGCTGCACTTCGACATCTGCGGGCCAATGGAACAAGTCTCGATCGGCGGCAGCAGATACTTACTGCTTGTGGTTGACGAAGCCAGCGGTTGCATGAATGGCTTCTGTCTGCGGTCCAAGATTGAGAGTGAAGTCTGTATCAAGAAGCACATTACTAAGATTCAGACTCAGTTCGGCACGAAGATCAAGTTTGTTCGGCACGATGGAGCGCATGAGTTTGCGACCAACTCGATCAAGACCTTCTACGAAGATCATGGTATCGAACAACAAGTCACGGTGCCGTATGCACACCAGACCAACGGCACCGCAGAACGCGCGATAAGGACCATCGTCACGATCGGACGCAGCTTGTTGCATCATGCAAAGCTGGAGAAGTGTTTCTGGGCTGAAGCGGCAATAACGGCGATCTACATCAAGAACCGCCTGCCTCACCCAAGATCGACCACAAGACTCCGTTCGAGATCGTGTACAAGTCGAAACCAAGTGTCAAGCACATGCGCGTGTTTGGATGTCGGGCGTTTATCCTGACACCAAGGGAGAAGCGATTGAAGTGGGACCCGAAGGCTCGTGAAGGGATGTTCATGGGCTACGAAGAAGCGTCAAAAGCTTATCGAGTGTACGACATTGAGGCGGGCCAAGTGGTGATCAGTCGTGACATCACCTTCGACGAATCGACTTTTGACTTTTCGATGGATCGACCAAGTGACGATGATGAAGATGCGGAGTTGGACCTCGACCTCCTGGCGATCAACGAGGACGACGTGCGTCAAACCGTCTACAAGCAGACTGGCAAGTGCAAGAGTGAAGCAAGACCAGGCATGTCACGTTCAGCTCGCCCTCGAACTGGGTTGGAACAAGCAAGTGCGCCGGAACACGTCTCCAACCGTCACCAGAAACGACGATCAAATGCTCCCGAAAAGAAGAAGATGCGGACGTCTACAATCAAAATGACGACTAGAAGCCCCAAACATTTTGGCGTGCAAGTGAAAATGCAGTGGAAGCAACGGACCTAGCAGAACCTGTGACTTTTCAAGACGCGATCAATGGTACTGATCAAGCTCACTGGCGAAATGCTGTGAAGGCGGAACTCAAGTCGATGCATCTTCGTGGAGTTTTCCGTGCGGCAAAACTGCCAAGAGGCCAAGGCGCGATCGGCACCAAGTGGGTGTTCAAGATCAAGCGCAAAGCGGATGGATCGGTCGAAAAATACAAGGCGCGTCTCGTTGCCAAGGGCTTCAAGCAGAAGTACGGCATCGACTACACAGAGACGTTCTCGCCCGTGGTCAAGTACGTGACACTGCGTATGGTGATCGCGATCACCAAGTCTTTCGACTGGCCACTGGACCAACTCGATTTGGTGACAGCCTTTCTCTACGGAGTGATGAAGGAGAAGGTGTACTGCGTGATACCAGAAGGCGTCGAAATGGATGGCGACTTCGACTGTCTCGAGTTGGTGGAGGCGATCTACTGTCTCAAGCAAGCTTCACGTGTGTGGAACGAGACTTTCGATGAGTTCGTATGCTTTATCGGTTTCGAAGTGTCGGCGTTCGACCCATGTCTCTATATCAAGGTTGTCGATGGTCACTGTGTGCTCGTGCTGGTCTACGTGGATGACGTGTTGGTCACCGGCAGCTCGCTCGAGTTGATTGCGCAGACGAAGGTCGACCTCAAGACGCGTTTCGAGATGACCGACAGTGGCAAGTGTACTTTTGTACTGGGCATCGAACTGGTGGACGAATCGGATGGCAGCGTGACGATGTGCCAGCGACGGTATGTCAACGACATCCTCAAGCGCTTCGGCATGGATGAGTGCAAGGCCGCAGCAAGTCCGGTCGACTTGAGCACTCGGCTTGTCGCAAGCACCGAAGCGGCCAAGATCGACGTTCCGTTTCGTGAAGCTGTGGGAGCTTTGATGCACTTGACGACTGCGACGCGCCCGGACATTGCGTATGCTGTGGGGTACGTCTCGCTTCATGGAGAATTCGCAGCAAGAACATTGGACGGCGGTGAAGCGCATCTTTCGTTACTTGCAAGGGACCAAGTCGCACGGACTCCGCTTCCAGCCAAGCGACAAGATCGACTTTCGTGGCCACTCGGACACGGACTGGGCCGGCGACCACGCTGATCGCAAGTCGACTTCGGGTTACACTTTCATGCTGATGGGCGCTCCTGTGAGTTGGGGAAGCAAGAAGCAGTCAAGTGTGTCGCTGTCGACGAGTGAAGCGAAATACATCGCACTGAGTCTGGCCATCCAGGAAGGCAAGTGGGTGCATCGCCTGCTATGCGAGATTTTGGCGGCCGCAAACGAACCAGGACCGGACCTCGTCATCCGTGAAGACAACCAGTCGTGCATCAAGATGACGAAGAATCCAGTGAATCATGGCCGCGCCAAGCACATCGACATCAAGTACCATCACATCCGTGATGAGGTCAAGCGCGGTGAAGTGCAGCTCGAGTATCGCGAGACTTCCGTGATGATGGCTGACATCACGACCAAAGGACTTTCTGGACCTCGCCACAAGGACTTGACGACGGCTCTCGGCATTCGTGCGAGTTCGGATTGAGGGGGCGTGTTGACGGTCATCGGTTTCCTACCAGTATTGGTAACCGTGACCGATCCAATCCGAACCGCCTGTTCAGCTTAGTATTTATGACGTAGTTCTTACGGTAATTACCATAGTTGATTAGACGCGTAGGATGATGAGACGCTTCACATGATTTACATGTGCACCACATATAAATCATGTAGTAAGTAGTAAGCTCCGATAATCAATCACTTTCCAATCTTCCATCTACCCCCAAGTGTATTCTCCGGTCTTCCGAGTGGACTCCCAGCATCCCTCCCAGTTTCGGTCGTCAAGCTCTTCATCATTCAACAGGTTATGAGCCCAAGCACGATGTCCTCTGCCCATGATGCCACCACCAAGATCTCCATTGACAAGTTCGACGGCGACAACTACGCGACATGGAGCCGCTACATGCGTGGCGTGTTCCTGACCAGGTCGACGTGGCACGTGGTGAACCGGGAGACGTCACCGACCTACGCGGACGGTCGCGCCATGGACGACTACGTCAAGGCCAACAACATCGCTTTCGGACTGATGTTGCTGCACATGGACGCAGACTACCATCACATCGTCGATGACTGTGAAGAGGCGTGGGTTGCGTGGGCGCGAATCAAGACTCTGTACGGCGGATCTTAGAAGGCTGGGCGCATCTACTTGAAGCGCCAGCTTTTCAGTATGGAGATAACGGAAGGCGGCAATGTGTTGCATCATTGCAACGAAGTCCTCAACATCAGCGCGAAGCTCAGCAGCATCGGCTCCAAGATGGAGGACGAGGACGTTGCGATCTGCTTGTTGCGCAGCCTCCCCAAGAGCTACGAGAACGTCGTTCTCAACTTGGAGATGAGCAGCGCGGAACTGCAATCGCGAGACGTCGTGAGAGTGCTCACGAATGATCACATCAAGAGGCAAGGTGACAAGACGACATCGGTGAAGACTGAAGACGCGGCCAAGGCGTTCAGTACCGAGCGTGAACCCCACCAATGCACGTACTGCGGAAAATTGGGGCATACGGTGGACCGATGCAGGATCAAGCAGAAGGACGAAAATCAAGGTGGAGCTCGACGCGGCGGCAACAATGCTCGTGGACGCGGAGCCAACAACGTTCAGTGGCGAACCAACAGCAACTAAGACGACAACTACGATCGAGTTGCGTTCACGGTTTCGCTGGAGGCTGGACTTTCCACGGGCGAGAATATGCCAGGGATGTGGGCAGTCGACAGCGGTGCGACGCATCACATCTGCAACGACAAGGCCAAGTTTGCAATCCTGAATGAGCGAGAGGAAGAAGAACTATCAGTGGCTGATGGCAGCAAGGCTGCGATCAAGGGTGTGGGAACCATCATGGAACGGGTGATTCTGCCCAATGGTGACGAACGCGACATCGAGATCAAGGATGCACTGTTCGTACCAAGTATGAGCAAGAATCTGCTTTCGGTGCCACAGATCAACAAGGGTGGCAGGTTCCAAGTCGTGTTCGATGGGTCCAAGATGCAAGTGAAGCGCAAGAATTCCACACAAGTCGTGGCAACAGCGGATCTCGTCGATGGACTTTACTGGCTGCGGACTCCTCAACGATCGGCGAATGCAGCAACACGCAATGGGACTATCGACTTGCATGCGCGCATGGGTCATGCACCCCTCGAAGTTCTGCGCAAGATGGTGGCCACCGGCATGATCAAGGACGCCAAGGCACCTCTCAACTCGACTGGTCCAAGTGTGTGTCGCAGTTGCCAGCAAGGAAAGATGGTCCAAAAACCATTCCCAACCAACCGTGACAAACGCCAATATGGTGTGTTCGAGTTGCTGCACTTCGACATCTGCGGGCCAATGGAGCAAGTCTCGATCGGCGGCAGCAGATACTTACTGCTTGTGGTTGACGAAGCCAGCGGTTGCATGAATGGCTTCTGTCTGCGGTCCAAGATTGAGAGTGAAGTCTGTATCAAGAAGCACATTACTAAGATTCAGACTCAGTTCGGCACGAAGATCAAGTTTGTTCGGCACGATGGAGCGCATGAGTTTGCGACCAACTCCATCAAGACCTTCTACGAAGATCATGGTATCGAACAACAAGTCACGGTGCCGTATGCACACCAGACCAACGGCACCGCAGAACGCGCGATAAGGACCATCGTCACGATCGGACGCAGCTTGTAACATCATGCAAATCTGGAGAAGCGTTTCTGGGCTGAAGCGGCAATAACGGCGATCTACATCAAGAACCGCCTGCCGTCACCCAAGATCGACCACAAGACTCCGTTCGAGATCGTGTACAAGTCGAAACCAAGTGTCAAGCACATGCGCGTGTTTGGATGTCGGGCGTTTATCCTGACACCAAAAGAGAAGCGATTGAAGTGGGACCCGAAGGCTCGTGAAGGGATGTTCATGGGCTACGAAGAAGCGTCAAAAGCTTATCGAGTGTACGACATTGAGGCGGGCCAAGTGGTGATCAGTCGTGACATCACCTTCGACGAATCGACTTTTGACTTTTCGATGGACCGACCAAGTGAAGATGATGAAGATGCGGAGTTGGACCTCGACCTCCTGGCGATCAACGAGGACGACATGCGTCAAACCGTCTACAAGCAGACTGGCAAGCGCAAGAGTGAAGCAATACCCGGCATATCACGTTCAGCTCGCCCTCGAACTGGGTTGGAACAAGCAAGTGCGCCGGAACACGTCTCCAACCGTCACCAGAAACGACGATCAAGTGCTCCAGAAACGATGTCTGATGACGAAGAAGATGCGAGCGTCTACGATCAAGATGACGACTCGACGCCTCCAACATTTTGGCGTGCAAGTGCAAACGCAGTGGAAGCAACGGACCTAGCAGAACCTGTGACTTTTCAAGACGCGATCAATGGTCCTGATCAAGCTCACTGGCGAAATGCTGTGAAGGCGGAACTCAAGTCGATGCATCTTCGTGGAGTTTTCCGTGCGGCAAAACTGCCAAGAGGCCAAGGCGCGATCGGCACCAAGTGGGTGTTCAAGATCAAGCGCAAAGCGGATGGATCGGTCGAGAAATACAAGGCGCGTCTCGTTGCCAAGGGCTTCAAGCAGAAGTACGGCATCGACTACACAGAGACGTTCTCGCCCGTGGTCAAGTACGTGACACTGCGTATGGTGATCGCGATCACCAAGTCTTTCGACTGGCCACTGGACCAACTCGACGTGGTGACAGCCTTTCTCTACGGAGTGATGAAGGAGAAGGTGTACTGCGTGATACCAGAAGGCGTCGAGATGGATGGCGACTTCGACTGTCTCGAGTTGGTGAAGGCGATCTACGGTCTCAAGCAAGCTTCACGTGTGTGGAACGAGACTTTCGACGAGTTCGTATGCTCTATCGGTTTCGAAGCGTCGGCGTTCGACCCATGTCTACATCAAGGTTGTCGACGGTCACTGTGTGCTCGTGCTGGTCTACGTGGATGACGTGTTGGTCACCGGCAGCTCGCTCGAGTTGATTGCGCAGACGAAGGCCGACCTCAAGACGCGTTTCGAGATGACCGACAGTGGCAAGTGTACTTTTGTACTGGGCATCGAACTGGTGGACGAATCGGATGGCAGCGTGACGATGTGCCAGCGACGGTATGTCAACGACATCCTCAAGCGCTTCGGCATGGATGAGTGCAAGGCCGCAGCAAGTCCGGTCGACTTGAGCACTCGGCTTGTCGCAAGCAGCGAAGCGGCCAAGATCGACGTTCCGTGTCGTAAAGCTGTGGGAGCTTTGATGCACTTGACGACTGCGACGCGCCCGGACATTGCGTATGCTGTGGGGTACGTCTCGCTTCATGGAGAATTCGCAGCAAGAACATTGGACGGCGGTGAAGCGCATCTTTCGTTACTTGCAAGGGACCAAGTCGCACGGACTCCGCTTCCAGCCAAGCGACAAGATCGACTTTCGTGGCCACTCGGACACGGACTGGGCCGGCGACCACGCTGATCGCAAGTCGACTTCGGGTTACACTTTCATGCTGATGGGCGCTCCTGTGAGTTGGGGAAGCAAGAAGCAGTCAAGTGTGTCGCTGTCGACGAGTGAAGCGGAATACATCGCACTGAGTCTGGCCATCCAGGAAGGCAAGTGGGTGCATCGCCTGCTATGCGAGATTTTGGCGGCCGCAAACGAACCAGGACCGGACCTCGTCATCCGTGAAGACAACCAGTCGTGCATCAAGATAACGAAGAATCCGGTGAATCGTGGCCGCGCCAAGCACATCGACATCAAGTACCATCACATCCGTGATGAGGTCAAGCGCGGTGAAGTGCAGCTCGAGTATCGCGAGACTTCCGTGATGATGGCTGACATCACGACCAAAGGACTTTCTGGACCTCGCCACAAGGACTTGACGACGGCTCTCGGCATTCGTGCGAGTTCGGATTGAGGGGGCGTGTTGACGGTCATCGGTTTCCTACCAGTATTGGTAACCGTGACCGATCCAATCCGAACCGCCTGTTCAGCTTAGTAGTTACGACGTAGTTCTTACGGTAATTACCATAGTTGATTAGACGCATAGGATGATGAGACGCTTCACATGATTTACATGTGCACCACATATAAATCATGTAGTAAGTAGTAAGCCCCGATAATCAATCACTTTCCAATCTTCCATCTACCCCCAAGTGTCTTCTCCGGTCTTCCGAGTGGACTCCCAGCATCCCTCCCAGTTTCGGTCGCCAAGCTTAACACCTTTCAACAGAGTTTGCGCTACAATTAGAGATTACCGACAAACCGTACTGATTATTTCCGGTGGTGCATATCTCGAAGTTAAAAAAGGTAAAGACTTACTCTGATCGCCTCACTAACGTGTTGAGAGCGACGGAAGCGAAATCGAGTCTTTGATGAGGCGATCCTACCAAAAGAAAGATTGAAGAAGGATCTTGAAGATAACGAATAAGAAGTAGAGAGGCTCGCCGATGTGAATCCGGCCGGAAAACCTGTTTCGGGCAAAGATGTCGACAGTTTCCGGTTTATCAAAAAAATTAGGTGATTTAGATCGGTTGGATAAAGCGGATCTTAATTGTGGCACTCTGTTGCTGGATTTAGATCGCAGTTGTGCTAGTAGAAATCGGTTCGAAATGATGCAGTCTTACGAAGAAGGATTGCAGAATGAACGGTCCCATGATTGTTTAAGGGAAGGCGGACCTATGCAGGATAGCTGCATAGAGATGGTGTTAAAGATGTGAACACAGGCAGAGTGGCTACATAGAGATGATTAAAGGGATTTATGTTGAATAATTGTGACGATCAAGGTACATCGGACTCCGGGCCGCGGCCTAAATGCCTAAAAAAGGGAGTCAATTCAAAGGAAGATCGTGGAGTAAAACAGGAAGCTTGTATCGTCAATGTAAAAAAAGGAAGAGTCAATATCACTGCGGAAAGAATTCGCCTGAGAGACGTGGGATCAGGGTGCTGATCCAACAACCTTCGGTACTAGTTGCGTTAAGGCTCGGCATGATCCAATATTGAAAACGCCGAAGCCAAATTCGGGATGTTTATACTTTTTGATCCTTGACCAGGATACCAAGAACGTCTTGTTCCTGGACCAGGTAAGTGTATGAAGAAAGGATCAAGCAAGATGTCGAGATTGCAATGCCCAAGGATCATCCCTTGTAAGATTACTTGTAGAAGGGTTTTTCACCGAGGTCCACTACGGTATCTTCGATTCGTGCGCTGACGGACGTAACGAGTCAGATCAGGATCGCCTTGCCGTTGACTGGAAGGTACATGCAGCAAATAAGTAAATCCCCACAACGCTTGCGCATACTTATCCACGACATCGCGGTAGTGAATAAATTAATACTCGGAACTATCCGTCCGATTTCAACGAGATCGGTTTAAAGACAATCTTTGAGATGGTCCAATGCTCTTGGGTGTAGGACGTCGAGATCTGCGCGAACGTGACCACGCTAGGCATTCATTCACCGTCGGAAGGTACCTGATCCGGATGGAGGGATGACGTGTCAGGCGGATCCACTAGAGGCAAAGCCGAAGACTCCAAGGCAGATTTGCGGCGAAGTAGGAGTGGGCGAGGGGTTCATGATGCCAAAAAGCTACGGACAGGGTGTACATTTAAACTGACACTGCCTTTCAGCTAATGGCACAGGGAAAGATTGTGGAAAAGCGAACCAGAGAATGAAGAAAAGCTGAAGAAGGATTACCAGAAGATCCCGATCAAGTACAAATTGGACGGGTGGATCACAACTGCCAGACCTGACCTATTGCGTGATCCGGTCTGAGAAGGAATCCAATTTTAGAGGTGATTCACTTGTGAGTGGATGTAGGATCCGGATCAAGAGATGATTAAGGAGCAAGATCGAAGGATCCCAATCCCGGATCTTAGCCAAGGTGGATCCGGATCAAAAGTGGGATACAAGATCCAGATCTGAGCCAGGGGTAGGGGATTAATCTAGGGACCAGCGGTGTGCAAGAGACAGGGGTGCCTGACTGGCGACACATGGCAAGTACCTTCTACATCGATAGGCTTTGTCGTAGATTTAGCAGAATGGTTGGTTAACATTAAACAGAGTAAAATTACTTCACAAGACACGCGTCGCTTCTTCAGACAGGAACTTTGGCCTCCCGACGATCAAGAACCGCGTGTCGTCTACACATGGATTGCACCTGAATTGTTTGGCCAGGAGCATACAAGGACTCTCAAAAACAACAAGCCAACTGCGATAAGACGCCGCAAGAACGCAAGGAGGGTCAAGATCGCGAGACGGCTCAACTGGTCAGAAGGTCAATCAGATCAAGATCTACGTTTGGAAAAGACGATCTCAACGAGATCCGGGTATCTTATATCGAGTACCTCCAAGTAACCAGTGATCAAGTGAGGATTTCCACGCGATCATTTCATCCCCAACCACGGTCAAGCTAGGTGTCGACACGAGTCCACCTAGAATAGTGCAACCCGCCCTACCGACGGGTAAATAAGATGAGGAAGAAATCAAGCACGGAAACGGAGTACCCCCCCCCCGATATTTGGTCGTCTGGGCACCAGTGGAGAGGCGGGATTACATCAGAATTTTTCTAACCCCTCTTTACCTGTTGCATGGCAGAGAGCGGAGTGAAGGGAGCGGAGAGACTGACGAGAGCAGAGCAGAAGACACTTGCTCACTAGTTGAAAGATTCGAAAGTGATTGATTATCGGGGCTTACTGCTTACTACATTATTTATATGTGGTGTACATATAAATCATGTGAAGCTTCTCGTCATCCTACTCGTCTGACCAACTATGGATACTTACCGTAAGAATTACATCGTAAATTATAAGCTGAGCAGGCGGTTTGCAGTGGGGTTCGGATTGAACCGGTCGCGGTTACCAGTACTGGTAGAAAACCGATGACCGCCAACACGCCCCCTCAATCCGAACGTGGACAGATGCCTAGCGCCGCCGTTAATTCCTTGTGGCACGGTCGGTGAATTGCCTCGATCATGATGTCGGCCATCATCACCGTCGTCTTGCAGTATTCAAGCTTCACTTCACCGCGCTTGACTTCATCGCGAATGTGATGGTACGTGATATCAATGCGTTTGGCGCGGCCCTGATTAACCGGATTCTTGGTCATTTGATGCAAGGCTATTTGTCTTCACGGATCATGAGCTCGGGTCCATACTCGTTAGCAGCCGTTACGATCTCGCATAGTAAGCAGTGGATCCACTTGCCTTCTTGAGTCGCCAGACTCAAGCGCAATGTACTCCGCTTCACTTGTAGACAGTGACACACTTGGCTGCTTCTTGCTGCCCCAACTCACTGAAGCACCCAATAGCATGAAGACGTATCCAGACGTTGACTTGCGATCAGTAAGGTCGCCGGACCAGTCTGCGTCCGAACAGCCACGAAAGTCGATCTTCACACTTGGCCTGTAGCAAATTCCATGCATCTTGGTGCCTTGTAGGTAGCGAAAGATGCGCTTGACCGCGACCCAGTGTTCTTCTTGGGGATTCTCCATGAAGCGCGACACAAAGCTCACAGCATAGGCAATGTCCGGTCGTGTTGTAGTCGTCAGATGCATCAAAGCACCAACAGCTTCACGGAATGGAACATCGATCTTGCTCGCACTGTTGCTTGACACCAGTCGAGAGCTGACATCCACAGGAATTGCCACAGCCTTGCACTCCTCCAATCCAAAGCACCTGAGGTATCATTGACATAACGGCGCTGACACAGAGTCACACTGCCGTCTTCACCGTCCAGAATCTCGATCCCAAGAGCAAATGCACACTTGTCGCTGTCTGTCATCTCGAAACGTGTCTTCAGGTCGTTCTTGGTTCGTCTAATTAGCTCGAGCGAGCTTCCAGTCACCAAAACGTCGTCCACGTAGACCAATACAAACACACAATGGCCGTCCGAAGTCTTGATGTAGAGACATGGGTCGAAGCCTGACACTTGAAATCCAATGGAGCACACAAACTCGTCGAATGTCGCATTCCACACTCGCGACGCTTGCTTGAGGCCGCAAATTGACTTCACCAATTCAAGGCAGTCGAACGTACTATCAAGTTCAACGCCTTCAGGAATCACACAGAACACTTGTCCATCAATGAAGCCGTACAGAAAAGCCGTCACCACATCGAGCTGGTCGATGGGCCATCCAAAGTGCTTGGAAATTGCGATCACCATTCGCAGTGTCACATGTTTGACCACGAGCGAAAATGTCTCCGTGCAGTCGATGCCATACTTTTGGCTAAAGCCCTTGGCCACAAGTCGTGCCTAGTACTTCTCGATTGACCCACCCGCCTTGAGCTTGATCTTGAACACCCATTTTGTGCCAATGGCGCGTTGTCCGTTGGGAAGCTTGGCGACACAAAACACACTGCGAAGTCGCGTTGACTCGAGCTCTGCATGAATAGCTTGACCAATAAACTTGGTCAAGGCCGCTCACTGCCGCCTCAAATGTTGAGGGCTCCGATAAGTCCGCTGCTGTTTCAACGGCATTCGCACTCGCACAACAAAACACAGGCGGAGTTGATTCATCAGAATCCTTCGTTTCTTCGTCTTCTTCTTGGCGTGACGAGTTGCTTTCCGGCGCGCTTGACTTTTCTAGTCCGGGTCGTTGACGCACTGCACGCGGTCGTGGAGCTGCTGTATCTTCATCACTGAGGCGGTTTTTGCGCTTGCCTGTTTGCTTGTACTCCACCAGACGCGGCTCTTCATCATTGAGGTCAAGCAATTCGAAGTCCAGGTCATCGGCATCTTCATCAGTGATCAGCAGCGGCAGTCCAAAGGTGGACTCGTCGAAGCTGACATCGCGACTGATAACCACCTTCACCGCCCGATGTCATAAACTCGATACGCCTTCGACATATTCGTAACCCACGAATATGCCAGCGCGAGCCTTTGGATCCCACGTGAGTCGATTCTCCTTTGGCGTCAGTATGTACGTCTGACACCCGAATGCTCGCGTGTGCTTGACGCTTGGTTTCAAGTTGTAGGCAATCTCAAACGGGGTCTTGTGTACGACTCTAGGTGACGGCAGTCGATTCTTGACGTAGTTGGACGTCATCTCTGCTTTCAGCTCAGAAACACTTGTTCAGTTTGGCATGATGAAACATGCTGCGGCCGATCGTGACGATAGTCCTAATGGCACGCTCTGCTGTTCCGTCGGTTTGACGTTTACATGGAAGCGTTGTATGCTGTTCAATGCCTTTGTCTTCGTAGAAAATACGAAGCGAGTTGGTTGCGAACTCGCGGGTCCGTCTTGTCGCACAGACTTGACCTTCTTACTGAACTGCGTCTGTACCATAGTGATGTACTTACAGATGTAGTCTTCACTCTCGGACTCCACTCGTAAAGACAAGCCCTTCATACATCCACTGGCTTCGTCTACGATCAGTAGCAAATATCTGCTGGCACCGAGCGAATCGTTTTTCATGGGCCCACAGATGTCCTGGTGAAGCAGCTCGAACGATTTTTAGTTACGCTTGTCGCGTTTGCTCGATAATGGTTTTTGGACCATTTTCCCTTGTTGACACCCTCGACATACAATTGTTCCACCCGACTTAAAATGGACTCGAATATCCTTGATTACGTTGTTCTTGATCATCTTGCGAAGTACGTCGAGTGGAGCGTGACCCATTCGCGCATGTAGATCAGCACAGCTGTTTCCACTTAATGTCACATTTGCTGATCGCTGAGTCGTACGAAGCCAGTGAAGTCCATCCACGAGATCTGCTGTCTCCACCACTTTCTGTGAGTTCTTGCGAGTCACAAACATCTTGGACCCGTCAAAAATGACTTGGAACTTGCCATGCCTGTTAACATGTGGCACCGAAAGCAGGTTCTTGCTCATGCTTGGGACACATAACGAGTTCTTGATCTCGATCTCGCGCTCTTCACCATTAGGCAGAACCACCTTTTTCACGATGGTTCCCACACCCTTGATGGTCACCTTGTTGCCATCAGCCACCAAAAAGTCGCCTTCATTGCGCTCTTCCAAACTTGCAAACTTAGTCATGTCGTGGCAAATGTAGTGCGTTGCATCACTGTCGACGGCCCACATTCTAGACACGTCCTTGCTCGTCGAAACCCCACACTTGAACGAGACTGCAAACGTCACTCGATCGTAGCCATTAACTTCATCATTGTTTACCCACTGGACGTTATAGCCCCGCGTCCACGACCATTGCCACCGCGTCGAGCTCCTCGACCTTCGTTCTTCTGCTTTGTCCAGCAACGATCCACCGTGTGTTCCACCTTACCACAATGCGTGCATTGGTAGGGCTCGCGCTCTGTGCTGAATGCCTTGCTTGCATCTTCAGCCTTCAGCCTTCACCGTAGTCGCTGTTGTTGTCCCTTTTTCTCCTCGACGCTCGGCGTGCTCATTCGTCAGCACTCTCACCACACCTTGGGTACGAAGCTCGGCGCTGCTCGTTTTCTTGTTGAGCACCACATTTTCGTAGCTCTTTGAAAGACAGAGCAGCAGACAGATTGCAACGTCTTCGTCTTCCATCTTCGTACCGATGCCGCTAAGCTTGGCGGAGATGTTGAGGACTTTTTTGCAGTGGTGCGTGACGTCTGCACCTTCAGTCATCGTAATGCTGAAAAGTTGTCGCTTGAGGAAGATGCGTCCTGCCTTCTGCGACCCACCGCACAGCATCTTCAGAGGTGTCCACGCAACCCACGCTTCTTCGTAGTTGTCAAGCACATGGTGATAATTTGCATTTATGTGTAGCAGCATCATACCAAATGCGACGTTGCTCGACTTGATATATTCATCTCGGACGCTCGCGGGTCGGTGAAAGTCGGAGTCGCTTCACGATTTACGACGTGCCAGACGGACTTCGTCAAAAACACTGCGCATATATCGACTCCTAGTCGCATAGTTGTCTCCATTGAACTTATCAATGGAGACGTTGGATGATGCGTTAGTGGACGACATGACGCTTGGTCTCATAACCCTTTTGCATGGCAGAGAGCGGATCGAAGTGAGCGGAGAGACTGACGAGAGCAGAGCAGAAGACACTTGCTCACTAGTTAAAAGATTCGAAAGTGATTTATTATCGGGGCTTACTGCTTACTACATTATTTATATGTGGTGTACATATAAATCATGTGAAGCTTCTCGTCATCCTACACGTCTGACCAACTATGGATACTTACCGTAAGAATTACGTCGTAAATAATAAGCTGAGCAGGCGGTTTGCAGTGGGGTTCGGATTGAACCGGTCGAGGTTACCAGTACTGGTAGAAAACCGATGACCGCCAACACGCCCCCTCAATCCGAACGTGGACAGATGTCTAGCGCCGCCGTTAATTCCTTGTGGTTCAGTCGGTGAATTGCCTCGATCATAATGTCGGCCATCATCACCGTCGTCTTGCAGTATTCAAGCTTCACTTCACCGCGCTTGACTTCATCGCGAATGTGATGGTATGTGATATCAATGCGTTTGGCGCGGCCTTGATTAACCGGATTCTTGGTCATTTGATGCAAGGCTATTTGTCTTCACGGATCATGAGCTCGGGTCCGTACTCGTTAGCAGCCGCCATGATCTTGCACAGTAAGCAGTGGATCCACTTGCCTTCTTGAGTCGCCAGACTCAAGCGCAATGTACTCCGCTTCACTTGTAGACAGTGACACACTTGGCTGCTTCTTGCTGCACCAACTCACTGGAGCACCCAATAGTATGAAGACGTATCCAGACGTTGACTTGCGATCAGTAAGGTCGCCGGACCAGTCTGCGTCCGAATAACCACGAAAGTCGATCTTCACACTTGGCTTGTAGCAAATTCCATGCATCTTGGTGCCTTGTAGGTATCAAATAGTGAGCTTGCCCTTGACCCAGTGTTCTTCTTGGGGATTCTCCAGGTATCGAAAGAAGCGCTTGACCGCAACCCAGTGTTCTTCTTGGGGATTCTCCATGAAGCGCGACACAAAGCTCACAGCATAGGCGATGTCCGGCCTTGTTGTAGTCGTCAGATGCATCAAAGCGCCAACAGCTTCACGGAATGGAACATCGATCTTGCTCGCAGTGTTCCTTGACATCATTCGAGAGCTGACATCCACAGGACTTGCCACAGCCTTGCACTCCTCCAATCCAAAGCACTTGAGGTATCATTGACATAACGGCGCTGACACAGAGTCACACTGCCGTCTTCACCGTCCAGAATCTCGATCCCAAGAGCAAATGCACACTTGTCGCTGTCTGTCATCTCGAAACGTGTCTTCAGGTCGTTCTTGGTTCGTCTAATTAGCTCGAGCGAGCTTCCAGTCACCAAAACGTCGTCCACGTAGACCAATACAAACACACAATGGCCGTCCGAAGTCTTGATGTAGAGACATGGGTCGAAGTCCGATACTTGAAATCCAATGGAGTACACAAACTCGTCGAATGTCGCATTCCACACTCGCGACGCTTGCTTGAGGCCGCAAATTGACTTCACCAATTCAAGGCAGTCGAACGTACTATCAAGTTCAACGCCTTCAGGAATCACACAGAACACTTGTCCATCAATGAAGCCGTACAGAAAAGCCGTCACCACATCGAGCTGGTCGATGGGCCATCCAAAGTGCTTGGAAATTGCGATCACCATTCGCAGTGTCACATGTTTGACCACGAGCGAAAATGTCTCCGTGCAGTCGATGCCATACTTTTGGCTAAAGCCCTTGGCCACAAGTCGTGCCTAGTACTTCTCGATTGACCCACCCGCCTTGAGCTTGATCTTGAACACCCATTTTGTGCCAATGGCGCGTTGTCCGTTGGGAAGCTTGGCGACACAAAACACACTGCGAAGTCGCGTTGACTCGAGCTCTGCATGAATAGCTTGACCAATAAACTTGGTCAAGGCCGCTCACTGCCGCCTCAAATGTTGAGGGCTCCGATAAGTCCGCTGCTGTTTCAACGGCATTCGCACTCGCACAACAAAACACAGGCGGAGTTGATTCATCAGAGTCCTTCGTTTCTTCGTCTTCTTCTTGGCGTGACGAGTTGCTTTCCGGCGCGCTTGACTTTTCTAGTCCGGGTCGTTGACGCACTGCACGCGGTCGTGGAGCTGCTGTATCTTCATCACTGAGGCGGTTTTTGCGCTTGCCTGTTTGCTTGTACTCCACCAGACGCGGCTCTTCATCATTGAGGTCAAGCAATTCGAAGTCCAGGTCATCGGCATCTTCATCAGTGATCAGCAGCGGAAGTCCAAAGGTGGACTCGTCGAAGCTGACATCGCGACTGATAACCACCTTCACCGCCTTGATGTCATAAACTCGATACGCCTTCGACATATTCGTAACCCACGAATATGCCAGCGCGAGCCTTTGGATCCCACGTGAGTCGATTCTCCTTTGGCGTCAGTATGTGCGTCTGACACCCGAATGTTCGCATGTGCTTGACGCTTGGTTTCAAGTTGTAGGCGATCTCAAACGGGGTCTTGTGTACGACTCTAGGTGACGGCAGTCGATTCTTGACGTAGATGGCCGTCATCGCTGCTTTCAGCTCAGAAACACTTGTTCAGTTTGGCATGATGAAACATGCTGCGGCCGATCGTGACGATAGTCCTAATGGCACGCTCTGCTGTTCCGTCGGTTTGACGTTTACATGGAAGCGTTGTCTGCTGTTCAATGTCTTTGTCTTCGTAGAAAATACGAAGCGAGTTGGTTGCGAACTCGCGGGTCCGTCTTGTCGCACAGACTTGACCTTCTTACTGAACTGCGTCTGTACCATAGTGATGTACTTACAGATGTAGTCTTCACTCTCGGACTCCACTCGTAAAGACAAGCCCTTCATACATCCACTGGCTTGTCTACGATCAGTAGCAAATATCTGCTGGCACCGAGCGAATCGTTTTTCATGGGCCCACAGATGTCCTGATGAAGCAGCTCGAACGATTTTTAGTTACGCTTGTCGCGTTTGCTCGATAATGGTTTTTGGACCATTTTCCCTTGTTGACACCCTCGACATACAATTGTTCCACCCGACTTAAAATGGACTCGAATATCCTTGATTACGTTGTTCTTGATCATCTTGCGAAGTACGTCGAGTGGAGCGTGACCCATTCGCGCATGTAGATCAGCACAGCTGTTTCCACTTAATGTCACATTTGCTGATCGCTGAGTCGTACGAAGCCAGTGAAGTCCATCCACGAGATCTGCTGTCTCCACCACTTTCTGTGAGTTCTTGCGAGTCACAAACATCTTGGACCCGTCAAAAATGACTTGGAACTTGCCATGCCTGTTAACATGTGGCACCGAAAGCAGGTTCTTGCTCATGCTTGGGACACATAACGAGTTCTTGATCTCGATCTCGCGCTCTTCACCATTAGGCAGAACCACCTTTTTCACGATGGTTCCCACACCCTTTATGGTCACCTTGTTGCCATCAGCCACCAAAAAGTCGCCTTCATTGCGCTCTTCCAAACTTGCAAACTTAGTCATGTCGTGGCAAATGTAGTGCGTTGCATCACTGTCGACGGCCCACATTCTAGACACGTCCTTGCTCGTCGAAACCCCACAATTGAACGAGACTGCAAACGTCACTCGATCGTAGCCATTAACTTCATCATTGTTTACCCACTGGACGTTATAGCCCCGCGTCCACGACCATTGCCACCGCGTCGAGCTCCTCGACCTTCGTTCTTCTGCTTTGTCCAGCAACGATCCACCGTGTGTTCCACCTTACCACAATGCGTGCATTGGTAGGGCTCGCGCTCTGTGCTGAATGCCTTGCTTGCATCTTCAGCCTTCAGCCTTCACCGTAGTCGCTGTTGTTGTCCCTTTTTCTCCTCGACGCTCGGCGTGCTCATTCGTCAGCACTCTCACCACACCTTGGGTACGAAGCTCGGCGCTGCTCGTTTTCTTGTTGAGCACCACATTTTCGTAGCTCTTTGAAAGACAGAGCAGCAGACAGATTGCAACGTCTTCGTCTTCCATCTTCGTACCGATGCCGCTAAGCTTGGCGGAGATGTTGAGGACTTTTTGCAGTGGTGCGTGACGTCTGCACCTTCAGTCATCTTGATGCTGAAAAGTTGTCGCTTGAGGAAGATGCGTCCTGCCTTCTGCGACCCAACGCACAGCATCTTCAGAGGTGTCCACGCAACCCACGCTTCTTCGTAGTTGTCAAGCACATGGTGATAATTTGCATTTATGTGTAGCAGCATCATACCAAATGCGACGTTGCTCGACTTGATATATTCATCTCGGACGCTCGCGGGTCGGTGAAAGTCGGAGTCGCTTCACGATTTACGACGTGCCAGACGGACTTCGTCAAAAACACTGCGCATATATCGACTCCTAGTCGCATAGTTGTCTCCATTGAACTTATCAATGGAGACGTTGGATGATGCGTTAGTGGACGACATGACGCTTGGTCTCATAACCTTTTGCATGGCAGAGAGCGGATCGAAGTGAGCGGAGAGACTGACGAGAGCAGAGCAGAAGACACTTGCTCACTAGTTAAAAGATTCGAAAGTGATTTATTATCGGGGCTTACTGCTTACTACATTATTTATATGTGGTGTACATATAAATCATGTGAAGCTTCTCGTCATCCTACACGTCTGACCAACTATGGATACTTACCGTAAGAATTACGTCGTAAATAATAAGCTGAGCAGGCGGTTTGCAGTGGGGTTCGGATTGAACCGGTCGAGGTTACCAGTACTGGTAGAAAACCGATGACCGCCAACACGCCCCCTCAATCCGAACGTGGACAGATGTCTAGCGCCGCCGTTAATTCCTTGTGGTTCAGTCGGTGAATTGCCTCGATCATAATGTCGGCCATCGTCACCTTCGTCTTGCAGTATTCAAGCTTCACTTCACCGCGCTTGACTTCATCGCGAATGTGATGGTATGTGATATCAATGCGTTTGGCGCGGCCTTGATTAACCGGATTCTTGGTCATTTGATGCAAGGCTATTTGTCTTCACGGATCATGAGCTCGGGTCCGTACTCGTTAGCAGCCGCCATGATCTTGCACAGTAAGCAGTGGATCCACTTGCCTTCTTGAGTCGCCAGACTCAAGCGCAATGTACTCCGCTTCACTTGTAGACAGTGACACACTTGGCTGCTTCTTGCTGCACCAACTCACTGGAGCACCCAATAGTATGAAGACGTAGCCAGACGTTGACTTGTGATCAGTAAGGTCGCCGGACCAGTCTGCGTCCGAATAACCACGAAAGTCGATCTTCACACTTGGCTTGTAGCAAATTCCATGCATCTTGGTGCCTTGTAGGTATCAAATAGTGAGCTTGCCCTTGACCCAGTGTTCTTCTTGGGGATTCTCCAGGTATCGAAAGAAGCGCTTGACCGCAACCCAGTGTTCTTCTTGGGGATTCTCCATGAAGCGCGACACAAAGCTCACAGCATAGGCGATGTCCGGCCTTGTTGTAGTCGTCAGATGCATCAAAGCGCCAACAGCTTCACGGAATGGAACATCGATCTTGCTCGCAGTGTTGCTTGACATCATTCGAGAGCTGACATCCACAGGACTCGCCACAGCCTTGCACTCCTCCAATCCAAAGCACTTGAGGTATCATTGACATAACGGCGCTGATACAGAGTCACACTGCCGTCTTCACCGTCCAGAATCTCGATCCCAAGAGCAAATGCACACTTGTCGCTGTCTGTCATCTCGAAACGTGTCTTCAGGTCGTTCTTGGATCGTGCTATTAGCTCGAGCGAGCTTCCAGTCACCAAAACGTCGTCCACGTAGACCAATACAAACACACAATGGCCGTCCGAAGTCTTGATGTAGAGACATGAGTCGAAGTCCGATACTTGAAATCCAATGGAGTACACAAACTCGTCGAATGTCGCATTCCACACTCGCGACGCTTGCTTGAGGCCGCAAATTGACTTCACCAATTCAAGGCAGTCGAACGTACTATCAAGTTCAACGCCTTCAGGAATCACACAGAACACTTGTCCATCAATGAAGCCGTACAGAAAAGCCGTCACCACATCGAGCTGGTCGATGGGCCATCCAAAGTGCTTGGAAATTGCGATCACCATTCGCAGTGTCACATGTTTGACCACGAGCGAAAATGTCTCCGTGCAGTCGATGCCATACTTTTGGCTAAAGCCCTTGGCCACAAGTCGTGCCTAGTACTTCTCGATTGACCCACCCGCCTTGAGCTTGATCTTGAACACCCATTTTGTGCCAATGGCGCGTTGTCCGTTGGGAAGCTTGGCGGCACAAAACACACTGCGAAGTCGCGTTGACTCGAGCTCTGCATGAATAGCTTGACCAATAAACTTGGTCAAGGCCGCTCACTGCCGCCTCAAATGTTGAGGGCTCCGATAAGTCCGCTGCTGTTTCAACGGCATTCGCACTCGCACAACAAAACACAGGCGGAGTTGATTCATCAGAATCCTTCGTTTCTTCGTCTTCTTCTTGGCGTGACGAGTTGCTTTCCGGCGCGCTTGACTTTTCTAGTCCGGGTCGTTGACGCACTGCACGCGGTCGTGGAGCTGCTGTATCTTCATCACTGAGGCGGTTTTTGCGCTTGCCTGTTTGCTTGTACTCCACCAGACGCGGCTCTTCATCATTGAGGTCAAGCAATTCGAAGTCCAGGTCATCGGCATCTTCATCAGTGATCAGCAGCGGCAGTCCAAAGGTGGACTCGTCGAAGCTGACATCGCGACTGATAACCACCTTCACCGCCCGATGTCATAAACTCGATACGCCTTCGACATATTCGTAACCCACGAATATGCCAGCGCGAGCCTTTGGATCCCACGTGAGTCGATTCTCCTTTGGCGTCAGTATGTACGTCTGACACCCGAATGCTCGCGTGTGCTTGACGCTTGGTTTCAAGTTGTAGGCAATCTCAAACGGGGTCTTGTGTACGACTCTAGGTGACGGCAGTCGATTCTTGACGTAGTTGGACGTCATCTCTGCTTTCAGCTCAGAAACACTTGTTCAGTTTGGCATGATGAAACATGCTGCGGCCGATCGTGACGATAGTCCTAATGGCACGCTCTGCTGTTCCGTCGGTTTGACGTTTACATGGAAGCGTTGTCTGCTGTTCAATGCCTTTGTCTTCGTAGAAAATACGAAGCGAGTTGGTTGCGAACTCGCGGGTCCGTCTTGTCGCACAGACTTGACCTTCTTACTGAACTGCGTCTGTACCATAGTGATGTACTTACAGATGTAGTCTTCACTCTCGGACTCCACTCGTAAAGACAAGCCCTTCATACATCCACTGGCTTCGTCTACGATCAGTAGCAAATATCTGCTGGCACCGAGCGAATCGTTTTTCATGGGCCCACAGATGTCCTGATGAAGCAGCTCGAACGATTTTTAGTTACGCTTGTCGCGTTTGCTCGATAATGGTTTTTGGACCATTTTCCCTTGTTGACACCCTCGACATACAATTGTTCCACCCGACTTAAAATGGACTCGAATATCCTTGATTACGTTGTTCTTGATCATCTTGCGAAGTACGTCGAGTGGAGCGTGACCCATTCGCGCATGTAGATCAGCACAGCTGTTTCCACTTAATGTCACATTTGCTGATCGCTGAGTCGTACGAAGCCAGTGAAGTCCATCCACGAGATCTGCTGTCTCCACCACTTTCTGTGAGTTCTTGCGAGTCACAAACATCTTGGACCCGTCAAAAATGACTTGGAACTTGCCATGCCTGTTAACATGTGGCACCGAAAGCAGGTTCTTGCTCATGCTTGGGACACATAACGAGTTCTTGATCTCGATCTCGCGCTCTTCACCATTAGGCAGAACCATTCTTTTCACGATGGTTCCCACACCCTTTATGGTCACCTTGTTGCCATCAGCCACCAAAAAGTCGCCTTCATTGCGCTCTTCCAAACTTGCAAACTTAGTCATGTCGTGGCAAATGTAGTGCGTTGCATCACTGTCGACGGCCCACATTCTAGACACGTCCTTGCTCGTCGAAACCCCACAATTGAACGAGACTGCAAACGTCACTCGATCGTAGCCATTAACTTCATCATTGTTTACCCACTGGACGTTATAGCCCCGCGTCCACGACCATTGCCACCGCGTCGAGCTCCTCGACCTTCGTTCTTCTGCTTTGTCCAGCAACGATCCACCGTGTGTTCCACCTTACCACAATGCGTGCATTGGTAGGGCTCGCGCTCTGTGCTGAATGCCTTGCTTGCATCTTCAGCCTTCAGCCTTCACCGTAGTCGCTGTTGTTGTCCCTTTTTCTCCTCGACGCTCGGCGTGCTCATTCGTCAGCACTCTCACCACACCTTGGGTACGAAGCTCGGCGCTGCTCGTTTTCTTGTTGAGCACCACATTTTCGTAGCTCTTTGAAAGACAGAGCAGCAGACAGATTGCAACGTCTTCGTCTTCCATCTTCGTACCGATGCCGCTAAGCTTGGCGGAGATGTTGAGGACTTTTTTGCAGTGGTGCGTGACGTCTGCACCTTCAGTCATCTTGATGCTGAAAAGTTGTCGCTTGAGGAAGATGCGTCCTGCCTTCTGCGACCCAACGCACAGCATCTTCAGAGGTGTCCACGCAACCCACGCTTCTTCGTAGTTGTCAAGCACATGGTGATAATTTGCATTTATGTGTAGCAGCATCATACCAAATGCGACGTTGCTCGACTTGATATATTCATCTCGGACGCTCGCGGGTCGGTGAAAGTCGGAGTCGCTTCACGATTTACGACGTGCCAGACGGACTTCGTCAAAAACACTGCGCATATATCGACTCCTAGTCGCATAGTTGTCTCCATTGAACTTATCAATGGAGACGTTGGATGATGCGTTAGTGGACGACATGACGCTTGGTCTCATAACCTTTTGCATGGCAGAGAGCGGATCGAAGTGAGCGGAGAGACTGACGAGAGCAGAGCAGAAGACACTTGCTCACTAGTTAAAAGATTCGAAAGTGATTTATTATCGGGGCTTACTGCTTACTACATTATTTATATGTGGTGTACATATAAATCATGTGAAGCTTCTCGTCATCCTACACGTCTGACCAACTATGGATACTTACCGTAAGAATTACGTCGTAAATAATAAGCTGAGCAGGCGGTTTGCAGTGGGGTTCGGATTGAACCGGTCGCGGTTACCAGTACTGGTAGAAAACCGATGACCGCCAACACGCCCCTTCAATCCGAACGTGGACAGATGTCTAGCGCCGCCGTTAATTCCTTGTGGTGCAGTCGGTGAATTGCCTCGATCATAATGTCGGCCATCATCACCTTCGTCTTGCAGTATTCAAGCTTCACTTCACCGCGCTTGACTTCATCGCGAATGTGATGGTATGTGATATCAATGCGTTTGGCGCGGCCTTGATTAACCGGATTCTTGGTCATTTGATGCAAGGCTATTTGTCTTCACGGATCATGAGCTCGGGTCCGTACTCGTTAGCAGCCGCCATGATCTTGCATAGTAAGCAGTGGATCCACTTGCCTTCTTGAGTCGCCAGACTCAAGCGCAATGTACTCCGCTTCACTTGTAGACAGTGACACACTTGGCTGCTTCTTGCTGCACCAACTCACTGGAGCACCCAATAGTATGAAGACGTAGCCAGACGTTGACTTGTGATCAGTAAGGTCGCCGGACCAGTCTGCGTCCGAATAACCACGAAAGTCGATCTTCACACTTGGCTTGTAGCAAATTCCATGCATCTTGGTGCCTTGTAGGTATCAAATAGTGAGCTTGCCCTTGACCCAGTGTTCTTCTTGGGGATTCTCCAGGTATCGAAAGAAGCGCTTGACCGCAACCCAGTGTTCTTCTTGGGGATTCTCCACGAAGCGCGACACAAAGCTCACAGCATAGGCGATGTCCGGCCTTGTTGTAGTCGTCAGATGCATCAAAGCGCCAACAGCTTCACGGAATGGAACATCGATCTTGCTCGCAGTGTTGCTTGACATCATTCGAGAGCTGACATCCACAGGACTCGCCACAGCCTTGCACTCCTCCAATCCAAAGCACTTGAGGTATCATTGACATAACGGCGCTGATACAGAGTCACACTGCCGTCTTCACCGTCCAGAATCTCGATCCCAAGAGCAAATGCACACTTGTCGCTGTCTGTCATCTCGAAACGTGTCTTCAGGTCGTTCTTGGATCGTGCTATTAGCTCGAGCGAGCTTCCAGTCACCAAAACGTCGTCCACGTAGACCAATACAAACACACAATGGCCGTCCGAAGTCTTGATGTAGAGACATGAGTCGAAGTCCGATACTTGAAATCCAATGGAGTACACAAACTCGTCGAATGTCGCATTCCACACTCGCGACGCTTGCTTGAGGCCGCAAATTGACTTCACCAATTCAAGGCAGTCGAACGTACTATCAAGTTCAACGCCTTCAGGAATCACACAGAACACTTGTCCATCAATGAAGCCGTACAGAAAAGCCGTCACCACATCGAGCTGGTCGATGGGCCATCCAAAGTGCTTGGAAATTGCGATCACCATTCGCAGTGTCACATGTTTGACCACGAGCGAAAATGTCTCCGTGCAGTCGATGCCATACTTTTGGCTAAAGCCCTTGGCCACAAGTCGTGCCTAGTACTTCTCGATTGACCCACCCGCCTTGAGCTTGATCTTGAACACCCATTTTGTGCCAATGGCGCGTTGTCCGTTGGGAAGCTTGGCGGCACAAAACACACTGCGAAGTCGCGTTGACTCGAGCTCTGCATGAATAGCTTGAACAATAAACTTGGTCAAGGCCGCTCACTGCCGCCTCAAATGTTGAGGGCTCCGATAAGTCCGCTGCTGTTTCAACGGCATTCGCACTCGCACAACAAAACACAGGCGGAGTTGATTCATCAGAATCCTTCGTTTCTTCGTCTTCTTCTTGGCGTGACGAGTTGCTTTCCGGCGCGCTTGACTTTTCTAGTCCGGGTCGTTGACGCACTGCACGCGGTCGTGGAGCTGCTGTATCTTCATCACTGAGGCGGTTTTTGCGCTTGCCTGTTTGCTTGTACTCCATCAGACGCGGCTCTTCATCATTGAGGTCAAGCAATTCGAAGTCCAGGTCATCGGCATCTTCATCAGTGATCAGCAGCGGAAGTCCAAAGGTGGACTCGTCGAAGCTGACATCGCGACTGATAACCACCTGCACCGCCCGATGTCATCAACTCGATACGCCTTCGACATATTCGTAACCCACGAATATGCCAGCGCGAGCCTTTGGATCCCACGTGAGTCGATTCTCCTTTGGCGTCAGTATGTACGTCTGACACCCGAATGCTCGCGTGTGCTTGACGCTTGGTTTCAAGTTGTAGGCAATCTCAAACGGGGTCTTGTGTACGACTCTAGGTGACGGCAGTCGATTCTTGACGTAGATGGCCGTCATCTCTGCTTTCAGCTCAGAAACACTTGTTCAGTTTGGCATGATGAAACATGCTGCGGCCGATCGTGACGATAGTCCTAATGGCACGCTCTGCTGTTCCGTCGGTTTGACGTTTACATGGAAGCGTTGTCTGCTGTTCAATGTCTTTGTCTTCGTAGAAAATACGAAGCGAGTTGGTTGCGAACTCGCGGGTCCGTCTTGTCGCACAGACTTGACCTTCTTACTGAACTGCGTCTGTACCATAGTGATGTACTTACAGATGTAGTCTTCACTCTCGGACTCCACTCGTAAAGACAAGTCCTTCATACATCCACTGGCTTCGTCTACGATCAGTAGCAAATATCTGCTGGCACCGAGCGAATCGTTTTTCATGGGCCCACAGATGTCCTGATGAAGCAGCTCGAACGATTTTTAGTTACGCTTGTCGCGTTTGCTCGATAATGGTTTTTGGACCATTTTCCCTTGTTGACACCCTCGACATACAATTGTTCCACCCGACTTAAAATGGACTCGAATATCCTTGATTACGTTGTTCTTGATCATCTTGCGAAGTACGTCGAGTGGAGCGTGACCCATTCGCGCATGTAGATCAGCACAGCTGTTTCCACTTAATGTCACATTTGCTGATCGCTGAGTCGTACGAAGCCAGTGAAGTCCATCCACGAGATCTGCTGTCTCCACCACTTTCTGTGAGTTCTTGCGAGTCACAAACATCTTGGACCCGTCAAAAATGACTTGGAACTTGCCATGCCTGTTAACATGTGGCACCGAAAGCAGGTTCTTGCTCATGCTTGGGACACATAACGAGTTCTTGATCTCGATCTCGCGCTCTTCACCATTAGGCAGAACCATCTTTTTCACGATGGTTCCCACACCCTTTATGGTCACCTTGTTGCCATCAGCCACCAAAAAGTCGCCTTCATTGCGCTCTTCCAAACTTGCAAACTTAGTCATGTCGTGGCAAATGTAGTGCGTTGCATCACTGTCGACGGCCCACATTCTAGACACGTCCTTGCTCGTCGAAACCCCACAATTGAACGAGACTGCAAACGTCACTCGATCGTAGCCATTAACTTCATCATTGTTTACCCACTGGACGTTATAGCCCCGCGTCCACGACCATTGCCACCGCGTCGAGCTCCTCGACCTTCGTTCTTCTGCTTTGTCCAGCAACGATCCACCGTGTGTTCCACCTTACCACAATGCGTGCATTGGTAGGGCTCGCGCTCTGTGCTGAATGCCTTGCTTGCATCTTCAGCCTTCAGCCTTCACCGTAGTCGCTGTTGTTGTCCCTTTTTCTCCTCGACGCTCGGCGTGCTCATTCGTCAGCACTCTCACCACACCTTGGGTACGAAGCTCGGCGCTGCTCGTTTTCTTGTTGAGCACCACATTTTCGTAGCTCTTTGAAAGACAGAGCAGCAGACAGATTGCAACGTCTTCGTCTTCCATCTTCGTACCGATGCCGCTAAGCTTGGCGGAGATGTTGAGGACTTTTTTGCAGTGGTGCGTGACGTCTGCACCTTCAGTCATCTTGATGCTGAAAAGTTGTCGCTTGAGGAAGATGCGTCCTGCCTTCTGCGACCCAACGCACAGCATCTTCAGAGGTGTCCACGCAACCCACGCTTCTTCGTAGTTGTCAAGCACATGGTGATAATTTGCATTTATGTGTAGCAGCATCATACCAAATGCGACGTTGCTCGACTTGATATATTCATCTCGGACGCTCGCGGGTCGGTGAAAGTCGGAGTCGCTTCACGATTTACGACGTGCCAGACGGACTTCGTCAAAAACACTGCGCATATATCGACTCCTAGTCGCATAGTTGTCTCCATTGAACTTATCAATGGAGACGTTGGATGATGCGTTAGTGGACGACATGACGCTTGGTCTCATAACCTTTTGCATGGCAGAGAGCGGATCGAAGTGAGCGGAGAGACTGACGAGAGCAGAGCAGAAGACACTTGCTCACTAGTTAAAAGATTCGAAAGTGATTTATTATCGGGGCTTACTGCTTACTACATTATTTATATGTGGTGTACATATAAATCATGTGAAGCTTCTCGTCATCCTACACGTCTGACCAACTATGGATACTTACCGTAAGAATTACGTCGTAAATAATAAGCTGAGCAGGCGGTTTGCAGTGGGGTTCGGATTGAACCGGTCGCGGTTACCAGTACTGGTAGAAAACCGATGACCGCCAACACGCCCCTTCAATCCGAACGTGGACAGATGTCTAGCGCCGCCGTTAATTCCTTGTGGTGCAGTCGGTGAATTGCCTCGATCATAATGTCGGCCATCATCACCTTCGTCTTGCAGTATTCAAGCTTCACTTCACCGCGCTTGACTTCATCGCGAATGTGATGGTATGTGATATCAATGCGTTTGGCGCGGCCTTGATTAACCGGATTCTTGGTCATTTGATGCAAGGCTATTTGTCTTCACGGATCATGAGCTCGGGTCCGTACTCGTTAGCAGCCGCCATGATCTTGCATAGTAAGCAGTGGATCCACTTGCCTTCTTGAGTCGCCAGACTCAAGCGCAATGTACTCCGCTTCACTTGTAGACAGTGACACACTTGGCTGCTTCTTGCTGCACCAACTCACTGGAGCACCCAATAGTATGAAGACGTAGCCAGACGTTGACTTGTGATCAGTAAGGTCGCCGGACCAGTCTGCGTCCGAATAACCACGAAAGTCGATCTTCACACTTGGCTTGTAGCAAATTCCATGCATCTTGGTGCCTTGTAGGTATCAAATAATGAGCTTGACCGTGACCCAGTGTTCTTCTTGGGGATTCTCCAGGTATCGAAAGAAGCGCTTGACCGCAACCCAGTGTTCTTCTTGGGGATTCTCCACGAAGCGCGACACAAAGCTCACAGCATAGGCGATGTCCGGCCTTGTTGTAGTCGTCAGATGCATCAAAGCACCAACAGCTTCACGGAATGGAACATCGATCTTGCTCGCAGTATTGCTTGACATCATTCGAGAGCTGACATCCACAGGACTCGTCACAGCCTTGCACTCCTCCAATCCAAAGCACTTGAGGTATCATTGACATAACGGCGCTGACACAGAGTCACACTGCCGTCTTCACCGTCCAGAATCTCGATCCCAAGAGCAAATGCACACTTGTCGCTGTCTGTCATCTCGAAACGTGTCTTCAGGTCGTTCTTGGATCGTGCTATTAGCTCGAGCGAGCTTCCAGTCACCAAAACGTCGTCCACGTAGACCAGTACAAACACACAATGGCCGTCCGAAGTCTTGAAGTAGAGACATGGGTCGAAGTCCGATACCTGAAATCCAATGGAGTACACAAACTCGTCGAATGTCGCATTCCACACTCGCGACGCTTGCTTGAGGCCGCTGTTAAAGTCTGAAGAGCACTGGACGAGAGAACGAAGCTTGAAGAACGCTGAAGAAGTCTGCACTGCGAAGTGTAGACGACTTGTGCTGAAGAAGGAATATTTGGAAGTGAATTTATTTGTGGATTTTGTTAAAGCTACCTGATTTATCTCTGCACTGATTTATATGTTGTCCACATATAAATCATGAATCATAAATCATGTAGATCATCCAATCATCCTATGCGTCTAATCATTGGTAAAAACTCACCGTAATTACGCGGGATCGACTTGGACAGGTTTACGGTTCCCATGGTAGCTGACAGCAGTACCTCAACCGTTAACCCACAATACGCCCCCTCAATGCGAACACGCGTGTATGCCGAGCGCTGCCGTCAAGTCCTTGTGACGCGGTCCTGGCAGTCCCTTCGTCATGATGTCCGCCAACATGATCGTAGTCTCACAGTACTCCAACTTGACATCACCACGCTTGACTTCATCACGAATGTGGTGGTACTTGATGTCGATGTGCTTGGCCCGACCATGGTTCACCGGATTCTTCGTCACCTTGATGCACGACTGGTTGTCGTCCATGTTCTTGAGCTCGGGTCCAGAATTTCCCTCTGCGGTATCCAGAATCTCGCACAGCAATCGATGCACCCACTTGCCTTCTTGAATCGCCAGACTTAGTGCAATGTACTCAGCTTCACTTGTTGACAGCGACACACTTGACTGCTTTTTGCTTCCCCAGCTCACCGGAGCACCCATCAGGATAAACGCGTATCCTGAAGTCGACTTGCGGTCTGCATGGTCGCCGGCCCAGTCTGCATCCGAGTAGCCACAAAAGTCTATCTTGTCATCAGGCTTGAAGCAGATACCGTGCGACTTAGTCCCTTGTAAGTATCGCAAAATGCGCTTGACCGCCATCCAATGCTCGACTTGGGGGTTCTCCATGAAGCGCGAAACGTAACTCACAGCAAAGGCAATGTCCGGTCGTGTCGCGGTCATCAAGTGCATCAGAGCGCCTACTGCTTCACGAAACGGGGCATGGATTTTGGTTGTTGCGGTGCTTGGTATGAGTCGAGAACTGATGTCTGTTGGGCTGGTGACGGCTTTGCAGTCGCTCATGCCAAAACGCTTGAGAACATCTTCCACGTAGCGTCGCTGGCACATCGTCACGCTACCGTCGTCGTTGTCTACCAGCTCGATGCCCAACACGAATGCGCACTTCCCACTGTCGGTCATTTCGAAACGCGCCTTTAAGTCACTCTTGGTGCGCATAATCAGTTCGGTCGAGCTGCCAGTCACCAACACATCATCGACGTATACCAGCAAAAGCACGCACTCGCCACTTGTAATCTTGAGATAAAGACACGGGTCAAAATCGGAGACTTGAAATCCAATGGAGCAGACGAACTCATGAAAAGTCTCGTTCCATACGCGCGATGCTTGTTTTAGTCCGTAGATCGCCTTGACCAGTTCAAAGCAGTCAAAGTCTTCATCAACTTCGACTCCTTCTGGGATCGCGCAGAATACCTTTTCCTTCATTTCTCCGTAAAGGAAAGCTGTCACCACGTCCAGTTGGTCCAGTGTCCAGCCAAGGTACTTCGTGATTGCAACCACCATGCGCAGCGTCACGTACTTGACTACCGGCGAAAACGTTTCCGTGTAGTCGATGCCATATTTCTGCTTGAACCCTTTTGCCACGAGGCGCGCCTTGTATTTCTCGATGGATCCGTCAGCTTTCCGTTTGATCTTGAATACCCACTTGGTGCCAATGGTATGCTGTCCAGACGGCAGTTTGGTCGCTCGAAACACGCCACGAAGTTTCATCGAGTCCAACTCGGCACAGATTGCCTTACGCCAATGCACTTGATCTGGTCCACCAACAGCACCTCCAAACGTTGTCGGCTCAGACAAGTCAGTACCTTCGACTGCATTGGCACTCGCTCGCCAAAAGACTTGAGGTGTAGCATCCTCGTTATCTTCGTCACTGCCCTTTTGCTCTTCGTCCAGATTGTCTCGAGCGCTTGATCGTCGCTTCGCTTGGTGCGATTCAGAGTCATCCGGGGCACTTGCTTCTTCTAATCCGGTTCCACGACGCTCAAGAAGTGTTCGTTGTAGAACTTGTTCTTGACTGTTTGAACGGCTTTTGCGTTTTCCAGTTTGCTTGAACTGCATGGGGTGAGGCTCATCGCTGATGTTCATCGATTCGATATCCAGCGCAGTGTCATCAACAATTTCTTGTGGTAGCCTCGGCGAGAAACCTAGCGTTGATTCGTCGAATGTGACATCGCGAGATATCACCACTTGGTCCGCTTCAATGTCGTAAACGCGATATGCCTTTGACACTTCTTCGTACCCCATGAATAGTCCTTCACGAGCCTTCGGATCCCATTTCGATCTCTTTTCCTTAGGGGTCAGCACAAACGTTCGGCAGCCGAAAACCCGCATGTGCTTCACACTTGGTCGAAATCCGTTGACGATCTCGAACGGGGTTTGATCTTGGCACTTGGGCGATGGTAGGCGATTCTTGATGTAGATTGCCGTCATTGCTGCTTCAGCCCAAAAACACTTGTCCAGCTTGGCGTAGTGAAGCATGCTGCGCCCGATCGTCACAATAGTTCGAATTGCCCGTTCCGCCGTGCCGTTGGTCTGATGCGCATACGGAACGGTAACTTGCTGCTCGATTCCTTGATCATCGTAAAATGCCTTGAGCGAATTCGCCGCAAATTCTCGTGCACCATCGTGTCGAACGAACTTGACCTTGTAGTCAAACTGCGTCTGTACTGCCATGATGTACTTCTTGATGCACTCTTCGCTGTCGGACTTGGCGCGAAGACTGAAACCCTTCATACATCCGCTGCCTTCATCGACGATCAGCAGCAAGTACTTGCTTCCACCTAGCGAGTCGACTTCCATTGGACCACAAGTGTCGATGTGTAGAAGCTCAAACGGATCGTAGTGGCGCTTGTTTGGATTGCTCGGGAACGGTCGCTGAACCATTTTTCCTTCTAGACAACCTTGACACACGCTTGATCCGCTCAATTTTTCTGGCTTCTTGGCATCCTTGATCATGCCCTTGGAGACCATTCTGCACAAGACATCAATCGGTGCGTGGCCCATACGCGCATGAAGGTTTTCGACTCTTGGTCCTGAAGCCGCATTCACCGATCGTTGGGATGTACGAAGCCAGTAGAGGCCATCCACAAGATCGGCCATCGCTATTACTTGCTTGGAGCCTTTGTGCGAAATCTTCATCTCGTCACCATCAAACAGCACTTGAAACTTGCCGCTTTTGTTGATTTGTGGTATCGACAGCAAGTTCTTGTTCATGCTTGGGACGTAAAGCGCGTTCTTGATCTCGACTTCGCGCTCTTCACCGTTGGACAGGGTCACCTTTTCGATGATTGTCCCGACACCGTTGATCGCAGCCTTGTTCCCATCTGCAACCAACACTTCGCCTTCATTGCGCTCGTCCAGAAATTCGAACTTGGACTTGTCATAGCAGATGTGATGTGTTGCACCGCTATCAATCGCCCACATTCCAGACATGCTCTTGGTCGTTGAAAGTCCGCATTCCAGCGAAACAGCAAACGCCACTCGATCATAGTCATAGTTGCTGTTGCCGTTGTAGCCTTGCCACTGAACTTGATTCGCTCCGCGTCCACGTGCATTGCCGCCGCGTCGAGCTCCCCGATTGTCTTCCTTCTGCTTGGTCCAGCACTTTTCCACCGTGTGCCCCAATTTTCCGCAGAACGTACACTGACGAACCTCACGCTCGGTACTGAAGGCCTTAGTCGCTTCTTCAGTTTTCACCGATGTCGTCTTTTTCCCTTGTCTCTTGATGTGCTCATTCGTCAGCACTTTCACGACGTCTTGCGTCCGCAGTTCCGCGCTGCTCATCTCCAAGTTCAGCACGACGTTCTCGTAGCTCTTGGGGAGGCTGCACAACAAGCAGATCGCCACGTCCTCATCCTCCATCTTGGCGCCGATGCTGCTGAGCTTGGCGCTGATGTTGAGAACTTCATTGCAATGATGCATCACATTGCCGCCTTCCGCCATCTCCATGCTGAACAGCTGCCGCTTCAAGAAGATCCGTCCCGCCTTCTGCGATCCGCCGTAGAGAGTCTTCAACCGTGTCCACGCAACCCATGCCTCGTCGCAGTCATCAACCACGTGATGATAGTCCGCGCTCATGTGAAGTAACATCAAGCCGAACGCAATGTTGTTCGTCTTGACGTACTCATCACTGGCGCGAGGATCGGCGAAGGTGGGGGGTGGTCTCCCGGTTGACCACGTGCCACGTCGACTTGGTCAGGAACACGCCACGCATGTAGCGGCTCCACGTCGCGTAGTTGTCTCCATCGAATCTATCGATAGAGATCTTGGTGGCGGAATCTTGAGCAGAGGACATCGTGCTTGGGCTCATAACCTGTTAAAGTCTGAAGAGCACTGGACGAGAGAACGAAGCTTGAAGAACGCTGAAGAAGTCTGCACTGCGAAGTGTAGACGACTTGTGCTGAAGAAGGAATATTTGGAAGTGAATTTATTTGTGGGTTTTGTTAAAGCTACCTGATTTATCTCTGCACTGATTTATATGTTGTCCACATATAAATCATGAATCATAAATCATGTAGG